ATTTTTTTCTCAACCCGTAGAGCCTTCAAAGGTTTGCTATGATCAAAGGAACGCCTTTTGAAGCGCCAGTCGCGTAGGGCGACCGGGCCAGGCCGAGCCCCTCTGAATTAGTTAAGGCTTTGATGACTCAAGATGAATATTAGGGATTACAACCTAACGTAAGTTAACTTACATGTTTCAATCGTATTTTCAGAATACGTTGAAGAAAGACCAGGCACCAGAGGTTTCTGAAGGTTTCTGAAGGTTTCTGATGGGGTTGAAGAGAGGAGAACCCTTTTTTTCTCAACTAGAGGACCCAGGCCTGCCAGCGTCACTGGGGGAGGGCACAGCGAGAGGCTGGGTGTATGGAAACACAAGGGCAGCAAATTCACAAAAATTCAGAGCCATCCAAACGAGTCGAGTCTTACACGAGGGCCGAATTTTGGTATTTTTAATCAAATATCGACTACAATGACGGGTAGAGCCCACTGCAAAAACGAACCACTAAAGCAGCATCGGAACTTAATCTAGCGTTCTAACACATTTATTTATATTTTATTTAATATTAAATATTTTATTTTATTTTATTTTATTATAATGGGCTGTAGACAACCATCCCCGCATCCAATGGCTTGCGCTTGGATTGGGGACTTATCGGCAGTAAAATGAACCATTATAATATACACATGACACTTCTGCTAATAAATCTAATGTGGAACTAATAATTTTGTGTTTCAAGACATTGATTCACCACAAGCAGATCTTGCGGCACTTAGCACGCTATGTGATCAGAAATGGTAGATCCTGCGGTGAGCGAAGTGCCACGATACCTAAAACATAAAGTATTTGGTCTGTGGTTTGCTGATCCTAGGTTGCTCAGCATGCCATGTGACCAAAAAGGCTAATCTCTAGTGGAGTGCCACAACACCTAAAAACTTAAAGTACTCATATGGCAGCGCTTTGCAACGGATTGATCTTGCATCACTCACTACTTTATCTGACAAGGTACACCTAATCTAGAGGCAAGCCAAGCACCATGATATCAAGAACTTAAGTCTCACACATATTAGTGTTAGAGATATAAAGATAATTATCAATTATTATCTAGGAAAATAAATATTATTAGTTTTCTTTAAAATCTCATCAACTATCATAAAGGTGGCATTCATTTCTTCCTCTTCTTTACACAATCAAGACATCTAGAGATTGACAAGCTCAATCCTTCCTCCCTTGACTATACTCAAGACCTCTAGTAAGTGGTTAGTTCTTCCCTTCTCTCCCTCGACAATAGTGATAGTGTGGTCAACCTTTCTTTTCAGTAGATCTCTCTAACAAGTAGCAAAACACTTTTAGACAATACTTCTGTGATTTTTGACATAGTGTAACATGTTCAAACGAAATCAAGCCACCACACCAATGCCTCTAGTTCCTTAAGAGGCAAATTAATTTTAAAATTATTTATTTCCTATTTTCAATATTTATTTACATACTTTCAGATTTATTTATATTTTATGACAAGTTATTTTTTGTTTCATATAATAATGAGTAGAACTCAGTTAAAACTTAATGAATGATCTTTGTTTCTTTTAGAAATCCTCTAAACTCATCTGAGATCAAGCTAAGATCATATCCAACTTGTCTTCTATTGATTTTCTCAATCAAATCTCAAAGTATTCATATTATCAACTTTTTGTAATGATTATTTTTCTTATTTCAAATACAAAATCAATTAGAATAAAGGTTGATTAATGAGCATTTAAGTATTAAAATAAGGAGAAAATATTCATTCTTAACCTTATATCATTTGTGTGAATTTTTTAATACACATTAATCTGAGAATCATGATCATTGTAAAAATGAGTTGACCATATTTCTCCTCTTTATTATCATTTTATTTCTCTCCCTCTTTCTTTCTCACACATTCTCTCCTTCTTTTGTGAGATCTCTTTCTCTCCTCCTCACTCTTTATCTCTCTCTCATGAGAGATCTCTCTTCTCTCTATCTCTCTTTTTCTCTTTCCCTTCTCTACTTTCTTTATTCTTCTCATCTCACATTTTTATTTTACTATTTCCTTGAAATAGTGATAAAATGTTAAATCACTCTATATATAAACTAATTTAATTTCTCATGACAAATTAATCAATCTCTCTATATTCGACCTAAAACTCACATCTATACTAATATATTGTTAACTTTTAGTTAGAAATATTATTAGATAATAGGCATTTAAGCACAATAATAAGTACACATCAATACTCAACTAATTAAAGACATTTTATCTTTAGAGTGAGTTAAGATATTGTCGTTGAGCTTATCATTTAGTACATCCACTTTAATGACTTGTTACCATCCAAAGTATGAGAGAATGAGTTTGAGTCTTTGCACAAGTGATCTTCAAAGTTTTTATCTCAAGATATGTGTAACTTCAATAATTGATATTTTACTTGATATCAAGTTGAATATTAGTCATTTTCATTTTTTTGTTTTCCCCATGTAAGATTCTGACATGTCACCATGCAAGTTATGTGGTGATGACTTCTTTGTCTTGTTATTTACTTTTTGTCAATGGTCTAGCTCAACTATTTGTATGGTCTTTAGTTCAAGTTTCACTATAGTCATTGATCATGTATTTTGTGTGAACTTTTTACTTTTCACTATAGTGCTCTAGATTCAACTTTTACTCATGCCATTGAATAATTTGGTCATTATTTTTTTCACTTTTTTGTATACTACTTCATACGGTTGAATTATATGTCTACCATATTGTGTCCTTGACATTTTTGACATTTTTCATATTAATCATCTATTCTTCACACTACTCAAGTATTGTGTTTGAATCTCACTGCTGACTTCGATCTTTCATAATATACATGAAACTTTGTCACACATGTTGACACTTATTATATTATATTTTATATTTAGAAAATATTAGTCTACATTACTTCAATACAAAAGAATATCTCAAGAGACTAACTCCTTGAATTTGTTATTAGTCATAAGAGTATATAAAACATCATCAATATATATGATTTGAATGTTTTTCAATTAAATTTATCTCATGATTGAAATAATCATGACACATATATATAAATTATGTTAATATCAAGGACTTCTACAAAAGATACTCAAGTCAACAAGATTCCTTAAAGTAAATTTTGAGTATAAAAGTTTAATCTATTATCTATTAACTCATAATTTTACATCACAAGTTTCGAAAGGTTTTGTCTTCAAATTAACAAAGTGTATTCAAATTGTATATTTATGTAAAATAAGATCTTTTAGACAATACCAACTATATACTAAAAATTATGTTAACTACTTGAATCACTCAAGTTATGATTTAATACACTTTGATAATTGAACAAGATGTCTTCTTATACATTGCATTTTGTTTGAAATGATTTTGATTAATTTGGAGTGTTTTATCATAGTTTTAATGTGATATATTTATAGATTATGCTCTTATAATATTTGAAAGTTAATGGACTAATATGAACTAATAAAATTTTAGTACGAACATTATGTGATAAGGAAATCATGTATTGATTTCACTAGAAGACATCTGAGTTGTTTAAATGAACGTCTAATTGGTCTCTCAACTGTTCAAATTAATCATACTTTACAGAAAATGGTCTTCAGAAAATCACAAAGATCTGAAAAAAAAGATATACAAGATTTACCTAGAAATTATATTGTCTTCAAATGGTCACATTAAAGAAGAATAAATATCTCTCTCTTCTCAAAGACCACCAACTTTGCATTAAATTTCTCTCCTATGAAATTCAAGCAAAAAAGTGAGGACTTTGTTGACAAGTCAATCTACATTAAGGCACTAACTAGAGGAGAACTATTACAACATTGAAAGATCCTCCTTCACCTATTTGAACCTCAAATAGCCTTCAATCAAAAATAAACAAGGCAACAAGAAGATGACAAAGACTTCAAGTCACTAATCATTATTTTCTTCATCAAAATTTTAGAAAAAGTCTACATCATTTTCATAATACTAGCTATCATGAAATTATTTCATCTTTTTTGTAGGATATACTTATAATTGAATTACTTAATCACTCGTAAGAGCTGTCCCCATTACTAGTTGTTGGCCTCATAGGGCCATGAATACAGAAGAGAGTTTCAAAGTGAAATTCTTCAACAGCTGAGCTCTATAATCAACAATATATGATTAGACGATCATAGATGTGGAGTCACCAAAACTGATCATATCCAAAAGAGTTTTAAAACTAAATCAATTCAACCCCCCTTTCTTAATTCTAGTGCAGCTTAAAATCTAACATCTTGGAGCTTTGAAATCCAATTAATGATTGAAGTATAAAATTAAGTGTGAACATATGGAGTTAGTGAAACCACAAATGAGTTAGAGAGATGAGCAGGTTGAGTAGACTGAACCACTACAAATTATCTTTTTTCTATTATTATTCTATAAGAGAGAGCAAAACCAAAAAATCCAACAAAAAGGTTATTTTATAAAAAAAAAGCAACAAATTCAACTCCCCTTTCTTAGTCAGTCACATGCTAATTTTAAATCCCAAATAATTTTGAAAAACCCCAAGTAACCCAATCAAGTCATGTTCTTTTCTTAGGATTCTATACCAATAAGAATATGATGGCGAACACAACTAGTTAAACATGTGACTTATTCATAAGAATTATTATACATTCTTTTTCTCAAAGCTTGATTATATGATCCTTTTCACCAATTATGAAATTAAATTTGAAAATTTTTCATGTCACATTGAAATAAGATAGGATTTAATCATTGAGTAAAAGAAATTAAATTTCTGGTATCCAATTGATAAATAAACTTCTCATATTTTTGATATTTTTCTTTTATATGTATGTATAAACAAGTAAATGTGACATTTAAGGTAATTATTACAGCATCTATATTATTTTCTTGTCAAATATCTAAGCAAAATACTGCCAACATGCGTTGAGTATTGATGATTTAGCCTTGAAGAGTATGATTATATCTCATAAAATGAATTTATAAGAAGACTACATTAAAAAAGATCTTTTAGGTGCACCTTGCAAAGGTTTGGTTGACATAGAAACACGTGACATATTTTTGAGCTGGATGTGTAGAAAAGCTCGAACAGCTCAGGGCCAAGCTTACCATGCATGTCAAAAGGTCCAATGTTAAAATTTTATTTTATTTTTCTTTTCTTATAGATTTTGTTTTAGAAACATAAATAGGGACTTCAATTTTAGTTTACATGATGGTGGGCCAAAGCTCTATACCACATGATTGTGGTGGAGAGATAAGAATTTGAGAAGAGCCGTCTTCAATGTCTGGCAAGATCATTCACACTTTCTTTTATCCTTTCTTTCAATTGTACAGCGTGCTCCAAAAAAAAAGCCCAAAAATTGCATTTAATCTTTCCAGAGCCCAGCTCAGAGCTGCCTGCTCAGCTGTCTCTGGGAAGAGGATATAGCTGGATGAAGGAGAGGCTGCCACTAGGAGGATGCATGAGATGCTACACTGATGGGTTAGTATCATTTTCAGTGTTCCGAACTGGGCACAGTTTTTCTGTCTAAACCTTAACCAGTCAACCTTGAGTTCTGAGTGAACTAGGACCCATGGTTACCTTTTGCTGAGCCCCTACTGAAAGAGCTGAAAAATTAATCATACTTACATAGATCAGATTAGCGATGATATTCTTGTGACGAAAGAAGTCTTAACGACAGTATAACTCTTAAAGTCTATGGGTGTATATGTCGGATTTTGATCTCAAAATAAAATTTAAAAATAAAGATAGCCTGCCCAACTCGGCCTTTATCTGTGTTAGTCTGGGATTGAGTAGAGTTCTGCTTGAAAGTTTGAGCTGCTTTACTTTCTTAAGAGTCAATCTCTCTTTCTTTCTCTTTCTCTCTCTTCCTCTCTTTGCCTCTCACTTAGTTATGCTCAAACAAAAGGCCAGACTGGGCCTCTCCTGACTAGGGATCGGACGTGAAAACATCTTTCACCTTCTTCTCCAGATCTATGTTGGGTGGAGGCCCGCGTACATCTATCGAGCATCTTATATTGACCGTCGATTTTCTCCTAAGAAGTTTTATCACAACGATCAGATGCAAGTATCTCGTAACACATGTTGCTCCTCATGCATGCGGACCAACCCAGTCAAAAACGATCCTCCCTCTTCCACATTGCAGTTCAGCACGTCATTCATATCTCTCTCTCTCTCTCTCGCTAAATGTATGTATATGCATGTATACTATACCCAACTGTCGATCTTACGGCATTCTCATGGTGCAAAATGTAGAATTCGTGCCGATCTATATACGCGAATACAATCCATGGCTTGGGATCAAACCGGTTGGATCCAATGGCATCAGAATCCATACGTATGCCGTGTCACCGAGCAAAACCTGTGAATCTGCATATTTATGAACGCCTTGAGAAAAGTATTCCTCCTCACAGACCATCGATTGATACAATTCATCTAAATTTCCGCCGGCAGAGGGGGGAGAGAGGAGAGAGAGGAGAGAGATGAGAGAGAGAGAGATGATGATGATGATGATGTTAACTCCACCTGAATACCACGTTATTTGACGCCAAGGATATGGTGGTCTCCCTCTGTAGTTTTCCACAGCTTTATTGAACCGCTTTCTCAGTTCCTCCCAGAGAAAGAGAGGGAGAGAGGGAGACGCAGTTCAAGAAAGCTGTGGAAGATTACCAAGAGAGGCCTTCCTCTGTAAAATTAGCTGGTGGAAGGGTAGTTGGGTCGATAGTGTTTGGTTGGTTGGTGAGGAAGAGAAGAAGCCGAGGGGATGGATGGCGCTTGAAGAAGACATGAGATTAAGGATTGGGCATACAGGAGAGGTCCTAGGGGCATCGGTACTTATAGGATGGGCGGACGGCGAAAGCTTCGCCTCATATATTTAGATGTATGCGAAGTGGGAAATAATGAAAAAGAATAGGAAGTTGAGTCCCCCAAATCCCAAGGACGTAGACCAACCTCCGACGCGTCTCTCCTTCCCCTCTCTCTCTCTCTCTCTCTCTCTCTCTCTCTCTCACTACTCTCTATGGTTATTGCACCAACATCAGTCCTCATTACTTCCGTCTTTCTCTCTCTCCTTCCCTCTTGTTCTTGCATTACTCTCTCTCATACTTTTTCTTCTCTATTGCTCATGTTCTTGTACCTGCCCTCTCTCTCTCTAAAACACGCATGAGGTCGGTCCTCCCAAGAGATAACTAATATTCTACGAACACCTAGAAAGGAGTGAGATTAAAATATCAGATCTTATGTCACAAGGTCAGTCGTGCCCGCTTAGCTGGCGAGCGCTATCATCCCCTGCATGTAAACTCTGATCTCTGCCCCCCGTTTGCATCATCCAAAACCCATCGGACGCTCACCATCGCTCCTCGAGCACCCTCCGTTCGCCACCTTGCACGGATTGTTGAAACGGCGACGTACGACCCTCATCACTCCCCATGATCTGTGGTACTCCGAAATCGGAACCGTCCGATTGGATGGATGGGGGCCATCAATCAAGCGAAGCCGATCGATCGATGATCTCGAGAATGAGAATCGATCACCCCACATTCGACCGCTGACTAAACGCCAGAGGAGGAGGAGCGCCGGCAATTAACAACTGAGATTAAGTAGATCCCAAGGCTTATCTTATTCGGAGTAGTCTACTCACCTTCCTCCTCCACTGACCCCCCTGCTGACCGCCTCACGACACGGCTCCCGCGGACGGAGGAGGCGGGTCGGGAGCTGCCGTGCCGGTGATGGCAGACACTTTCGGATTGTACGGTGGGGGGTGCACCACTGGCCCCGAGGGCTCTCGTGCCCCGCTGAACACGTTTAGGACGACGGGTGAGCAGACTCCAGTTCAGTTTAAATATAGATATAGAGCAAGTGCTAGCTGACACAGGTGCTACCGATTCGGAGACACAGCAATCTGCCTTACTGGAGTCAAGGGAATTTTAAAATACCCATTTTCTTGGTGTTGTATAACTATTCTAATGACGAGATATTTTAAACAGTTTGGCTCATTCTCGATCTAAAAAGAGTGTACTTATCTAAAAAAAGTATAGTATGATATGCCTTTAGTATACGATTCAACGCATTGGGCACGTAAACGGACAAATGAAGATGAATGTTCTTCAAAATACTTGAAACTCTGTTGAACTGTCAGAGTGGCCCTCAAAACATAAAAAATTTAACGACAATATTTCAGAAATATTTCATTTATTATAATTATGCTAAGGATATGAATACCAATCATACTGAAATGAATTAAATTTGAATAATATGCAAAAGAATCTACCAGTACCATTTACACATTTTTTGTTACCTTCGTCCATATATACATGTATACCAAGATGCTTATAAAGAGAGTTGAAACTAATTGTCAAAGTGTTATTCACAAAATTTACTTTGACAATATGTTGATTTATATCTGTTCAAGGCTAGACTAAAAAACAAAATTTACCATTATACCCAGATAAAATTTAAAATTAATAAAAAATTACTCAGTGCCCACATAAAATCTAATGCTGGAATGAGGGATGTAGCCTGTTACTTATTCTCTCTTCTTTTTTGATAAATTAGAAGGAGCTCAAGTGAAATCCTACATAAGTTTGGGGTTTAAAGAAGAAAAAGGGTGTGATTGATAAATATACAAAGATATACAAGGACAGAAAGAGAGAGATAAAGAGTGTGATTTGGCACCAAAATACGGACTACGGCATCATAAGTTTAAGTCAAGCGTAGCCTATCTGGGTGTCTGGACTCCATTTTGATGAGGGTAGAACTGCATAAAACATGGGCAGGCCTAAGCATTTTTTTTATACTCAACCTGATGACATATTTTGTTATAATCAGTTGCAAGTACCTAGTTTATACTATAATAATAAATTGGGCTGCCCATGATCCCCAGCAAGTCTAGCTCAAGGTCAAGCATGTTTTTTTTATGAGGCTTGGCATGACCAAGTACAAGAGAAAAATGTGGAAAATAAGAGGATCTTCCATAAGCCACTATCTTAGGAATAAGAGGCATAGAACAAAAGTATGCTTGCCAGTGATTAGAGGATGATGGCAAGAGGATAGGCCCAGAATATCCCAACCAGATTACCCCTATGCCTAATTCAAAACCATGATGGAATCGAGCTGAATTTATTTGTGCATTAAGAGTCATTTTACAATCTACGCCCATAAGAAATAGACTATCAAGAGTTGGGCTGACCTCATGCAGTAACTCCGTTAGAAGTAGGCACCAGAAAACTCAGGATCAAAGAGGTGGATGCAATGAAGAGTGTAACTAACTATCACAAAAGCTTTCTAAAAATTATCCATGAGCTCCATACATTTTGAAAGAGTAAAACATGCTCCTTGCCTAGTTGTACGGAATAAGTTGTCCTTCTAACAATGCATGGGACTAGGTTTTTGGAATTGGTAGTTTCAGTTGTGGAATTCCAATACCCATGTAACCCTTGTCAATCTATTTATTTGTCATCTCTCTCTCATCTCTCTTGCTCTCTCTTTCTCTCTCTATAAATTTATTTAGAATTGATGGGTTCGAGTTAAGAAGGTTGTGGTGCATGATCACCCATGTGACCCTTTGTCAACCTAATTATCTCTCTCTCTCTCTCTCTCTCTCTCTCTCTCTCTCTCTCTCTCTCTCTCTCTCTCTCTCTCTCTCTCTATATATATATATATATATATATATATATAATACAAACATATACTATAATCCTTGATGACAAGCCTTGTTGGTTGGGACTACATGGGTTAGATTGGGTAACATAATATTTTAGCCTAGAGCTCTTTTTTTGCTCTATTGTTTGAGTATGGTCAAGTCCATCAAAGAGTGGGATAGTGGGAAGGATTGTTCACATCTATAAAAAAAATAGTACATAATATATTATTATGCATTACATTAATCTTTGGTGAAACATATCTATATTGAAAAGATTAAATTAGTAATTATACAAAATAGAAACAACAATGATACACTACAGAACCTCCAATTTTTCAATTGTTTTATTCATAACAACAAAGGTCGTTGCTTATGTTTCCATAGTTAAAACATTCATCAATATTTTCTGCAAGGTTCTCTTCACTCTCACATTCTTTTCATCCCATCATCAAAATCCACATAATGATTCCTAAACACAAGGGAATAAGCAAATAAGTTTATGAGCATTTAACCATACATAAAAACATGACCAAGAATATAAAGAAATTCAAAATATAATATCATGTAAGAGATATAGAGGATAACATGAAACTTAAAATGGACAGCGAGCACATTATTTGCTCTTAAAAAATTAAATTATATATCACAATACATGGTAGGCCATTTTTTAAGATTCATATATGCTTAGAGTCAAGTTGCATATAATGAGGACAACTCTCCATCAAACATTAGCTGAAAGAATAAGCTTTTTAGCCAAAAGAAAGACAATGTTAGAGGAAATTTTGTGACAACATAAAATTCAAAACTTTACTTTCTTGCATAAAATTAAGTATAAAAAATATTTAATTAAAAAATTAGTGAATTCTGTACAAATGAATCAATCCCAATTAACACTTTTATTATAATATAATGATTAAAAACATGATATTTAGAAAGAATAGTGAGTTAAATCTAGGATAATTAAAATGATGGCGAACCTCTTTATAATTCAGTACTTTAAGTACAAATTAAGTATAAATAATATTTGATTCAAAACTATACAAATCAAAAATTACTGAATTCTATAAATTAATACTTTTATTTTAATAAAATGAGTAAAAACATTATGTTATTGAGAAGGAATAGTGAGTCAAATCTAGGATAATAAAAATGATGGCATACCTTTTTAGGGTCTAGTTGCGACATTCAACGAGTATATAAATGGGCTTCCCATTCAGCTTAAAATGGCCCTATCAGCAAGTTGAAGGAGCATGGAAACTTCAATAAGTATACTTAATTTACAGGATTCAAGACTGAAAGAATAAAATAAAACTCTAAAACTTGTTTGAAAAATAGCTTTCTGGACAACGAGATAGAATTCATACCTTATACTTGGGTAACCCAACAACACATGCACATTCAATAACATTCGCCCCAACACGATCTATTAGAATCAAAGAGATATCAAGTCCATCCATAAAAATTCATAACGAGAAAAATCCATTTGTATGACATAGACTTCTTAACAATATTGAACAGAGCAAAACATGCTGCAAAGATGAGATAAAATACCCAAGAGAGAGATCGTATTGAAAAATTGTGACATCAAGTTCAAAATAAATTGATAATAAATAAAGCATAAAAATATATTTGAATCCATGTATACTTGTTTTCACCATTTTGCATTTACCTAAAAGTCTGATCGCAGCAGATATTGTTCCACCAGTGGCTATAAAATCATCAATGATTAAAATGCGCTCTCCAGCTTGAACAGCATCAACATGCATTTCCAGACAATCATGACCATACTCTAGGGTGTAAACCTCAGAAATTACTTTGCCTACATACATGATTACAAGGAATGCCTCCATGAGTGATTGTCATTTCAATGAATAGGAAATAGACACGAAAGAGCATTCAACCATAACCTATCAATTAGAAGAAAAAAAAGAAGTTAAATTATTCACTTGAAAATGAATTTTTTATTAAATATTTAAGTACCCACAGTTAAAATGAGAGGTTTCGATAGTCTAAGTCCGCAAGTGTCATTGAGAATTCAATACTTTAAAAACACAAGTATAAAGGAAGGTCTGACTATTTTGAACTAACGCACCAAACCAGAGGACTTATATTTATATCCAAGTCCAAAAAAAGGAAAAATTAATGTTATAAACAAGAAATCAGACACTTTACACTCATAGTTATAAATATAAATCAAGTATCATCAACAATTTAATAAATACATTTAACACTTTAATGCAGCACATGTATGATAAATGACAACAAAAATTATGGAGAATAGAAATTATTAAGAAACCTATGTATGAACAATAACAATGATCACTATTTTTTCATTTTTTATTTCATAGAAATTTTCAATGTAAGAGAATGAAGCATTTCTTATTTTAATCAATGAATAATTAATTATAATGGTTTAAGCATTAGATCATAAAAATAATAAGACAGTAAGACGAGAACCACATGGAGTATGAAGAACTTTTTGCTTCTCAGAAGTAAACAAATTCAATAAAATACGTAAAAAAATTGCTACTAATTACCTGGAAGCTTATTAGGCTTTCGTAAAGGTACAAACTTTGCACCCAAAGCTAAAGCAACTGATGAACCAAATATGAGACCTCTGGCCTCAATTCCTGTTTAAGATGATTCATGAAAAGGTCATAACATTAGGAATCAAATGAGATTGAGGAAAATATTACTCGAGACAACTGAAAAACGATTGGAAATGAAAATTAAGTGATCAATACAGTGAATAAAATGAAGACAGACGAGAGGAGAGAAACGGACGAACAAAATCAGGTCAAACTGTTGAAACCATTGAAGAAATTATACTAAATCAACTTTGAGATCGAAGGCTTTAAACTAAGTCAATCGAAAATAAGTCAACCGAAAAAAAATCAGAAAACTTCGATACAATGATTATCAACTGTAGGGTGGCAAACTGGCTTCTCTTCCATCTTTTTTCCTCGATATACAGAAGAAACTTAACAGAGAAAAATAAAATTCATAGAAAAGGAGGAACTTTTATCCAATTCCACTCATCCTTTCTAATGGAAGTGAAAGATCCTAGGGAAGCCTGCTCTTAGTTATATAATACGGCAGTATCCTCCAAGTAGCTCCAAAGAAACTCGCTATTGTAAAAGAAGAAGGTGATATGCGACTAAAAAAAGCAAGAGGCTATCCAATGGAGACCAAGGGGGCGGGCAGAGGTTGGTACCGGCCACGGCGGAGATGGCCATGCCCCCGTATCTCTCAGCGAGGATGTCGACTGTGTCCTTGAACACTTGCGGACGCAGCATCAGCGTGGTGACATCGTTGAACATGATCCCTTCACCGAAAACTCACTCACCTTAAATCCTTCCCTCAGACACACATGGAGGCAGAGAGAGAGACTGACTGACTGACTTACCGTGCTTGGGGAAGTGGGGGATAACACGGATGGAGGAGAAGATGCCCTGGAGACGGGGGTCCTCCGCCGGGGCGGCGGCTTCTCTCTCCGCCGCCACCTTCTCGCCTCCACCCTCTCCGAGTTCACCTCTCGCCATCTCTCTTCCTCTTCCTCTCTCCTTACCTCTTCCGGTCTAGCCCCTCTGGCCAGGTTTTATACTTTCCATCCTCGCAAATACCTTCCATGCGGTGTCAGAAGAATGAGGACAGGTGTAGATTGGGCGATAAGGAAGCTCCAGGAGAAGAAGAACAAGCGTTTAAAGAGAGAGGGAAACGGCAGTGGACACCTCCGCCTGGGTCTATGAAACAGTGGGAGAGAGACAGAGAGAGAGAGAGAGAAGGGTAGATGGAATCTAATGAATTAGCCGTTCAATTACTACCCAAAGCGGAGCGGCGAAGTTAATTGCGGAAGAAAGGTGGCGAGGGAGGAAAGAGCATGGACGAGCGGCGCGGGACAGCTCCTCATGGATCGCCTGCGACAAGTGGCCGAGGATCCTCGAGATTTTAGACAGACAACTCTAGAAAGAGAGAGAGAGAGCGAGAGAGAGCGAGAGAGAGCGAGAGAGAGAGAGAGAGGAACAGAGACAAAGAGAGAGAGAAAGAGAGGGAGAGAGAGACACATAGAAAGAGGGAGAGAGAGAGAGGTAAAGAGAGAGAGGGAGAGAGAGACACACATAGAAATAGGGAGAGATAGAGGGAAAGAGTGAGGGAGAGAGACACAAACAGAAAGAGAGAGAGAAAGGCTATCTAAAGCGCTTGTATTAGGAAAAGAGTCGGTGCAACACACGTTACTCCCCCAAACTTGGAATGGAAACTGGAACCCACGCCTCTTCGCCCTACTCCGGTCGGTTCTTGCTCCGCTGCTGTGGGGCCCATCTGCTGCGGATCCCTCCACCTCCCCGCCGCCGGTCAAAACAGGCCAAACCCCCCAAGTGACAGCCGCCAAACTTCATCCACGGTGACCGAGTCATCACCCACTTCCCCAAGAAAAATTCTCCTGAGTCAAAGCTCCTCGGGTGGAAGATGCCCACGCGAAGAACAGCTGCAGTATGTTATTTTTATGATCTTTACGTTTTATGCAAGTTCATGTGCTTCAGAAAGTCAACGGATGGGTTCCTCGCTCATGAGACTTATCCCATCAAAGATTATCATTTTTATCGCCATTTTTAAAGCTGCAGCTCAAAGATTATCTTTTTTTCCGGAAGTACTACAATGTAGAAAGAGAGAGAGGGAAGGAAGATGGGTTCGTGTCACTGTCTGGATTCTGTATAGAGAGAGAGAGAGAGAGAGAGAGAGAGAGAGAGAGAGAGAGAGAACAGCTGCAGTATGTCATATTTTCGCCTTTTATTTTTATCTAAATTCCTGTGCTTCAGAGAGTCAACGTGCTGGGTTCCTCGCTCATGAGATTTATCCGGTCAAAGATTATTTTATTTATCGCCATCATTAATGCTATAGCGTAAATCAGTCAGGTCATATTCCAGGATGTAGTTGCACTGTATAGTGAGAGAGAGAGAGAGAGAGAGAGAGAGAGAGAGAGGGAAGATGGGTTCATGCCACTGCCTGGATTTTGCCGAGAGAGAGAGAGAGAGAGAGAGAGAGAGGATCTGACAACCTTCTTCTCCGCGATGGAGTTCCGAGGGCATTCGGACTATGCCGGATTGGATTATACATCAACTCTTTCATCCGGAATGGGGGAAGAAGACGAGGGGGACACAAAAAAAACCTACTTCAATTCACCTCCCTGGATGAGCTCCCCCAAACCAGGAGGAAGACGGAGACGAGCACCGGCAATCCGATCATCAGCAGCGCCTGCGAGAGGCTCGGCCTCGTCATCTCCGGGAAGACCGCGCTGCCGTACTTAATGGCGGCACCGCCGGCGACGGAGCCCACCGTCGCCTTCCACAGGTAATCCACATCCTCCTGTTCCATCTCGAAAAAAGGCCTAGGGTTTATCCGCTATGACCTAAAAGTTTCCTAAACATGGCGGCTTGATCGGAAAACCGACGGATTATAATCATCATCAGAGACGATGTGAGATTCTACGTGAGGAGAGGGAGGAGAGGAGATCTGGAGCAGATGACTAGAAATCCCCAATTCGTGGACAGGTCGGAGCGGAAAATTTAGGGAGGATCAGGAAGGACGGGGGCGCTAACCTGAGGAAGGAGGCGATTGTTGCCGGTGGCGGTGGAGGAGGAGGCTTCCTGGAGAGGCGAAGGCGGCGGTCGGCGAGGAGGGTCGCTACCAGGTGGCGGCGGGCCGGGCGATGCTGCGGCAGGGCTCGGTTTCCGACGACGAGCTCGAGACGCCGGAAGAGACAAAGATCGAGCGGGAACACGGCGGAGCATATTCGCCGGCGTCGGCGGAAGTGGCGGCGAAGGGGAAGGGGAGACCCATCCCGCCGCCATCCCTCTCTTCTCTCCCGCTCTCGCTTTATCCTTCAGAAAATGAACAATTCATATAAGCAGCACTGCTCTCTCTCTCTCTCTCTCTACCAGCACGGCGGATGCTCTCAAGCGGGTAGGAGAGACCCGGACGAGATCCGGAAGACGACGTCCATATGGACATCCTCACCTTGTTAGATTTATCAGTCCGAAGTATTTACTAAACCTTCCATTATAGAAGAAAAATGGTAAGCGGAGTAAAGTCACAATACTATATATTTATCCGAGGTACAATGCAAAATATCGAATGGCGCTGCTCTCTGATATTATATATTTAATAAAATCCGTATGTGTAGAGTAAGAGCCACTAAAAGAAAATATTTATATATTAATTACATAAAAAGTAAGAAAATTTTGGAAAGACTTGCTGGCCCACATATGAAGGATACAAAAATGAGAGCAAACAAAGTTGACCTTCCTGAACAAAATTGTCAAGATCCAAATTTGGTAATTTCTACTCTATACAAATAGTAGGTAGAAGAAGGTGATATTTAGTTAATATTTCCTTTTAGTTAATGGAGAAAGATTCTAAAAGCCTCCTTTTTAGTTAATATTTGTTTTTTCCCATGTATGAAGTGTATGCAAACAAAGTCAAACCTTTCATGAACAAGAGTGTCAAGATCCAAATTTGGTAATTTCTACTATATACAAATAGTAAGAAGAAGAAGAAGGAAATATTTAGTTAATATTTCCTTTTATTTAATGGAGAAAAAATCAAAATGGAGAGAGATTCAAAAAAAGCTTCCTTTAGTTAATATTTACAAGTATTTAAAAAACCACCGGCATTAATTAAATGCTTGGAGAGTCCATTAGGTTGGTAATTAGTCAAAACAGTGTTAAGAAAAGATACCCTCTCATGTGAAGTTTCATGTATGACATTGCCCACTAGTTTGGAAAGTCAACCCTCTCCTACCCCTTTTATAGGATTATCTTACGATTATAACCTTAAAAAAAGTATAGAATTTCCCAATTGCGGATGCTTTTTAATGAATTAATTGACAAATTCAAAGTCAACTGCGTTCCAATTTTATGGGGGTTCTTATGCTTTCGGACTCAATCGAAATCATGTATCCTTAGTGCAGTGGAGTCGGAGAAGAGGATAATATATCGGAATCATAGCTTATATATATATATATATATATCATCCGTACAACTATTTGGCTAATTAATCGTCAACTTAGATCGACATGCATATGAATAGTTTGAGGATTCTGCGAATTGGTGCAGACGGGAGGGGGGGAGGAGGAGGAAGATGGAGCTTCTTTTACAGCTCTACGACGACGGAGTGGAGGTTCTTAGGGCCGCCTGGCATGGCGGGGAGATTGATGAGCAGCAGGCCGGAGGAGGAGTCGTAGGAGAACTCGACGGCGGCGGAGGAGCCCACAGAGCACCGTCGCGGCCTAGTGGCGGAGTAGGCTCCCAGCCTTCCACAGCCCTTGATTTCCATGTAGACCGTCGGAGCCGCCGCCGCCGTGGGGGTGGAGGAGCCGCCGCGGTAGGAGAGGCCCTGCACAGCTCCGCCGGCGTTGAACATGTCGACGAGGCCCAGCGGCGCAAACTGGAGCTCCGGGGAGAGGAGTTTAATGGGGGAGACGACGAAGATCTCGTGTTGCAGGATCTTGAGGGAGATCGGGAGGGCGGCGCCGCGGGGGAGGACGACAAGGCCGGAGGCACCGCCGCCGTGGCGGTAGAGGGCGCAGTCGCCGTTCCATTTTCCGTCGTCGTCGGCGGCGGCGGCGGCGTCTGCGATGAGGTGGACGTCGTCGCCCCTCACGGCGGCGGTGAGGGCCTCCGCCGCCGTGTGGTGGAAGACGTTCTTCTTCTCGGAGCTGCACCAGGCGGCGCCCTGGCAATTGTAGACGCCGAGCACGCCGGTGAACTTGTTCATGTTCCATATCTTCAGCAGGCTGCACCGACGGGGGAGAGGAGGAAGAGGGAGGTCGTCATCGACAGAAAGAAGAAGACGGAGCTATGCCGGCGGCGGAGGAGGAGGAAGAAGGGGAGGGTACCTGACGCCGTCGCGGGCCGGGTCGGAGAAGAGGCAATCTCTGGTGGGGCGCCCGGGGAGAAGGGCTCGGAGGATGGAGCCGTCTGGGAGGACCAGCATCGACAGGAGGTCGAAGTTGTGCTTCCCGGGAGCGTCACTGCGCGCAGAGAGAAGATCCGTCAACTCCTCGAACGTGAAAGTTAGGGTGGAGAAGAAGGAGGTAGAAGAAGACTGACGAAGAAGATGGAGGGAGGGAGGGAGGGGGAGGAGGAGGTTGCCTGACGTAGACAGGGCCGCCGCTGATGGCCCTGGCGGAGGCGTGGTACTCGGCGGCAGGGTGGAGAGAATGGAACATGTCCCAGTCGGGGAGCATGAACTCCCCAAGGAAGACGCTGTTGTAGGCCACCGAGGCGATGTGGATCGTGTGCGACACCGGGTCCCTCGGGTAGAAGTCGTCCGACGCCCTCACCACCGCCGTCTGCTTCGAGCTGCCCAAATCCCATCAGAAGAAGAACAACAAGAAGGTGAGAGGAAGAAGAAGAGCATGAAGATGAAGAAGATTGAGGTAGAAGCAGAAGAAGACTGCAACTGAGGCGGAGCTGGAAGAAAAGAATCAAGCAAGGAGTGAGAGCGTACTGGTAGAGCGCGTCGGAGCTGTGGCTCATGCAGGCGATGATGCCGTTGTCTGGGAAGTTCTTCCTCACCGAGGCGTCAAGCGCCTGGTGGTACATCCTCGTGAGCTCCACTCGCCCTCCCAGCCCGCCTCCTAGGGTTTCCAGGATAGACTGAACATCGACTTTGACGCCGTCGACGCCGGCGGCGGCGAGGTAGCTGTGGAGCTCGTCGTAGAACTGGTAGACCTTCTTGGGATCCACCAGCCCCAAACCCTGCACTGTCAGCGGGTCCGTCTTCATCCCCGGCTCGTTGCCCTCTACTCCGGGGGAGATCTCCGGGAACTTCATCGCCGGTGAGTACTGCTCCAGGCCCTCCGCCGCCGGCCGGACGCCGCCCCAGTAGCCGGTGATGGCGTGCCAGAGGTAGACGAAGCTCACGGCGTACCTCTTCTTAGCGACGTCGACGATGGACTTGATCCCCTCTGCGGGGCTCTCCCTGGTCTGGAACTTGGAGTTCTCCCTGATGGCGGTGAGGCGCATCAGGGACGGCGCCGCCGCCGCCGCCGCTGCTCCGTCAGCGGACTGGTCCAGGCCGACGGACTGCCAGCCATCGTCGATGATGACGAACCTCGCCGGAGCGCCGCCGGCGGCGAGGCTCTGCAACCCGGCCTCGACGCCCTCCTGGGTGACCTCCTGGTAGAAGGCGTCCCAGGTGCACCATCCGAAGAGGTCCACGATGGGGGGAAGCTTCTTCTCCAGCCGCTGCCGGAAGGTCTGCAGGTGGGAGCTGGCGGCGGAGACGGCGTCGGAGACGGCGGCGAAGGGATCCCGCTGGCCGGCGCTGAGGAAGACGGAGTGGGAGAAGGAGGCCCCGGCTGTGCCGGTGTCGCCGCTCTCGATGCAGAGCTCGAGCTCGTCGCTGCCACCGCCCTGGAGACTGGAGCGGAAAGGGCCGTCGACGAGGGGGAGGAAGACGGAGTAGAAGGGCTCGCCGGAGTTTTCGTCGTCCTTGATCTCCAGGAGGAGGAACTGTGTCTCGAGCGGGATGTCTCTGCCCCGATCGCCCATCTTCTGCGACATCCACCATAGCTTGAACCGAAAGCACGCCATGAATCGGACATCTCTGCGATCAGAGAACAAAAAAAATTAGGATTCCTTCTTTAAACAGGGGAGGAAGAAGAAGAAGAAGAAGCATTCATAGTTAAGCCAGACAGAGTAATTTGGGGGATTCCGATTCCTCCATCAGGAAGAGTAAAGCTCGACACTGAAGGCAGATTTAGGGATCAATCTGACCAGAGGAAGAAGAAGAGGCAAAAGGATCTTCTCTAAACTGATCGAGAACCAGGAGACGCAAGAATAAATGGATCTGCCATGAGATTGTTGCTTACCGAAGGGTGCCGAGGGAGACGACGTGTCGACAAGCAGGCTTGGAGAAATGAGAGCCGAGGAAGACGCCGTCGGCGGCGCCGGTATCGGAAGCGGCGGTGACCGTCACATTCTCCGGCACGCCGGAGAGCACTGTGCGCCCTCTGACGACTAGCCTACCGTCGGAGGAGATCCGCACGGAAGGTTTGATTGTCATTTCCCCTCCCTGTCGCCGCCGGAGGAATTGCTGCTGCCGCCGGTTGGGTTTCTCCTCCCTGGATTCAACCTCTTTGACGCCCTCGACTGCGCAAGGATCAGATCCGATTCCCTTCAGAGGAAAGGCATCAATCAGGTGAGAATCTCCATCTCCATCTCAATCTCCATCTCCACCCGGTGGATCAAATCAACCAGGATTAGAACGGAACCCCCAACCAGATCAATCTCCTCGCATACCTTGCAGGATCGGACGCGAAGGACAGGATCGCAGAATCTGAGACGGTGGAACCTGCAATATGCTCCAAATAAAATGGAGCCAAGGCAGGAAACCCCTTAGCGCCGGCAACCACAGCAGACGAACAGGATGAGGAAGGAGGAAACCAAATCTGATGAGAGATGCACTACCATACCAGACGCAGGGATCTTCAGGGGAAGACGAAGAACACCAGACAGGAAGATCGAGGATGCGGAAGCCCAAGGAGATCTGCAATGAGGAATGAAGGAAGGGAAGAAGGTATATATTGGCGTAGGGAAGGATCTTTCCCCCTGTGGAAACCACCGTGGAGCTGCGGTGGCGGCCGCAGCTTCCATTGCCGATCTCCTCTATTCCTCTCTCTAGATCGGGGAAGAAGACGATTGGATAACAGGGGGCCAATCAGGGCAGTAATAAATAGAGACGACTCAGATCCACGTCGGTGCACTACGTGGAGCGGAGTCGGACGCTACCAGGTCACGTGGCTCACGGGGACAAAGAACTACGTGGTCGCCAATCATTGGTCGTTTGGTCTGGTGGACCTATCGTAATCTGGCGTCAGCGTGGACTCTGACGGAGATTCTGGTCGTATTAAGGATACGTGTCTAAATCTGGCGAAGGGGAGGACGGCGGTTACGTGACGCGACGAAGATCTCCACGTCAACCGCGTGCCGATCTGAGGACCTGCTGAGGTCCTCGTCGTGTTGCCATCCAGACCGTTGGGCCAAATTCTGACTGATGATGACTCGGATCCATCACACAGGGGGGTCCCACAAAAATCCATGCTGACGTGTGATGTCAAACCCTTTCCATTACCAATGACCTCACAAACGATTAAAGATTCTGCAATTATTTAACCATCTTACACCTGTAAAGTTATTTATTTACATCGAAGACCTCTATTTTTAAAAAACTTATAATCTATCTTCGTGTAATCTATTGGGGAAATTATAAAAAGAGTCCCCTAATAAATTCAATATTTATTAATGTAAAAAGATTTCATTAAGTCACAAAGCAATTAAAATCATGAGTAATTTTGTTATTTGAAATATGATTTATCTTCAAAGGCATATTATGTTCATACATCTTACTAATGATGGTTATAGTTCATGAACACTATTTTAAAATTTATCCCACTAATAACTATGTTTCATTTCAATAATAAGTATAGGCAATAGAAGAAGAAGAAGAAGAAGAAATGATCTTCAGGAAAATTGCGCGATAGAAGCTAGAAAAATCTTGACTTTGTTGCAACTTTCATGAAGATAATTGTGTAAAATGTAGGAAGAAATCTAGAGTAATACTTGAGGGAGAGAAAAAAATAAAGCCAATATAAAATCTATTGGACCCACCCTTGGTTCTGATGATGACATGAGATATTGGTTTACTAATGTCATATAAAATAACAATTTAATATCTTAACATTCATCTTTAAATTGTTCATATACTATGATATTGTAATCCATATGGGTTGCTATTTATATGTTTACAATACAATGTGTTATCATAATATATATATTTATAGTTTTTTTTTTTATGTTCCTAGTTAATTTATTATCTTCGTGTATATATGTTGGTGCTATATATTATTCGAGGAGCAAAGGGAGAAACAAAGGGGGCACCTTTCATAGCTTTCTAGAGATTTATGTCATCTATAGAGTGTTGACAATGTGAACCCCAAGATTTATATTTGTTTTGCATACAATGCTGACTTCATTTTGTAATGACCATGTCCTTAGATTTCACTAACACACATGTTACAACAATCTAGTTATCATGGAGGCTTCAACTCACCTTCACTGGATCCATGGCTCTGACCACCACAAATCTCCTCAACCTTGAATTAAGAACATCTTCTCAATTTGTGGCTGTACGTACATCAGTTCAAGTATGTGTTCTACTCAAATAATGTAAATATTTCAAAATTAAGAATGAAATTGTAGTACTTAGATTTCTTGAGTGTGTTAATGTGGACCTGGAGATGTGGAAACTTCTCTTTTTGCAACATGCTTTAATGCTCGAAAATGACATCAAAGTATAATTTATAGAGTGTAGAGTTACACCACCAATGCTGATAGGTTAATCCTAATTATAGGAAAATGTTTATATTATTATCCTGATTTATATCAATTTAAAATGGCCCTTAAGAGTAATTTCAATGGGTAGCTTGAAACCACTAAATGGTTTGATCACACCACTATAATGTTTCTTCTCCTTCCATATCATGTCTCATGATTCTAACATTTATTGAGCACTTCTACTATACACTAATTGAGTGAGCTTAGTATACAAGCAAATATAGACTTGATTGCAACTAATCTCAAAGTGTATTCATAATATCAGATCATTATTGAACTGACTTAAACTGACACAATATGGATATGAACATTACATCTTAATGGAACTAAGTATTGATTTTTCCTTGAAGATTTCCAAACTCTTAACATAGCCATCATGTGTGGTTTTCTAACATTATGATTTATGTTTATTTTAGGAAAAAATAGATGTTGGAGTATCATAGACAATCAAAAATATTTTTGTGCTTGATTTCTCAATAAACATCATGTCTTTTCAATATATAAGTAACTCAAAATGTTCATCTCCATCTCTATTACAAATTCAAATTATTTTCTTGTAGACAATTTAGAGAGAAATTGAGAAGACATGTTCTTGGTCAAATTACATGTAATCGGTGAGTTATACTCAAGCATCCACTATCCCTCCTCAATCAAATTCAAAGAGAAGAGGAGAGCGACAACATTAGCCTCCAACATGAGAAAAGGCCTTAATGTCAACTTTTCCATCTAGAGTATAAGTCTCCAATATTAGAATTTTTGAGAAAAGGGCAATGACCGTCTAAGTCTCTAACATTGACCTCTTCATTAGAATTTTGAAAGTACTCAATGTCAACTTTTCCATCTAGAAATATCCCATAGTGAAATCTTTGATTATTACTTATGAGATAAATGTATTAATTAATCTTCCTTAATTAGTGGAGGGAGTTAAACCTATCATTCAGTTGTTGCCATCATAGATCTATGAATTTAGAAGATAATTTCTTATAAAAATTATAAGAGAGTTAAACCAAGAGTCAGTGGTTGTCATTGTACCCTCTAAAATTGTTCTTTAGGAGTAGAAAATGGGTCAAACTAATATAAAAATCTCTTTTTCTCATACCTATTAATGTAGGAAGACTGTATGACTTGAACTTGTAAGTAGAAGATGAAAATGAAAGGAGAGAGGAGAGAGCTTTTTGAACAAAGGATCACAAATAAATCAATTCAACCCTCATTCTTAATCTAAATGTAGCCTTAAATCCATTCTTCACCATTATGAGTAAAACCTTTTATGATCAAATTTATGAAAATACATATAAAAGTTTGCCAAAATTTTCTAGGGTTTGAAATCATATGATATTTTCTAAGGTTTGAAAATATATTCCAATACTTTAATACACATCATCCGAAATTATTAATAATATGAAATTTAAATTTTATCCCTATATACATTTTTGAACATCAAAATTAAGAGACCAATGAAATAAACTAGGAGAAATTCCTTCAAGGCAAAAATGGTCTATATTCATGCTTGAGATTATTAAAATATTTTTGGATGTAAGTTAATGTCATAAGTATAGTCATGCATGTGAATGAGGGAGATACTTGACATGAACACAATGTAGAAAGTAGCACATTAAAATTCAATTTTTTTAACATTATTATTTTCAAAATATTAATTTTATGGAGAGTAAAGTTCGAACACACAAATGACCTAAAAAATGAAATGTTATATATCCATTCAAATTACCATTGGACCCCCAATAAGCTAAATCTAAAAGGGCATTTCAATCAACATTATAGTAGAACAAAAAAGAGAGAAAATCAGAAGAGCCTCTATGCCCACATCCATCCCCAAGGAGTCCAAGCCAAAAGTCTTTATCTTCATGCATCTAAAATAAAATAAGATGTATTGTTGTTCAAGCCTTCAATGTCTCATCCACACAAGTTTCTATAATGAGATATTAGAGGAATAATATCTCTAGAAGTCTAGAACATCAACACTTGGAATACTTTTATATTTTAGGAGTATATTTAATTCTTAAGATAACCTAGAACCGTATATCTACAAAAGAGTTGCAAAATGAAATCTTATGAGGAATCTTCATGTCTCTCTCCTCAGCTTGATTCATCCATTGTTGACTCAACCAATGGTCGACATATTTGAATCTTTTACAGCAAGTTTTAATTTCTTTATTTTTGACTCTACAATGGTGATATAACTTATCAAATTGACTTACTTGGGTCAACTCATTCACAGCTTGAGTTAATATTTCTTTAGAAAATATTTTCTTGTTTGTTCTAATTTCATTTTTCTTCTTTTTAATAACTTCCTTTGTGATTCTTTTTAATATTTCATTCTTGAAAAGTATAATCAAATAACAAATAATAATGTTTCTTCTAGGGATCACATTATATAAATGTAATTATAAAAATCTAAATGTTTTCCTCATTCTTTTAAGTCATCACAAAAATATTAGGGATCACATTTATGCATTTTCATGCTCATGGAAAGGCCTAAACTACAATTGATTTCATCATCAAAACTATGTAAATCATTACTAAAGACACCACCTATGCATTTAACTAATTGTGTAGAATTAGTCAACTGAATGACTATATATGTTACGTCAAACTCAATTAATTATTCAAGAATAAATTATGACTCACTTTAGTTTAATCTGTTATTTGAATCAACCAACTGAACTATTGATGTATTATCATTAGTAACTCCGCTCTTGGTTGATGCCTACTAATTGTAAATTGAATGACTATATATGCTACACCAAATTAAAGTAATTATCTAGGAACAAATTTTGACTCACCTTAATATACTTATATAAATTGACCACCTTAGTAAACATAAATTAAATGACTCACCTCTTGGTTGATGACTTTGATTCCAAATCCAAGGAGATGATGATTTACTTGTGTCTGCAAGGACTCATTTTTCAGAGTCCAATTGACCTGACCGGACCGATCCTCACAGACCCTGAGGAGCCCGCTTCCCCTCCGGCGGTGCTCCGGCGTCGCCGCCGGCCTCGCTGCCCGTCTATAAATAAGTGGGCTGCGGCTGCTGACGAAGATCGAGAGAAAGGAGAAGGGAGGGGTTCTCGCTAGCGGGAATTAGGGTTTTGCATTTGCCGAGGGTAGAGGGTAGGAGGAAGAGGAAGCCATGGGTGAACGGAAGGTGCTGAATAAGTATTACCCTCCCGACTTCGATCCGGCGAAGATCCCCCGGAGGAGGCAGCCCAAGAACCAGCAGATCAAGGTCCGCATGATGTTGCCGATGAGCATCCGGTGCAACACCTGCGGGACTTACATCTACAAGGGGACCAAGTTCAATTCACGCAAGGAGGACGCCGTCGGCGAAGTAAGATTGATGGCTTCCCTGTTTATTGTTTAATATATTCTGGGCATTTTCTTCACGGAATTTATGTTTTCTTGGCGACAACCGCTCTACCTGGTATGAACCTGCTCTCTAGAATGGAGATATGAACATCCTTGGGCAAACCAGAGGGTGAAACTTCTGCTATCCCCATCTGCCCACTTTGTTATTTAGCATTTAGAGTCGAATGGGAGCGCTGCGATACTCAGATTATGTGCACTTCAGATTTTGTAAAGTCTCAGGTAGCTCTACAAAATTTAGGCTATGTTTGGTGGAGTGTTTATAAAATATTTCTAGTCATGATCGCTCAAACGTGCGTGTTAGGCGATATCAGGTCTGCCACCAGATAGCTTTTAGTGAAGGAATTGTGCGAACGGATAAATCCATTGAATACCTCTCCCCATAATACAATCTTTTCCTGGAGTTGCTTCCGTGCCCTGAGAGTTCTTATCGTTCTTTCGATTCTCTGAACTGAGGAATCAGATTTTTCATCTCCTATCCGATTTCTAGCTGTCATCCGTCGCTTGTTATTTTTCCTGTTTCTTTCGATTAGAGATGCACAGCCATTTTACTTATCCGGAATAATATTTCGTCCTTCCCATTTTTTTGTTCAATCTTTTACTTGATTTCTTATACAAAAAGTGTCATCCTATGTAGTAATGAATGCATGGCACACCTGGGAAAGTATTGGTCCTAATCTCATACCAAATCGTGTTGCATAATTAGAACATGCATAGCGGCAGGTTGTGTTTCATTATGGTTAGGCTAACAGATGATCATTTCAATGCATCGTTGTTTTGCAGACATATTTGGGAATTCAAGTATTCAGGTTCTACTTCAAATGCACCAGATGTTCAGCTGAACTCACATTTAAGACGGATCCCCAAAATAATGATTACATTGTTGAGTCCGGCGCCTCCCGTAACTTTGAACCTTGGCGGGAAGAAGATGAGGTGTGCCCTTCTGATTCCCTGGAAGGCTGGTTTGTCTTGTTGGGCTGTCTGTAACGATTCACCGAAGGGTGCTTCGGTATTTTATTAATTTTCAGTTTTATTTGCCTTTGACTAACCGATATTTTCTCATGCCCTCCCCCCCCCTCTGTCAGAAAGTTGACAAAGAGAAGAGAAAAAGAGAAGCTGAGGAAATGGGTGATGCTATGAAGTCTCTAGAGAACAGAGCAGTGGATTCCAAAATGGACATGGACATACTTGCTGCTCTAGAAGAAATGAAGTCCATGAAGGTAGAAGCCGTACTTGGTTATTATTCAGAGTTTCCAGTGGACACAATGTTTAATATTATATATGTTAGAAGTGATTAGGCCCAGTGGGGATTATCAGCATAGAAAATGAAGCCTTCTGGTTATTGATGAAAATATTTTCTTTTGTTTTCTTGTCCTTTTGCTTCTCCAGTCGAGGCATGCAACGGTGAGCTCAGATCTCATGCTCGAGGCCTTGAAACGCTCAGCAGAGAAAGAGGTACGCCTTTATTTCACTTGTTAAATTGGACTCACATATTTTCCTTGCACCATTACTGATCCTTGTCCATAGAATTTCATCCTCGTTGTGGCTTCCTGGTTGTAGGCTTGTAGTGAATTGACTAGGAGGAAATGATGTGCAGCTGAAGGACATTTGTTGTAGAATTAGACTAACAATATCAATCGTTGGAACCTACATTACTTTTATGTAAAATTTTCAGAGGTCACTGTTATCTTTTCAGCTTCTACCCACTTGGCCCAGTTCAAATTTCCAGTACACGTATGGGTCTCATAATGTCAGCCGTTCTGTTGTGAAGTCATTTCATACCTTGTTGTTTGAACCAGAAAGGTTTCAGTGAAAGACGTTTCATTCCTGAGCTAAGAACTTTGGTTTCCCTGGACAAGCCCTGTCTTTGGGGGATATGAATCTCTGCAGTTTCCTGGGAGATCGTGTAGAAATATAGATCAATCACTGTTCTCACACTATGGAGTTCATTTGTCTAGGCCGTACCAACCTAGGAGTTGTTGCTGAAATCTTATTGGTAGAATTGGTTTCTTCAATTTGGTTAACCTTAGATGCAACACCTCTTCTTATATTTTCTGTGTAAGTTTGTATCACTTGACAGAGTAAGAATGAAGGCAATTCACAATGCTCTTTACTTGTGACAAAAATCCCAATAATTATGGTTTGTAAAGCGTTTTCCCTTATTTCTCCTTCTTCTTTTTTTATTACCTAATTGATTGTTTGCGTGTTATTGTCCGTGACAGGAACGGGAAATAGAGGAGGAGGATGAAGAGCTTATAAGGAAATATTATCATGTAAGGTTTTTTCATGCACGCCATATTTCTTTCTTATACTTGCTATATATCTATTAAGCTCTGATTGGTGACCGTTTAGAAATTATATAGGACCGAGACTTGGAGGATACGGTTCGTCGGATCGATGATGATGGTGTGGATCTAAATGAGGATATATATGAGGTAACCTCTTCTTATTCATTTAAAGACGCGTTTGAACAGATCGACTTCACAGTTTCTTTCTTAGACTGACATGAATTTTATTGTTCGTTCTTAAGAGTGTAATATATTGCTTTGAAACCTAGTTTTTATAACTAGCTTTTATAATATCAAAGTGGCCATTTGCACCATGCATGAAGTTGACTGCAGAGATGAGATGGTTGAATGAAACGGTGGATAAAGGTGATGCCTAATGATAGACCATCACTCTGGTCACTTTAATTACCCTTGCAACCGAGATTGAATTATATATGATTTTCTCAGTTAAATTCTGTGAAACTTTTTTATGGAAGGATAGGATTTTTCCCTTTGAAGAAACTGAATGTTTATATGCCTCAATTTTTAAAATATTTACATTCTTTGAGTGGTGGGGAGGACGGAACTTTGTCACAAATAGTAAATTTGTTGGAATCTAATGATTAAAGCCTAGTTTGTGATTGGTCATCTGTCTGTCTGGTACTATCAATACGCAGATAAATCTACTCTGCAACTGAAAATCAGAAGAAAACACCATCATTTATTCTAGTGGGTGGAGGTTAGTTTTCTAGGAGTGGTTTTATAATCTATAATCTTTTTGAACTGGAATGATCTATATTCTGTATTTTATTTTTTTGCTCATTTTCAGTTCTAGTACTCTGAATAAGTATCAAAGTTGCCCCCATCTGTGGTCTCAGAAATTAGACAAGATTACGGCTTAACCTATAAAATACTTCTCTGAATGAAGAACGAGGATCCATGGTGGTTAGGAAATCGTCTGTGATTTAGACTGACTGCTCTTCACATCTCAGGGCAATATCTTCATTTGAATCATCTTACGTGTGATGTGGAGTATTCATGCAACGTAAAATCTAGCACGAAGTGGGTTTGTGGCTACATCAAAATTATGGTGCCCACCCAAATCACTTGCCTATGATTTTCACCCACTTGCTTTTCATTGGGTTCTGTCAGAGTTAAATCAGTTCATCTGGGATTGGTTGGTTATGTGTAGACATGGGATGCGATGGCACCTTCATATCAACATAGAGGAGCTCTTCATTTTGAACAATTACACTGAACTTGACATCTTCAGCTGTTTTCAGCATTATTTGGTATAAACCAGGCGGTGTTTTTGAATGCATTGCCCTGGTGGCCGGGTGCCCCAAGCATCCAAGGGAGCTCAAATTTGTATGGCATCCCTGCTATCTAGTCTGATTGTGAATGCAATTAGAATGTGGATAGAGTAACATTGCCGTGTTCATGGAATGGGTTTTTGTTGGGGTCTGTGCTTGGTGTTCAACCATGCAGCCTGTGTATGTATAGTTCAGCCTACTGATCATGGCTCTGTGTTATTCGAGCAGGGTGACAAGAACATTCAGAAGGATGTGACTGAGGTGATTGGGAATCCAACAGACGTTTTGACAAAAGCCGGCGCTTCCAGAAATCCCAGACGTGATGGTAAGTTGATGACTTTGCTGCTTCTCCAAGTATTGATTTAGGTCTTTGGTCTTCTGATGCATGGTTTTTTGTCCAAGATTTTCATTTTATTTTGCTTCTCTCTCTCTCTCTCTCTCTCTCTCTCTCTCTCTCTCTCTCTCTCTCTCTCTCTCTCTCTCGCTCTAGCCTCCCTTCTTGTTCCTGTTCCAGTTGTTTTTTGTCCAAGATTTTCATTTTACTTTGCTTCTCTCGCCCTCTCTCTCCAGCCTCCCTTCTTGTTCCTGTTCCAGTTGTTTTTTGTCCAAGATTTTCATTTTATTTTGCTTCTCTCTCTCTCTCTCTCTCTCTCTCTCTCTCTCTCTAGCCTCCCTACTTGTTCCTGCTCCAGTTGTTTTTCTGTCCAAGATTTTATTTTTATTAAGCTGTAGTGTAGTCAATTAATGCTGACCATTCATTCACATGCCTGTGGGCCAGCGACGTTCATCAGCCAGAGCTAATCGTTTGTCTCCATGTCGTCAGATTTCTCCCATGTTTCTTGACACTCCCCCATGAATTCTCTCTGCAGAAACTTTGGGAAGCTCTGGAGCACCAAAGCCAAAGACACTACAGCTGTCGTCCGTCATGGTGACCGTCGCCAAGAAGCCCCGCCCGGCCCACGACGCCGGCGAGCCGCCGCCGCCGCCGCCCAGTGGGGTTTCCTCCAATGGAGGAGCGGCGCCCAAGAAGAACCCCCCCGAAGCAAGCACAGTGCTCTCATCTCTGTGCCAGAATTATGAGAGCGATGAAGATTGACACAACTCTGATTGCCAGCCTCCCTCTGATCCTTTCCTCGGCAAGCTCAGCTGCCTTCCCCGTCTGCCGCCATATTAAAATGATCTACAAAAAATCTTTCATAGTAAGATGGCCTGTTCCTTCCATATCTTACTATATCTATGGAGAAACCTTGTACGCCACTACTTGGGAATTCCATGGAAAACCTCCTCGGACGTCTGTCATGGCCGCCATCCTATCTTCGTCTTCCCCTTCCTTCTTCCCCCACAAAACCCATAGCCTGGTTTCTTCTGCCGTTGAGTGCGGCCATTGAATCAGAACATTGAAGGCGTCACAGTGTCGCATTACACGAGAAAAGATTCGGTCCATAGAGAGAGAAAGAGACCCGGTACGGAGGTACAACCAGAGAGATAAGGGAAGTAGAGAGAGCCGAAGGAGAAGAATGGTGGCACATGCGCACAGTTTCAGACGCACTTGAAGCCGACGGGGGGAGTGAGAGGGGGAGAGGGGGGTACAACCAGAGAAGAATGGTGGTGCACGCACGGTTTCAGAGGCACTTGAAGCCCGCGGGGACCTTCGTCTTGCAGGCGCTTACCACCGCGCTGACGGCGACCGTCCACTCGGTGACGATCCCGAGGACGCTCTCCTTAGCGACGGTGCAGAGGCATGCCGCCACCTCCGCTCCGGCGAGCCCGCCGAGCACGGCGCAGCACGCGCCCTTGCTCGCCGGCGTCCCCACGACGACACCGCCGACACCGAGCAGGCCCGCGCAGGCGCCGAGCTTGACGGCGTCGCGGGGGCAGAAGGGGTTCGCGGGCGGGAACTTGGTGGGCGGCCTCGCCGGAAATCCCTTCCTCGACGGCCACGGCGTCGGCTCCTTGGGGGGGATGATGCCCCCACTGTAGCCGCCGGAGACGAAGGAGGAGTAGACGAGAAGAAGGAAGGAAACACAGAGAACTGCGGTAGCCATGGTGACGGCTGAGAGAGCGAGAGATAGAGAAAAAGAGAGAGAGAGAGAGAGAGAGAGAGAGATGTAGCTGCGAGATGAGAGATAGAAGTTGGCTGCGTTTTTATACAGGCAAAAAGACTGGAAGGATTCTTCATACTTAAAAGGAAAGTAAAACCCATTACATTACCGCAAACACCAAAAGCCCTGACTCTCTTCTACCCTGATTTCCACAACCTCAATCAACGCCAGACGATGAACAGCTTCATGGGAAATAATAATAACTAAATAATTAAATAAAAACTAATGTCTGATAATAAGAGTCTTAAAAGATTTATTTATCAATGAGGAAGATGAGTTTGGAAGTAGCTAACCACCGACTCCAACATGGGCAACCAAACCCTTCCTAAATCTCTATACAGAAAAACAGTGAGATTTAATCAATATGTGATACTTGTCTAGAGAGAGATTCTCGTCGAAGGGATGCAAGCTTCTCATAATCGAAGAGAGCTTTACTGGCTGCTGGTAAAAACGCCGACAATGGGCGGAGGGGGGGAAGGTAGATCGAGAGGGGGAGATGATGCCAGGCGGGCGTAGGCCAGGAGGTGAAGAACGAGGTGAGGGAGGCCTGCAGATCGTCCTTGTCTCCTTCCCATGCAGCTCTCTGCATGTGTGAAAGGACATGTAGAGATATGTCTCTCTCTCTCTCTCTCTCTCTCTCTCTCTCTCTCTCTAGTAAGAGATCTGATCTATGGAGGGGGGAGATGCGGGAAAGAGCGAATCAACCGGGGGGCCCGCTTCTACTTTCTCTCTAGATCCGAAGGACGAGTACCCACCCAAGTGACCGTCGCTGAAAAGGTCCCGTATGAGGGAGTGGGACGCACTCTGTCTTGCAGGAAAGTGATGGGGCAGCCGGACCCACCTATACCTTTACTTTCTCTCTCTAGACAGAAGGGCCAGTACCCAAGTCACAGAGGGATATAAAGAGCCGAGCACAAAGGACCTTCCTTTTTCCTTCTCTCTCTCTCTCTCTTCATTCCCCATGAGAATTACCCTCCAAACTCCTCACTCGTCTGTCCAGCAGTGACATAACAGCGCCCTACAGGCTGTCGCCGGGGGGTGGGGGGTTTCCCGGAGGTACGGACCAGAAGAAGAAGAAGAGGAAGAAAAGGGGGAAAAACAGCAATGTTAGCAGCGTTGTGGGCCTCTCCGCTCTACAGCGGCTCGCAAAAGCCATCACCATCTCAAGTGCCTGCAGAATGTGGGGGAGAAGGAGATGCTCACATCACACAGTGCAGTAAAAACCCACATCAAAAATCATACTGCATCGGCACAGATCTAGAGAGAGAGATTCTCGATATGGGTTTTGCCAAGGGGGGAACCCAGATTGAGCAAGAGGGCATTGCAAGGGGAATCAATGGGCTAGACGAGGAGAGTCACAGACCTGCTGGTTTGTTCTTCCATATCCATTCCTGAGCGGCCTGAAGTCCCTGCAAGTTATATGTAAACAAATAAAGAGAGAGAGAGAGAGAGAGAGAGAGAGAGAGAGAGAGAGAGAGAGAGAGAGAGACTTTCACGCTTCAACAGCAAAATAAAGTGGGAGTGAGATAAAAATACAAAAAAAGAGGAGGGAGAGAGAGAGTTTGTCACGCCTCGACAGCAAAATAAAGTGGGAGTGAGATTATAAAAAAAAAAAGAAGAGAGAGAGAGGTCCATGTGGAAATAAATAAATACCTGCTGAATACGAGCAGGATCAATGGCCCCACGGGCCTGCGCATGGCCATAACCCAGATCCTATAAGGAGCATAACTAATAAATTAAACACATCCAAATGTTCTCGTGATGTAAATCCCACAAAGAACCAAAACAAAAGAAAAGAAACTCGCACTTCACAACCGTTCTAGAAACAAGAAAATAAAACTCGTCTTTTGATTACCTGAGTAATTTGATTGCTAAGAGCTCCAGGAGCCTGATACTGTTGCTGAAATTTATAAAAATAAAATAAAAAACACAGACACCACGTGAATCAAAGAACAGAGTTTGAAACCTTGCTATTAGGAAGTTCATGAAAACTGACCACCAGAGCAGGTTGCAGCTGCTGCGTCGGTGCCTGCTGCCTGATCTGCATCTGACCTTGCGCCTGCTGGAGTTGAGCCATATGTTGCTGAGTTGACTGAACCTGAGGCGGCAACTGCGGCTGGGTCTGTGTCTGAAGCTGAGAAACAGCCGATTTCTGCAGCGACTGTAACTTCTGCTGCTGTTGTTGTTCAAAGAGGGACAGCTCTTCGGGTTTCTCCCACTGAGGAAGACCCATTGTGTGGGTCACTTGCAAAGTTAGATTGATGAAAAGACACAAAAAAAGGGAAAAAAAAGTCGAAGACAGATGGGAAAAACCCCACCTTGCTTTCCTTTGTCATACTGTTATAATAGTACTTGTAGCCTTCGGGAGAGGTGTGCTCGGTCCAGTTACAGGTGGGGGGTCCTGCTGTCATGGCGGATGATACCGGCATGGAAGGAGTCGCACCCACAACTGAAGAACCAACTGCTGCAGTCGTTACAGCTGCAGGGCCACTGGAGACCGGATGCTGCACACCTCCACTCCAGGGAGACTGCGACGTTGAGATTTAGGTACAGGACCAGTGGCAAAAGCTATAGAACATGCAAATCTATCGAGAGAGAGAGAGAGAGAGATTTAGGTAGCTCAGCACCTGCTGCTTAGTAGCTTGGGAGCCCTGATGCTGACTCAGGGATGGCTGCATCTGCTGCAACTGCTGCTGGAGCTGGGAAAATGCCTGCTGGGTAGACTGAAATGTGGACTGCAGGCTCTGTGTCTGCTGCTGCAGCATCATTTGAGTCGGAGACTGCTGGACAGGTTGCTGAAGCAGCTGGGGAGGGATGTTGGGGGCAGTCAACTGCTGTTGACCGGTAGTTGACATGCCCAAAGGCGGCTGCTGCTGCTGCTGCTGCATCAATGCCTGCGAAGCCGGCAACTGGCCACCAATCCCAACTAATTGTTGACCAGGCAGAGCAGCCTGGGGAAACGAGCCCAGACCGCCAGACAGAGGGATCTGCATTTGGCCAAGCTGCTGGTGCATTGGTGCCTGCAAAGGCTGCCCCTGTGAATAAGGCACTGAAGATTGCGGCGGGGGGTGCATCTGCAAGGACTGTTGCAAGTGCTTCGGGGACATGAGCGGCTTCTGCAATGGCAGTACCTGCTGACCCATAAGTGGCACTTGGGCGATAGATGGACTAAAGCCCTGGATGAAACACACACACACACACACACACAGAGGATGTGAGAATCAGAAGATCAAATTAAAAAAAAACTGAAACGTACTTAAAACCAACCTCCAAGAGCCTACTTATCAGAGTTACTTAATTTTAGTACTTCTGAGATACTCAAATTGAAGATATGAAACCTCAAATTTCTTACTTAGTTTCAATTTTATCAAATGCACCCTTCCAGTTTAACATGTCTCCTGTTCACTCGCCCAGATTCCCATGATATCATGATTCAGAATTCAGAATTCTAACCCGATGAGGAGAATTTTAAATTAATTTAGAGAAAATATAATTGAAGATCCTAGCAAGCGCACCGAAAAAAAGGATCACAACAATGACCACTAGGTTTGCATGAATATGCGTTGTGAGAATAAATCTTTCTTATATTTTAGGTTTAACGATTCAATGGTGTCAGTTTGAGTATATGGCAGCAAAACCCAGGGAAATTCAAAAGAATCGACTAATACCAGAAATGGCAAAATCAACATATGCTCTCAAGTTTCATCAATAGAGCAGGACGCATCATCATTTTGCCCCCATAGCATTGCTCTGGCCTCCCAAAGATCAACAACGTGTTGACATTTTGAGACTAGAAACTCGATTCCTCTAGGATACCAGTCAACAAAATCCTCTAGGAAGCACAATATTACAGACACTCCTTCAGTAGGTCAACGAATCTGAGCTGCCTCACAAAGTCAGTAATTGATTAAGGGGCAAAAGTAACCATACCCCAACAGTACTTGGTTCATTTCCAACAGCTTGCAATCACATGCTTACACGGTGCAAAGAAGATGACTTAAATCTATGCGCAATCACATTCTGAATGGATAAAATTAGTAATAGCACTAAATATTCACTATTATTAAAAGAAGTTAAAAATTCACATGGAGAAAATCGAGGCAACTACAGACACAACAAGGTTGTCAATCACAGTTGCAGAAAAGAAATTAAATCCTAGCGTTGTACTGAAGTGAAAACAACAAGCACCTGTTGTGGCATAGATGACGATGTCAGCACAACCCCTGGAATGGAACCATTCGTTGGACCGCCAAGAGGACCCAAGGAACCAGGCTATGAATTTCGCAAGATTTGTAGTCAGGAAATTATCCAACTGGTGTCGTGTTCTCATTAAGGACGTAAAAAAAAGCAACAGATACTCACTAACGAGGAAGGAGTTGGGACACCAATTTTGGAAGATCTGTCACCATCAGATGGACCACGTGATCGTGGGCTTGGAGGATGCCAGGCACTAGATGAGTAAGTTATACGTCTCTTAGTGGTAGGTTTACTGATTTTAATTGGCAACATAAAATAAAAATACAAATATGAAAACCAAGCAAGTGAAAAAGGTGCATAAGCACAAACATCAAACGATTTAATTCAATCAAGACAGACTGACTCAATGTTCAGTAAAATAAAATAAAATTGTATCATACTAAGCATGTCCCAAATCAGATTGGATAAATACTAGTCTATGAGCAAACCGCAATAAAAATATTTTCAAAAATAAACTTCAACATGAAATAGATATCATCGTGGACTAGAATCTTGAAAAATCGATCTGACTCGTAAGAGTCAAGATCGATCACACTGAGTTGATAAACATTGGTTTCAATAAGGCAAATTATTTGGACTGTGTTTAATCCGCATAAAACATACCTAGGTCCTGATGGCGGCTGAGATCTTGGACCATAACCCGGACCACCAAATGCAGGTCCACCCCTGCAGAAGATATATCTTTAAATAGAATGTGATGCAAGATGCCAGAGAGATTGCAAAAGCAACTCCGCGAATTATAAACAAATGGAATATTGTATAACCTTGACTCCCCTGGACGAGGCTTCTTAGGATCTGCAAACCTGACCGTTAAAGGTTGATCACATCCCTAGTCATACATAAAAAACTATAAATACACCATGATAAGTTACATAATTATGAAATTTCCTGAGAGAAATACAATTTTACCCTCATTGTGTATTTTCCATTGAGAGCATCTATTGCTGCCGAGGCCATGTCTCTATGAGAAAACTTTACAAAGCCACAGCCTTTCACGAGTGATAAGCAGGCAATGAGAAGTAAGCAGAAAAATACAACCAAAAGTCAATCTCAGTATCTAAGTTAAATTGGACGATATAAAACACACCACGGCTTTGTTTCATGTCATCTTTCATGATGTACACATCTTCAACACGCCCATAAGGTGCAAATATCTGCAACAGAAATATCAAAGTAGTTTATAATCATGGGCAGTGCTGATGGCTTAGTGTACAAAAGCATACGCCACAAAGATCAAATATGAATTGACAAATGGTATGTCGACATCCCCTGGGATGATGAAGCCAATGAAGGTTGCGAAAATAGGACAAACAAATATGTTATAACACAAAAGGGATGGAGGAGTAAACCACACAACAGTAGAGGCAAAGTATAAGAAAGTTAAGAAAAACCATCACCGAAAAATCCATCAAACAAAATCAGAATCAGTGAGATGTCACGAAAACAGTATACAACAGCAAAATGAACGCACGGGAGGTCAAACCCCATCACACAATACCATTACACTATTCGTCTTTCCACTCATTGTCAATAAAGAAAGCAGTAAAACAAACAAAATCGTAAGAGGCATTAGAAAAAGCTACATCAGCAAAAAACACGAGCACAGAAAGCATAAAGAAAACAGATCGAGAAAACACCACCCGTTAATTATATGATCCTTGATGATTATTGAGAAAAATTAGGCAGCTTGGTGACTACAATGTAGGAGCCAACATCTGGAAAAATAGTGAAAATTTCATGGAAATACGGCTGAGAGGCATATTGTTTCACAGGACTCTAGCAGAGAGAACCACAGAGTTCAGCAACTAAAATCAACTTACTTCTTCAATTTCCTTTTCTGTAGCCTGCTTGTTGAGGGAACCAACAAACAACTTGTATTCAACTGCACCTAACACAGAAAAGAGATGAGAAATTTCCTCTTTTCCTCAATTAACTGGGAATCTTCAAATCAATATGCATTCCCCAAGATAAGTACAGAAATTAACAAAACAATTAATGCATTCGGGTTACAATAGTCGGGATATAATTTCACAGAAACCATTGCATATACTCAGCAGTTAATTATCGTTCTAAGATCCACGTAAGCGGGACAGCAAAGCTGACAACTATGCTGACAAAACAAACGTTAAATAACTGACAAAGCCAATTCGAGCATTATAATTATTGCATAAAATTGGTAGCCGAAAAGAAATCTGTTAGATGTAAATAGGGAACTTCGGCCAACATTTTATAAAATGATTGAACATGGACGAACGGTAGCTTTATGTTATTCATCCTTCTTGCCAAGACTGATGCATGGCGGTTGATATCTCTACCTGAACTACGAGTCAAGCCCCACTTTTTCAACAATTGGTGATTGAACATAACCCATAATGCCCTCAAGATTCTTGGCAATTGATTCTAACATGCACTTTCTCAAGATTCTGGGAAAGTTTTGAATCTAAACCCGCTTACCTGTCAATAAATCCACAGGGTCACCTTCTGACACGTCAGCCAGAAGAAGACCGCAGGGTTGAGTAGAGTGAACTAGACTACCCAAAAAATCAAACTTTCCCATTACGGTCCACACCAATGACCGGCAGGCTTCCTCTTCATCATCACCACACGTGGATCTGATGATGCTCATCTTTCTGAAACGTAAAGATGTGAACCTCCCGAAACTGAATCAGGGATATGCGTTCTACAGTTATACAGTCCAGAAAATACTAATTCGGAATATGGTTGAACGGTCACGTAAGAACCGCCTACAGCCCTCTCCAAAAAGGTTCAAATACTATGTTCTGCCAATACTGAAAATTCAAACCACTAGTTCTTCTAAGAACATTTCATCAGAGTCCTGCAATAATGTTAAGCTCACATGCAAAACACAATACCTAAAGACCAGAGTAACAAATCTAACATAACAACGGTAAGTACGAATTAGTAAGGCCATTATTCTGACATCATATCTATCTACAATCTACCCTTCACGTACATCAGACTTCTACATTGCCACGCTACCCTTCTCTTCCCCCAAACTGAAAGTGTCCAAAGATGCCAACTGGACAGGAGAGAAATATGGACAGAGTAAAAGAGTTCTTGATGGGGAAAACCTTATAACAGGGGATAATGATATGAAAAAAAGGGCAGAAGAAGTGTCAGGAAGGTGTTTAGAGATGCAGCCTTGCCGAGGTGTATGAAGCCAGACCTATGAGCATTTAAGTCAAAGGATTGCACCTCATTGATGTTCCCTTTTTAGCTTTTGGAAATGGATAGCGCACAAACACATTAATCGAAAAAAGATCAGAGGTATTTACTGTGCAAAAAGACCATACGTAAGTTCTGACACAGTTGTGCAAAAAGACTACGAAAAAGAAGATACAGATAGCCCACAGCAGCATAGAGAGACAAGTGGCGCGTTTACTTTGGACGCTTATAATATAACATATTGCCTTCACAGCCACAAGCAAGCCTCATAATTCATCTGGGAATTATTTTGCACAAAAATTGAGTTTAAGAATATTTTTCACTTTTCAAGGAACAAAGTTATGATATGAATCTCTCTTGAGTAAAATTTATGCTTCTGATTAATTAATTAGAAAATCAAGTTCCTCAAATGAATGATTCTTTCAAGGCTAATGTGAATAGCATTGATTAAGAAAATCTACCTCGCCAAAAAAAAGCACATAAGAGGTCATTTCTTTGGTGCAAATGTGAAATTAATTTTCCAGTCAAAATAACTTACCAAGCCGTTCACGTTCCCCATCAGCATATCTAACTTGGATTGGACCGTGGCCCTAAAAAAACCATAATTAACTTTCTTCTGTTATCAGTGCAAAACTACATATCAACAAGAGCAGTAAAATAAAACTATAGGTAACTAACCCCAGGCAATGTAAACTGATTGTGCAAAGCTCTAATTGCTCTATCTGCATCCTCCAAGGTCGCATATTTAACAAAACAACATCCTGTTGCAGTATAGATTTATTGCTTGGTCCAAATTCATTCTATTAATTATATTTGCAAGGTTAAAGCAAGGGGACAAGAGAAACGAACGTGACTGTAGGCTTGACCCTGAAAATCTAAGCATACTACTGACAGAAATAGCACCAGCACAAAAGCATTGAAACATGACAAATGATCAAATATGAACGACATCACAAACTCAAGCGTCCTGCTTTAATTGTAGGAAAAACAGCTTAGTGAACAAAAAAAATAAATGTTGGAAGACATCATCTGTAAGATTAAACCAATAAACACTAGTCAAACATCTACGATGAACTCTATCAATGCAATGTGCTAAGGAGGTATCAATGAGGGGCAAGACAGTTATCCTGGATGCAACTATGATCAATAAGATAAATGATTCAATCCTTAAACCCTCCGAGAATGTTCACAGAGATGAAACGTTAAAAAATTGATAGGATGATAGCCCCACACTCTTTTGTGTTTAGAGAGGTAATAATTACATCCCAAGAATATTGACCATCAAGATGGTCCACAACATATATTCGAATCCTGCAGCAAGGTTATACTACAACCATTCCATTCTCAGTAGTTACAGAGTCATTTTGAGAAATATTTCAAGATCCCAGCACAATAGTGATTGCCATTTAACAAAGTAAATAACATTCATACATCGCCAATGATGACAATAGGGCACCCATTTCTTTTGATCCAGTGAACATGGGAAACTGAAAGCATGAGAAGAAGATATTGAAAATGAGCAAGCCAAAATTCATAATGGGCCAGTTTCCTCTTTCATAACCAGTACCCATCATCCGATTATAAGCGGGATGTGTAGTAAAATTCAATAGACCCCTGAACGACAAGGAACCGTCCACTGATCCAACTGCAATTGACACACTGCATATTTTGGAAGAAATTTTTCCCAGAATCACACGTCATTGACTTCTATTGAAATGAACTTCTACAGAAAAAGGTATTAACCACGAGGAAAGAATTTGACTGAATGAACCAACCAGTTCATTCCACAGAACACTAATAAGCATTCATAAACGTATAATAAATGAAGGCACCAGAGCTTGGGCCAGAAATCTGTCACATGGATCAACAAAACTGAACATACATGGGTAGCACAGCTCCATTCATCTCTTTGTTAATTAGCAAGAACAAAACACCAATAACTTGTGTCAAAAGTAAATGGCATTTTGAAAGACTATGCCCACAGACAAGAAAAAAAATAACCAAGAACGTGGAAGGGAACAGACAAGCAAGAAAGTATTCAAGTAGAAAAATGAGACCCAGAATATGCAAACTAAAATCATCAGAAAATGGTTTATATCCATCAAAGCGCACAGAGAATTATGCACAAACAGCCATACAACATTTGAGAGATCAAATTCTCATAAGAAATCAGCATGATACCCCATTATTAATGTATGTTAACCCGACTCAAAGAAGAACAAAAGTAACCAACAGACTAAACATAATAAACGTGACTGGCAAACATCATAGAGGAAGCGATTCATCCAGAGGGGATAAAAATCACAGTTCGCACAATTTTGCCATCGACAATATGTTTACCATTATGCTCTCCAAAAACCCATAGAGTAATCATACATTCTGACCGTTGAATAAAATGAAGCTTTCAACGAAACACTTTCTAGACAAGGAATCACACTGGAGATACCTCAAAAATACCAAGATTCATCAGTGATGAAAAGTAAACACATCTAGCATAAGACATTGCCACATACATACCATCCATTCATCGCACTCTAAACTAAACACATGAACCATCCATACATCTCCACACCAGAAGAAATTTAAAACATCATTAACCAAAGGATCCAAGCTATTCAACCAAGCGGAAAGATGAGCATCAATTACTCTGCCACCACGTTGATCCCTTGATAATCTTCTGACTGATAATTATTACAAGATCCAACCGTAATAATGATTCTAATATATCACAAAACAGTGACAAAGTACTGCCCATTTTTGACCGATCCCTGGATAACCAATAAAAGTCCATCACAAAAGCTTAAAAAGCTGCACCCTACGATACATGCTCACTCATTCAACCATTTCTCACGTTGCCACATGCACAATCATAACACCATGAGAAAAGTATATCTAAGAGAAATAACACAACATGTCATTCACATGCCATCAAAAACCATCATGCAGAGACGTTCCGTCATAATGTCTCCCTCGACACCAAATCCATGGCTGCATAAAAATATTACAAAATTCAATGTTCTGAGAGTTTGGACATTCCTGTCAAATTCCACATTTAAGCCACAATAAGGATATGCCAGCATCACACATAAAGCATTCCCATCCACAAGCTGGCCCATATAGTCAACAATGTACTTGGAAGCGGATCACCAGGTTCAAAAAATAAACATTGCAAAACAATCATAACCCCAAGCTTTAGTGCTTCAACAGAGACCAAAGGTTATGGCAACACATGTATCACACAACCACCCCATTGAAGAATCCTAAAAAGAGCCTTCAAACATTAAAAGTGACAACATTGACCATTAAATATGACCGGCCAATTTAACTTAGATCCAAGATAGAAGAACATCTGACATATTTAATGGAAATGGGCAGCAAGAAATTCCATGCCATTCACGCAAGAAATGAACCCTGCTTTCAAGTATGACATAGAAAATGAGCATCGATTTCTTCTGTAACGTTATTCACAGACATATCCAACCTTGTCAATGTGTTTTTCAGATAGTACAATATTTCCACATTCACCAAAAAACTTAGATCCACAGTGTGTTATGCATCTACAAAGGATATCTCATAGTAGACGGTATCCTCACTAACTGAGCTCTGTTAGAGGTACAAGAGTAGGATGCGTATGCATCTGCTACAGCTAAGCAAATTGTTTAACATATTCTGTGGTCTTCCATTCTTTCAGTCGTAAGGACTGATGGAATACAATGAAAGCCAACAGAAACCAACAATCAAGGAAAACTGTTCCAAAACTAACTGAGATAATGATGACCCCATTGCTGCTCTCTCTCTCTCAAAGGCCCTGCAACCAGACAATAAATTAAAAAAAAATCATTAAAATACTGTACCTTGTTGCTGCCCAGTCCTCCTGTCTTTGATCAAAGCGACTTCAATAACATTACCATGCTCCTCGAACAATGGACGAATCTGCAAAAAAATTAATTTAATCCGCATACTGATTGTCTGCAACCTTATTGTCATTTCTAGATGTGACTGTTTCCACGACAACATGAAACAGAGCTCTGAAAGTTTAAACGCGTATACGAGAAAAAAATCCATTCAAATCGAAGCAATAGTTCATGTCTGAATCGAAGTTTTATAATGGCTTTTCTTTGGGCCAAATTAATCCACAGATAATACGTGTCCATATGGTCACTGCGCTACAGTCAAGATACAATATAAGCAAAAAGTACAATAATATCAAATTATTCAATAAGAATTCTCAACGAATCTGTAACTTACATCCTCTTCTGTTGCAGTCCTAGGGACAGAACCGACAAAGAGCTTTGCAAAGTTACTTGATTCAACATTATCTGAAACAAAACGGGTAACTCGTTCAAGCTTGCATACTAAGATAAAAATAATTCCCAAAAAAAGTGTAACAATGAAAGTCCATAAAGGATGAATAGTTTCAGTAATTAAATAAGCTGACAAAATTATCAACGAACAAATAGAAACAACGCATATTTCAACAAAAAATCTCCACGCCAAACAAACCCAGTTTTGATTCCAAGAACCTAACAAATCAACATGAAGAGTTCACGATGATGATAGCCATAGCTCATGAAGGTAGAGCAATGATGTCAATCGAAAGAAACTCTCCCTCCGTTCATCTACTGAAGCGTAAGATGCAACAGTTGTCATTTAAACTTGTAATTCTAAACTAACCAGCAAACGATCACACCACGAACAAAAGGAACAGGGAGAGTCGGTGCAAACCGTGAATAGCAAAACAGTACAACAAAAAGACCCTTTTAGGAGCCTTAAATTTCTGATGTTTCATTTAGGGAATACAGACATATATACATGCAAACAAATAAATAGCTGATGCCTCACCATCATCAACAACTGAATACGAATAAAATGTATTTCTGATACGTGACGAATCGCCATCCACAAGATAGATATCGAATTCCAAAGCAGGCACTTCACCAAAATTCATTTATCCCGATACCTCGCAACCTTTTGACTCCTCTGAAGTCCAGGAAAGACTCATATTTCATTAAATTTCATTTCTCCATATATATGACTAAAGTTGACAAAGTTTAAGTAAAGATATCCGAAAAAGCGTCTCCTGAGCCTATGCAATTCGTCTTGCAGCGGAAAATACACAAGGAAACAAAACGATCTGTGTTGCCAACGAGCTTCCTCACGCACTTGCCCTTAAACAATTATAATTAAACAACTCTTCTTTCACCGTGAAAAAGAAAAAACATTTTTTTATCTTAATAATCATTTTTCAGGAGGGACCTTGACCTTCTTTTGCTTTAGATGATGCAGGAATTCAATGGACCCAAGAAAATCCAGTCCAGACGAACAAAAAACAGTAACCATTCCCCAACAGAACCCTCAGAACAGATACCACAAGCTGGGGAAGAACATTACAAGAGCGGAAATGCCGAGAACAGTACTGTAAGACAAGGGATAGAAGGGAACAATATCCACTAACCAGGAGATCCTCCCCTACCGGAGGCTGAGAATCCACTGCTCCGCCTCTGCCCCCCTCCCATCGTAACATGATGGCCATGTCCGACGGGTCCATCCACTCCATGCCTATACGAGGGACCCCCAACTCCACCACCGCCACCCGCCGGGTAATCAGGCGGTCCATCACCACCACCACCACCACCACCACGGTAAGGGTGGTGACGCCCGCTACCCTCAAACCCTCGGCCACCACCCGAGGGATAATCATGCGGCCCCCCACCGCCACCGCCACGGCCACCGCCACCACCGCCACGGTGAGAATGCTGTCGTCCGCCACCGTTGGCCCCTCCGCCACCGCCGCCGGCACTCAACGGGTAATCAGGCTCCCCTCCCCCTCCACCTCTCCCGCCGCCGCCTCCTCTGTAAGGGTGGTGCCGCCCACCGCTGTCGAACCCGCCCCCACCGCCGCCGCCGCGAGACTGGCTGTGGGAAGCATGCCGCTGGTTCGCCGGCGGCCCGTCGGACCACCGGGATGGCCCTCTCTGCCTCTCCCCCCCTCCTCGGTCTCCTCCCCTGTGCCTCTCCATTTCTCTCTCCCTCCTCCCAAAAACCCTAGACAAATGAAACCAGGAGGCAGCTGATACACCAGAGCAGGAAACGCACAAAACAGCGAGAACGAGAGAGACACAGACAGAGGGAGCAAGGAGGTGAATGACGGTGGTCCTTGGTCCACAGGGTCCACCGAATGGAGGATCATCATTCCTCCGATTATTTAAATTTCACATAAAAATAAAAAGTATATATTTTCCAGACACGGGAAGAGAGAGAAAAATATAGAGAGAGAGAGAGGAGGGAGAAATATTTCCATCTAAGATAATTCATAATTTTCTCTACCATTTAAAAATATACCCCGATAAGGAGGAGTTCGGGTTTTTTTAATCCGAAAAAATATAAAAAGACCCATTAACAGCCCCCATTTGGCAAGGAAGCCGACGAGAAAAGCGTATTAATAATAATAATAATAATATTAGTAGAACAAAATCACTCCAAAATGCCCCAATTTATCAACATAATACCAATTCGTTGAGATATCGATCAATCCATGCTGGATCCCCTTATTTAGCCAGAAAGGCTTCACAGAAAATTAATAAAAATAATTATTATTAGGCCAAAATCACTCCAAATTACCCCCAATTGACCAAGATAATAGCAACTAGTTGAGATATATATATCAATCCATTTGGCAAGAAAGGAATTTTTTATAAAAATGATTATTATCAGACAGAAATCACTTTAAAGTGCCCCCAATTGATCAAGATAATAGCAACGAGCGGAGATATCATTAATCGATCCATGATGAGTGCCCCCCCCCCCCCCATTTGGGTGGGAAGGCTACAGAGAAAATAAATTAACAAAACTAATAATTCTTAGAGAAAAATCACTCCAAAGTACCCTAAATGGATCAACATACTTGCAATGAGTAGCAATATTAATCGATCCTTGATGGGTCCTCTCCAATCACAGTAACCTTAAGTATATACAAGCTTGCCATCAGAAACATAGAGGAAGGAATTGAGGGCAATCACTAACTGATTGAGCATCGCCAATGTGGTTCTTCTTAATGTACAGCAGCTTCAACCGGGTTATCACAGAAGAGAGAGAAAGGGAGAGAGAGCATATGAAGAGAGAGGGGGAGTGGGCTGCTAGTCATGGTTGAGACTCTGAGTGTAGGCTCTCCTTATTTCCCAGAGCTCTTCCACAACCTCTTTCATGGCAGGCCGGTTGACCCGGGTGTTGGCAGCGCACCGGAAGGCTAGAGAGAGGATCCTTCTCAGCACCCCCCCGTCCAAAGTTTCAGAGAGCAGAGGATCCAATATATCTTGGACATTTCCCTCACGGAATATCTTGATGGCCTGGAAAAATTAAAAAATTAAAATAAAATAAAAATGGTAAAGCATGATTTTGGTTATCATCCTAATCACTGAAAAACCAATATACATATCTATATATGATTATTTTGATGAAGATCGAATGACCCATCTGATTGCAAAGGTCAGAAATATGAGCGACAAAAGTCCGCAGCAATCGAGAAGTAATGAACAAGCTTTTATTTTTCCCAGGAATGGAAACCATTCCAGGGTAAAAGCAAGAAGTTCTAAAACCAAATATGCTTCTAAAGATGCCAAGCATCTGGCTGTAAAGAAACCAGAGAAATATATCACATGGAGTTGACAACGGTAGAAAATTCCCAACCACAATCTGCTACAAAGATGAGCGAGTTCGTCTCTACTATCTGCCAGATATGAATCCGAGATGTAATATATATATAGATATTAATTTGAGGTTAAAGCTGAGAAACTCTATTAAAAATTCAAAGATGGAAGCAAGCTTATTACCCATTTAACAGTTATCCTTTCAGAAGGTGGCCTCTTGCCATCCACCGGTCGCCTCCCCGAGAGGATTTCCAGGAGCAAGATGCCATAGGAGAAGACGTCACTCTTGGGTGTGAGCTGATACGTCCGGTAATACTCCGGGTCAAGGTACCCAACAGTTCCCTTGACCTTGGTTGAGATGTGGGTCTGGTCATTGTCCGTTGGGCTGGTTCTTGCAAACCCAAAGTCAGCCACCTTCGCCCTCAAGTTTTCGGTGAGAAGGATGTTGGAGGACTTAACATCCCGGTGAATGATCGTCTTCTCTGCGGGAGAAAGCAGCCGATGAGCAGGAAGGATCAGCCTTCGAAGAGAGAGAGGATCCAAGAAAAGATGTACAGGTTCCCAATGCAATGGAACTAGCAGAAGGTATCTATCATGGAAAAGGGGCGATCTTTCTCACCTGCATATAAGTGGAGGTACGTTAACCCGTGCGCAACATCAATGGCTATCTCCAATCGTTCACTGAAGCTCAAGATCTTCCCGTGTTGCCCTGCCAAGATCAAGAAATGAAGAGCTTCACCGTGTTATGATCCGGCGTGCGTCGAAATAATCGGTCGCAGAGACTGAAGCTCACCATCCAGATGCTCCCGAAGGGTCCCATTTGGAACATACTCAGTGATGATGATTTTTTCATTCTCTTGGTCAATGTAATCGACGAGCTTCACCAAGGACCGATGTTCAATCTTCGCAAGAAGATCGACTTCATTGCTAAACTCCGTCCGCAGGGATGCAAAATGTTCCTGTGACATGCCCCACACCAGTAAGTTTCTCCAGGGATTAGTTTCTCTACCATGATATCGGCCTCCCTGGTCTCTTGAGCTCACTTCACTTCACTAAACCTCCTCGACAGGGGCATCGACCGACAGGCTGTGGCTTCGGAGAGCTCGATAATGTGCAGCTTAACACTAAGTTGATGATTTTTCACCCTATGGGTAACACGACTAAATGCCCATGAAATGCATGCATGCATGCATGCATGCAAGTGAGATACCATTGGCATACGTAAGGTTTTGAAATGTTCCTAGAGCAAGCCTGCAACTGTTACTGTTTGACTCCCTTCCTTCTACCCTAAAAAGAAGTATTATAAGCTATATATAATGTCGCCCCACAGGGTAATTATTTGAGCCTTGGAAACCCATAAAAAGGAAATTCATCAGCCAGATAATATGGGAAAAATGTCTGGTTTTCTCAAACCAGTTCATAAGAGAGTTGAGAAAGGATGCGGGGAGCACTCAAGACTTGCATGAATCACATGGCGCGCCGCAGCAGCACTGCGCAGGTGGTGAACAGAAGGGTGGAGGAGGTTTACGAGGCATAAAAGGGTGCGGAGAAAATCACCTTCTTTGCTCTCTTAACAGCGACAACTCGTCCATCTGGCAAGACAGCTTTGTACACAGTTCCAAATCCTCCTTCTCCGATTTTGTGCGATTCCGAGAAGTAATGAGTAGCCTTCGCAATCTGGTTGACATTCACATGAAACGGCCCAGGGCTGATTTCAGATGACAGAGAGAATCGCGAGGGACTGGGCGGCACATGGCGTGGAGTTCCCGCTCTCTTCTGAGATTTGGAGCTCGTATCAAATGAGGAACTCGAATCCACTGCAGCAACAAAACCAGTCATGCCCAAGAACAAGAAATCCCTTCCATTCCAGAGGTCAGAATCATCATCAGTTGAGATATATTCCAGCAGGGACAGTCTATGATGATGAAATTTATCCACAGAGAAGTGTGCAAAGAAGGGTATTTGCCTAATAGTCGGTCGTAATAGTAAGTCATTGGTGTAATTCATAAGAGCGGGCGCTTGTTCTAGAGCTTGCCAGAGTTGTCTACGTGTGCACTCTTTGATCATCATCTTTATATCTACATTGATGTGATGAATTCGACTATAGTTGCTTGGGGCTTAGGATTTGCTGAGTTCGATGTCATCAAATTCCACCTAAAAATATTTTCTTTTCATCTTTGAGTTATTTTCTTCTTTTAAAAATGTTCATTTATGACCTTTTACAATGCACATCTATCATGAACCCTTCTTTTTAAAAAAAAGAAAAGAAAAAAAAAAAGACTTTTGACACTGAAAGGGCATCTAATCGTGAAGCCTCCAACTTTCGTAGGCCATAAATAGTGAAATACTAGGCAGATTACTTTTGAATTTCATGGTGGAAAAATGCATGGTGCAACTACTCACTTGAAACCATGTCGTTTCCCAGGACAGGCTGCTCGGCCACGTTTCTGCCTCTTGGCCAAAAACAGGGGCACATAAAAGCACAGAAGAGCAGGAGCATCCCCGATGCGGCCAACACCACCTTCTCGGGTTCTGAGGAAGCTTCCTCCTTTGTCCGAGAAGATCGCCAGGTGGGCACATCAGAAGCAGGGGCTGCGGCTGCGGCTGAGCCCCGCAAAAGAAGTCTTCTCCCAGCTATTGAATGATCCCCCTCTGAGAAGATGTAAAGAAGTTCAGACACGCTTCGTTAAACGGATAATCAACAGAAAAAGCGTTAAAATTAGCAGCAGACGATGCTGCGGGTGCGAGGAATTCAAGCGCTGTGAAGATGAACCCATGGGGGGAGAAGGAGGAGGAGGATGAACTTACTTGATGAAGAAGCGCATTTCTCTGGTGGTGCAGTTTCCAAGCTCTGAAAATTCATCCCGCAGAAGGTCTCCTTGATCCTTCTCATCCCCTCCAAATCTTGACCAGATTCACGCAAACGCTCACTCGAGGTACCTGATCCCAAAGCTTCACAGAAGGAGGCGCGGTCGACGGTGGCGCCGCCCACAAAGAAGCAATACGCCTGAGACGGTTCAACCCAGACGATCTTGAGCGAGCCACGGGGCTTCGCCGGGGGCGCGCCGCCGCCGGCGACGAAGGGGAACACCAGCGCCGCCATCCACATGCCCATCAAGGGAACCCCCATCCCTAATGCCGAGCAGCAGCCGGGTTTCACCGATCAGCTTCCTCCATCCCCAGAAAAATCCGATGAAAGCGCTCCTCGCCACGCCAAGAACCCTAATTCCAGAACCGAGAAGAGCAAATCCACCTCCGGTGGGCGAATTGAGCTCCGGGACTACCCAGATAAAGCTTTCGACTTTATCGCCAAGTAGGAACGGGAAGGATCGAAGAAGAAGCATGCGTTGACCAGGAAGTTTGACCAACACGGTCTGTTTGACCGCGGAGCACCCAAATCCCTGTGACCACCGACTGACATCGTCCACAGCCGTGAAAAATTGTTTTTTTTTTATCTGTCAACGGCTGAACCGAGGTGTGCGGCGACAAGGGATTTGTCTTTTGTGCACGTCACCAGCAGATTCTGGATGGATAGGTTTGTCTCTGCCAAATGGAAAATTGACACGTCACCGAGGGAGCCCATCCCCTCGGTTCACTGGGCCGGCTTGGGAAAAGCCCATAAGAATATTATTCGGCGGTGGGAGAATAAACGGCCGGAAGCGATTATCCAACCCGATTTGGAGGTCGGATTCCTGGATTTCCTGATTCCAGAAAGGGTAGTGCCGACCTCGGCGGCAGCCAACTGTCAAGGGCGCGCTCCCTACGTGTCTACCGCTGACATGTACACGTTAAAGTCACGGATACTTTTTATACAAATACCACTTTATTAACATTATTTGTCGACATACTCCTATGTCTTAATAAGAACTTAAACAAAATCCCCATGATACTCGTAAAAACATAAAAAAAAAGATATTATTTAAAAAATATACATATTTCTGTATTAGCCCCAATACCCCTAAGCCTCCAAGTCTTGAAATGATAACCTTCAAGATAGAAACGAGCATGCCCTAGCAACATTCTCACCATTAAGCCCATGATATTCATAGAAACATATATATAATAATTTGAAGATATATAGAAATATATTTTATTTTATTTGTATCAGTCCCAATACCCCCCCCCCCAAGTCTTAAAATGGCAACCTTCAAGATGAAAATGAACATGGCCTTGCAACAATAGACTAGACTAAACTAAACCAGATTGCATACTTCCTCCCCCTTGTTCTTGGGATGATAAATGGGTCATCTTTGGATCCCATTCTACAGGCTAGACTGGGTTGCCTCCCCTTGTTCTCTCTATCACCTCCCCAGTATGAGAGCTATCATCCCCTCCACTCCTAGTGTAGCAAACCTTGCACCCAGTACACTCCATGATCATCTTTCTTTGTCTACTCGTATGCTCTTTGTTGATTGCCACCCATAGTTGCCAAACTATGGGTTTGATCCAATAACCATATGAATTGCTCAGCAGACAACAAATGGATCGTCCTTGGAAAATCATAGATGTTTGCCAAATTTAGAATAATAAGATGGGGTCTAGAGGTCTGATAGTATGGAGCAATGGTTGGTCTCCACATGATCCAAGTTGGTGTGGACCAGGGGATGTAGGAAACGTAGACCAAGAGGATTATAGATGGCCGTTATCTATTTATTATGCATTTTGTTTTTGAGATAGTGAGAATATTGGGGAAAGGGTATTTATATAATTTATATTTATTTACGGTTTATTCATCTTTGTGCCACTTTTAATTGAAGCTATTTGTAAATTGGGTATGAAAAGGGTGCGACTGGAGGAAGACGGACAACCGCCATCGGGCTTTTAGACACCGTCTTCTCTTTCCACACTTCTCTTCTCTCTAGTACCTTCTTCCGCCACCTCTCTCTCTCTCTCTCTCTCTCTCTCTCTCTCTCTCTCTGTCTGTCTTTCTATCTGTCTGTCTGTGTGCTACTCTCCTGGTGCTTGGAGTGGGGTTTGGCCATGGCGGGGAACGACTGGGTTAATAGCTACTTGGAGGCGATTCTGGACTCGGAGCCCGGGAACATCGGCAGGGACCCGGCGGCGAAGTCGTCGCTGCTGCTAAGGGAGAGAGGGGGTTTCAGCCCGACTCGTTACTTTGTGGAGGAGGTGATCTCCGGGTTCGACGAGACCGACCTCTTCAAGTCATGGGTAAAGGTAAGTTGATGGAGTAAGAAGAAAGAGAAGGGGATGGGGAACTACTTCCTCTCTCTGGGTTTTTTTTCTCAGTTGCAGTTGATGATGATGATGATGATGTTGCTGACAACGGGGGCTTGTTTTCTTGCGATTTCTGTTGGCAAATATTTGATCCAGGCTGCGGCCACGAGGGGCACGCAAGAAAGGAACACGAGGCTGGAGAACATGTGCTGGAGGATATGGAACCTGGCGAGGAAGAAGAAGCAGGTTTTTCTCTTTCTTATTTCATGATCATTCCAAAATTTATCTGTTGATGCTATCATTGGACGATCAAGAGTTATGGCTATGGCTTTGATCCACTATCCTATGAACGTGAAAGTGAGACTTTTTATTTGATGCAATGATCCGACCAATGCTGATGTTAAATAAAAGGAAGGTGTGCTTGGCTAATATTAGTTGTCTGTGTGAGTGCTGGATTGATCCATGGTGTTGATTATTTGGACCTCTCCCTGGGATTTTTGTATTCATTTATAGGAAATATCTCGATAAAATACCATTTTTATGATAATTCCGTGGTTGTCTGTTTAATACTTGTGATATGTTCGTCTATCTCCTCCATTTAATTTGACACAGAATAAATAAAATGCCTTTTTTTTGCATAGTAAGTCAGTTGACAAGAGCAATATATTTTTTATTTTTCTCAAAAAATTCGTCCGAGTCAACCCAAGGTCCATAAATTTTGTTTAAAATTATCCCTTTGACTGTTCACTCTTTCTCTATCAAAAAATTTATCAAATCCTATCATAATTTCAGTTAAAAATTATGAAATCCTGTCACTAATATTCTGTTTGGTCGGATCTAATATTAACATAGCCTGCATTAGAAGTCTGGATTTTTGTTCAACTTTTGGCATCTTTGTTCTCTTCATCAGCATCTATATACTATTATTTTTCCATCTGCTGCAATGTTGTTGCGATCCTATGCAGAAAGCATATTTTCCTGTTGATTATATATCTACTTTACCACATATTGGTCCACTCTAACGCTCAGCAAGGCAATTTACTATGCTTTGATGTCTTTACCATTACATGTAGACAACAACAGCTCCTGTCTTAAAATGTTCAAACTCTCAATCACTGGGTAAATTTTAATCTTATAAGTTTTTAAGTTTTATTTGACTGATTCAGCGTTCAGAAGACTTTCTCTTCATCATTTTTTGTCCTTTTTTTTTTTTCCTTGCTTTATTACCAATCATAAACAAAAACCTGGGTGTGGTTCCGAAGTGGGGAAATTGTTTTTTCAGATTCATGTTTATTAGTGGTGATCATCACAAATTCTGATTTCTGTTGTTCGGTGGAAAATGATATTTAAGGATGTGAAGCCCCTGCTGATTTTAGATGCACTCTCGGTTGCTTACTTTCTGTTCAACTGTTCCTCTTTTCTTTGCTGTAATAATTCAGATAGAAGGGGAGGAAGCTCAGAGCCTCGCCAAGCGTTGCCTGGAGCGTGAGAAGGCCCGGAGAGATGCGACCGCTGATATGTCAGAAGACCTGTCGGAGGGGGAAAGAGTGGACACTGTTAGTGATATTTCATCGCATGGTGACTGTGCTAGAAGCAGAATGCCAAGAATCAGTTCTGTCGATGCGATAGAGGGTTGGGCTAGTCAGCACAAAGACAAGAAGCTGTACATTGTCTTGATCAGGCATGGAACTGGATCTCACTGCCTCCTCATTGTCTTCTTTTGTTGTCTAGAAGTCAACTCACTAGAGGAAAGTCTTAACGCGTAGCTCTATCATGGCCAGGATCATATACATGGGCTGGGTATCCTTAAAGTTTCTTTTCTTTTCCTTTCCTTTCCTTTCCTTTCCTTTCCTTTCCTTTCCTTTTGGTCCGTGTTATCGCTGTAATAATTTCAATCTTTTTACACATGCAGCCTTCATGGCTTGATACGGGGAGAGAATATGGAGCTTGGCCGGGATTCTGATACGGGTGGCCAGGTGCTTCTCCATTTTCAGCTCTGTTTCGGACTTGTTGACTGAATTTCTGCCGTCTGTTCTTCTTGCGCAGGACTGCCTACCCTGCTAGACGCAGCCTTCTTTAATATATATATATATATTTTCAGGTCAAATATGTGGTCGAACTTGCAAGGGCTTTGGGACTGATGCCTGGTGTTTACCGGGTTGACTTGTTGACCAGACAAATATCCTCACCTGAAGTGGACTCGAGTTATGGTGAGCCCACTGAAATGCTATGCCCAGGACATTCTGAAAACATCTCAGAGAATGTAGGGGAGAGCAGCGGTGCCTACATAGTCAGAATACCGTTCGGCCCCAGGGATAAATACCTCGAGAAGGAATTGCTGTGGCCGTATATTCAGGAGTTCGTCGATGGCGCATTGAGCCATATTGTGCACATGTCCAAGGTTCTTGGGGAGCAGATCGGCAGTGGGCAGCCAGTTTGGCCCATTGCCATCCATGGGCATTATGCTGATGCAGGTGACTCTGCGGCTCTGCTGTCTGGCACTTTGAATGTTCCCATGGTCTTCACCGGCCATTCTCTTGGGAGAGACAAGCTGGAGCAACTTCTGAAGCAAGGACGCCAGTCCAGGGAAGAAATCAATGCGATGTACAAGATAATGCGCCGCATTGAGGCCGAGGAGCTCTGCCTGGACTCCTCTGAGATCATCATCAGCAGCACTAGGCAGGAAATAGAGGGGCAGTGGTGCCTGTACGATGGGTTTGATGTGATACTGGAGCGGAAACTGCGGGCCCGAATCAGACGTGGTGTGAGCTGCTACGGCCGTTTCATGCCTCGCACATTTGTGAGTAGTACTTATCATTACCCTGCAGGTCCAGCTTGTCGAGCATAACACGTTACTATAAAACCAGAGCTATTTCTCTAATTTTCATCCATTTTGGTCCTCCTGCTTAAGTGAAGAAATTATATGAACAAATGAAAAACTTTCTTTCTCAGATAATTCCACCAGGGATGGAGTTCAACCATGTTGTCGATGGAGATCTTGATGGTGACATTGAAGGAAATGAGGAGCATTCTGCGTCACCAGATCCACAGATCTGGGCCGAGGTCTGAACGCCCTTAAAAGCTAGCATTTTTAAATGAATTCGTGCAAGCTGACACGAAATTTTGAGAAACCCACCCTGCAGATTATGCGCTTCTTCACAAATCCCCGCAAGCCAATGATCCTCGCACTTGCTCGGCCAGACCCCAAGAAGAATATCGTAATGCTAGTCAAGGCATTTGGTGAATGCCGAGCACTTAGGGAGCTTGCGAACCTTGTACGCCAATCTTGGGGATAGAATTATTCAAGCTCCTAGAACACGTCCTCTCTCATTTCTTGAAGCTTCTGCCTGTTTTCTGTTTTTCCCTCATTTTTTGTGCAGACATTGATCATGGGTAATCGTGATGCCATCGACGAGATGTCAAGCACAAGTGCATCGGTGCTCACTGCGGTACTTAAGTTGATCGACAAGTACGATTTGTACGGCCAAGTGGCATACCCTAAGCACCATAGACAGAGTGATGTTCCAGACATTTATCGTCTAGCAGCCAAAACAAAGGTATTCAAGTCTAGATTGTGAGACCTTAAAACATAGAATTTTCATCAGTGACAATGTCCCATACGGCTAGAATACCTTTTTTCGTTCCAATTTTCGTATGTTGCAAAATTTTTCTGTCATGGGTTCGATGTAGAAATTGTTTCACGAGTTATGCTTTACTTTTTACATCAGATCGGAGTCTATTGCCATGTTGGGGTGTTTTTGCTCAAATCGACTGATTATCTTCTTGGAAAGTAAGAGAGGACGAGTGGGAGCCTCCCGCTTATTCAAAATTTGCCATAAGATTGGCAGCATGGCAAATACTTGACATTGAATTGGAGTAATATATGGCAATATGACTCGTCAAAAGCATTCAATTCTTTCTACTTACAATTTCTGATCCTTTTAGCACTCTATCTATCGTGTAGCCTTCTTACTATAATGATCCAATCTGTTCGACTTCATTGATGCAGCAAGTACAGCTGGTCAGACTGGACCGGTTCATTTTATCATATCAACTTGAATCTTAGAAATGACTCATTCCTCGGATATGGAGGTCAATGGAGTTTCTGACCCATTTATGAGAGGTCGATGGTAGAGCTTTAAGAGTATGAGACTGTCGGTACGTTATTGTATGAAACTGTCTGACTCCTTATTACCAAAAATGCTAAAGTTCGTCTCTGTGCTTGAGCTTGAGGAGAAACCTTTGTCTATGATAATTCACCGCTCCTCAACAGTCTCTTCTTGTTCCTCGAAAGAAATTGCAGAGAAGGGTCCACGTCTTCTTAGGCGATTCAGACCAAAGTGGATCTGATTGATTAAACTAATGAAGTTGTCCGGTGGATCCTATCCGACTTTGAGTTATCTCGCACAGAATTCCCATGTAGTAGTATTAGTAGTTCAGGGGTTTTTTGTAGACCTGTAACGAGGTGATCCTGGAAATCAAGCATGCCTTCAAACACACCCTAAGTTATTGCCTACGGATTACTTTTTATGCATGGTAAGGAATACAGTATATGCATTCGACAAAGCATGGGCCTCTAGGTTTTGGGATGTGTGACAGACGCTACTGTCATTTTTCCAATGGCAGAATCTCTCTTCAGTTCTACTGCTCTTCCTGAGATGATCAAACTGATTAAATATCTGTTTGTGTTTCAGGGTGTTTTCATCAATCCAGCTTTCATCGAACCATTTGGTCTTACTTTGATAGAGGTTCTTTTCCTTCAATAATCTGAGACCAACTCCCTTGCTAAACGGTGATCCCATTTCCCTAATCTGACTCTCAAGTCTCTCATGGAATAGGCTGCTTCTCATGGGCTGCCGATCGTGGCGACCAAGAATGGAGGCCCCGTTGACATACACAAGGTAGGCAGAAAAACTCGCCCAGCTTAAGTCTTCATAATCATCCCAAAAAATAAATAAATAAATAAATAAATAAATAAATCATATATTTACGTGGGATGAGATTACCACCATCCAGGTGCTCGATAATGGGCTCCTTGTCGATCCCCATGATCAGCAAGACATCGCCAATGCCCTTCTGAAATTGGTCGCCGAGAGGCAGCTCTGGGCACGCTGCCGGCAGAATGGGCTGAGAAACATCCACCTCTTCTCCTGGCCGGAGCACTGTAAGACATATCTGTCCCGTTTGACCAGTTGCAGGCCAAGACATCCGCAGTGGCAGAGGACCCACCAAGAAGCATTTGATGCACCGGAGCCCGATTCGCCGAATGACTCGTTGAGGGACATCCAAGACATATCCTTGAACCTGAAGCTCTCATTGGACGGGGAGAAGGCCGAAGAGGAAAACAATGTCGTTGATGGCGGCCTGGACTCTGTGGAGGGCAAGCTGGAGAACGCCGCCATGAGATTGCCCAAGGGCGTTGTGAGAGCCACAGTGAAGGCAAACGAGCAGGGAAATAATAGCTCGAGTAAATTCCTGCTGCCAAGAAGGAGAAAGCCCATTTTTGTGGTCGCCGTGGACTGCGACACCGATGACGAACGCATCGGAGTCATCCAAAGGGTTCTTGAGGTGGTGCGGAGGGCTGGCCCTCCTGGGTCGGGGTTGATTCTGTCAACCTCGTTGACCATATCCGAGGTCTACTCGCTGTTGACCTCGCGAGGAGTGCTTCCGACTGACTTTGATGCCTTCATATGTAGCAGTGGCAGCGACATTTATTATCCATCTTCTGTCTCGGAGGAGTTCGAGCTCCCCTTCACGTTGGACCTGGATTACCGCTCTCACATCGAGTATCGATGGGGTGGGGAAGATCTGAGGAGGACGCTGGTCCGCTGGGCTGCATCCATCGTTGACAACAGTGGTCAGGGTGAAGAAGAGCAGAGTGTTGTTGCCGAAGACGAGCAGCGCTCCTCGACATATTGCCTGGCTTTCAGTGTGAAGAATCCGGAGAGGGTAAAGCTTTCTCTTTTTTTTTTTTTTTTGCCTTGAGAACCCACCAATTTGGACCTTTTTGGGCTTACTGACGATAATAAATAGTAAGATAAAAATGTCATCTTTTTGTGTTGCTCCAGGTTCCACCCATTAGGGAGCTCCGCAAATTGATGAGAATACAGGCGCTCAGATGCCATGTCTTGTACACCCACGGTGGTTCCGAGCTCCATGTCATTCCTGTGCTGGCCTCCCGATCTCAAGCTCTCAGGTTCTGCCGCACCCCATTTCATCTTTTCTGCTCTACCCTCTCAAACTTATGCGGCTCTTCAGGCAGAATTCTGCTTCACATTCATTTCATTGGTTTCTGTCGAGAGATAAGCTTGTGTGGGCTTGCTTCCTGCGCTGGATGCTGCGGAATCCTGCTTCACATTTGATGGGTTTCTGTCGAGAAATAAGCTTGTGGGCTTGCTTCCTGCTTCACATTTCGTGGGCATCTGTCAACATTTTTGCCATTTTTGGGTGATCTTCTCCGCAGATACCTGTACATCCGGTGGGGTGTAGAGCTGTCGAACATGGTGGTACTCGTGGGCGAAGACGGCGACACCGACTATGAAGGGATCCTCGGCGGGGTGCACAAGACGGTGATCCTGCAGGGCCTCTGCAGTGCCGCGACTCCGAGCCGCATCCGATCCGGCCGCAGCTACCCGTTGGAGGACGTTGTGGCCTTTGACAGCCCCAATATCGTACGAACTGAGGCAGACTCCATAGAGTTGGGTCTGTCCAAGCTCGGGGTTTTAAGCAGATGAGTGAGAAGAGAAGAGTACGAGCCATCCATTGGCATTAAAATAAATGAAGATTGGTACTTACTCATATTCTTGTTTTTATAATTATGATTTATGGAGTATGAAACTGGCTCCAGTGCGCATATTTGGGTGGATCCTACCTCCGCAGGCGCAGCAGGATACAGAGATCCATCCTCTTTTCTTTGTAGAGCTGGTCTCGTCTGGGCCAGCTTTCTACTTTTCTTTGATAAACGTCAATAAGCCTCAGAACCCAGAGAGGATAATGAATGCCATGAAGAACCCTATTTTTGTCATCGGGCCAGCCCACAAAAAGGCTCCAGCTTTCGTTGAAGATCTCCGTAGAATCATAGATTGGGAGGGGGAGGAATCTCTCATGGGAATCTCATGGGCTTCCATCTACAAGATTTTCGCCGTTCAGAATCTCTCTCTCTCTCCTCCTCTGTGAGGGGTGGGGATCGGGGTGAATGACCCTCCTCCTCCCCCCTCATTGGCTGGAGACTGTCGGATAGTTAGGCCGAATAGTTGGGCCGATGTCTTTGGGGCTAACTGGTTGCAGGATGAGAGGGAGATCTTGTCGTGCCGGACGAATGAATGCTTATTTTATTGGTTCTCTCTCTCTCTTGGGTACAAAAAAATCACCCCCCCAAGATTCTTACCGACGACGATCTCCTTGAATAATTTGGCAGGCGGTGGTGGCCTTCTTTCCGGTTTTGTAGACCAATATCCTCCAAATAGTTCAGGAGGTACAGCAGTCTCTCTGGCTTCGCAGGTCGCCATCTTTCTAATAATTCAGGGTGGGGGGAAGGGGGGGGGGGGGCGCAGCAATGGTGGCATCCTTTCCAGCCTTGTAGAGAATCATCCTCCTGATCCAGGTGATGGGCGGAGGGAGCAGCATTGTCTCTGAATCTGTATACCAGCAACATCTTTTGCATGCTTCAAGGGGCAGCAGTGGAGCCATCGCCTCTGGTTCTGCAGAGCAACAACGCCTTTCGCATAGGTCGGGAGGTGAGAGGAGGTGGACAGTCGAGGGCATTGTCTCTGGCATTCTCGACCAAGAACATCTTTTGCAAAATTCAGAGGACGGCAGCATTCTCTCTGGCTTGGTAGATCAAGAACAATCCACAAAGGCAGTGGGCAGCAGCATTTTCTCTGGCTCAGTAGACTGAGAACGACCCTGTCTGCACAGCTCAGGAGGCAGCGTGCGGCGGGCAGCGGGAAGCGGCATTCTCTCTGGTTTAGTAGACCAAGAACACCCTTCTTGCCTAATTCAGGAGGTGGTGGCAGCAGCGGCGGGGTTCTTGCTGGCCTTGTAGAACAGCATCTTCTGCACGTAGAAGAGCATGTAGGCCTGTGCCGCCCTCACGATATTCTCTGTGACATGAGTGATCCATGCGTCGTCACACTTGTACCACTGGTCGCTGAGCCGCAGGTAGGTCACATAGTGGCCGGCGTTCAGCTTCCCACTGTGAGTGACCACCGCGAAGAGCTCAAAATCCGCCGCCGCTGCCTCCGTCCCTGCCGCCTCCAGTTCCTCCCCCTCAAAGGCAAAGATCCTGCTTCCGAAGCGGCCCCGCAGGATGGCCGACGACAGGTACGGCGCCATGTTCAGCGACAGCGGGAATTGGAGGTACCGATCGACCTTCTTCGATGTCCTCTTCGTTGAGGAGTGCTCGAACCGCTTGATGTGAAAGCAGGTCACAAAGGGCAGCTTCCTGATGGACATCTGCTTCAGAGACTCCTGCCTCACCTGGCACCGCTGGCATAGGAACTTCTGCTCTGAGCCCAGCCGTTCTGGCCGCGTGAACCGATCAAGGCAGCCCGAGAGAGTGGAAATCCCCACAGCCCTGCCCGGCAATGCGCCACCGCCATTGGCGGCGCCGCCGCCGCTGCCCAGCACCTTGGCGGTGCCCGGGCCGGAGTCGAGATCCAGTGAGATGTCAACACAGGGGTCGTAGGTTGTGGAGGTGAACCCACAGACGGTGCAGATCACGTCAGACCTGAGGATCCCTGAGAAGACGCGGTGAGCAATGCAGCACTCCCCGGTTCCTGGAATTCACATGGCTGCAGGTTAAGGGAGGTGGGTTGACCATGAGAGGGAGTTTGAGAAGGTGGGAACATGAGAGTTGACACTCACCTTGGCTGGCCGCGGGCTTGCCTTGACCTTGGCTCAGCTTCTCGTGGAGCCCGTCTAGCATGGAGATGAAGAACTCGTGGGCGTCCTGCTGCTCGTAACTCGCCAGGTTCGTCGCGTGCTGCCACCAGCTGCAAGAAGAGCCTGAAATCAGACTGAGAAAAGCTCGCGACGTTGAATGTGGGGGAGGAGAATCCCAGCAGGAGAACAGCCATCGCCCAGATTTCCAGTCCGGGGAGGCACTATTCCATAGAACGAGCTGGAGAATTCCTCCATCCCACATTGTCATGATCACTGCACTACGATTTCCTCGGGATGGGGGAGGAAATGGGGCATCTTGGTAGTGTTTTTCTCTGGTTCCATGGGTGATTTCATCAGGATGAGGGGGAGAAGACGGTACCTGTGCAGGAAACGGACAGGGCTGTAAGGAACCCGATCGCCGGAGAAGACAGCGGAGTACATGGCGTCGAGATCACAGGCCAAGCACAGCCCCGCCGCCGCATTCCGGTGGTAAGCGCCGTTGACGAGCCCTCCTCCCATGGCCATGGCGTTCCCCCTCTTCTGCCTCCTCTGTTGGCAGAGGAACCGGTTGTGGCGATCGCTGAGGAAGTAGTTCCTCAGCGGCGGCGCATGGAGCAGCGCCTGCAGCACAGAGTTCATGAAGCAGGTGTTCCCCAGGTTGTTCAGCCCACGCAGCCCCCACGGCGGCGGTGGCGATGGAGACGACGCCAACGAGGCCACCGGGGGCGGCAGCGGGCTCGAACCGAGCCCTACCAGAGCCTTCTCCCTGGGATCTGGGGCCCAGGGACGGTAACCCACCACCTTCCTCCTCTTCTTCGGCGGCGCCGCCGCCGCCGCCGGCGATGGGGCGGCGGCTGAGGGAGAGAAGATGGAGAGGCGCTTCTGGGCGAGCACGACGGCGGCGTCGAAGTCGCTGTCGTACACCTGGTCGCGGCAGACGCAGCAGAAGAGCTCCGCGCGGTCCACGTCGACGGCGATCTCGTGGCCCTGGCGTCGCCCCTCCGCGTGGCCCGGCGCATGGGTCCGGCAGGACACGGCGGCGCAGGTGAGGCAAGCGTAGAGCCGCGGGGCGGCGGCGGCGCAGGACCCGCAGCGGGGGACCTCGTCGGGGTCGCGGCGGATCTCCGCGCGGCCCATGGGGCGGACCCGCAGGCACCTCTGCAGGGCCCGAAAGGGCTTCGCCAGCGGCGGCGGCGCCGCCCCTGCCGCCCGGAGAGAGCAGCGGTGGTAGTCCTGCAGATGTGGGCACGGCGGCGGGAGGCGACCCTCGCGGGAGGCCATGGCGATCGGGCAGCTCGGCGGCGGAGGAGGAGGAGGAGACGGCGGCGGCGGCGGCAGCGGAGGAGGAGGAGGAGGGGGGAGAGTGGACGGGCGGCGCCAGTGACATCGATCGGCGGGGGCCGGGAAGGTGGAGGATCGGAGGCAGAAGAGGGGGGGAGGGATGGGGAGGGAGAAAGGTGCTTTTTTTATCTGAAAACCAGGGATTAAAGAAATTCGCCGGCGGAGATTACACCTTGTGTTTGAAGAGGCCCATGAGCCGAAGACCTCTCGTCTTCAATTACTTTTTAATCTCCCTGCGACATCTCCCCCACTGCTGCTGCCGCTGCTGCTGCCTGCTGCAGGTCGCCTAGGGTTTTTCTCTCTCTCTCTCCCCCTCCCCTCTCCTCCTGTCGTCCTTTGATGGGCATTCGGATTCTCCGGCTCGCATCCCACCCGGCTTTTCTCCCCCATCGGATCGCAAAAATGGGGGCACCAGCTGAAGGACAGAGAGAGAGAGAGAGAGAGAGGATAAATCATAGAAGTACTATGTACTCATTTAATAAATGTAAAAACGCAGATTAGGAAGGAGTAGATGCAGGCATCTTACATCAAGTTCGAAGACCAATAGCTCCTTGAGCATCTCATGAGCATTGAGTTTGATGAATGCTTCTAGTTTAGTTGACTTCTCTTTGATGAACGTGTCAAGAAATAGTTTGATGAATGTACCACTCATTCATTTCGGACAATCTGATCGCTCTAAATGCCTCTAAAGAGCTACTTGTAATCGCCTAGAAACTGGTTTGTAGAGTATCATAGGACCATCTTTCCTCAGATCAGGTGGTGTAAGTAGAATCTATGAGCAGCTTCAATCCTTTCCCTAAAGTTTTAGTTGAAAAAAATAAAACAAGTGCCAAATTTACATGATATTTCTCCAAGGGCTATTATAGTATATCATTTTACCACAGAAAATGATAGCATCAAAATGGTATATTATTATAAAATTTTTAGGATAAGATTAGTATCACCACAGAAAATGAGCTTTTTACCATTATGTAAGCCTTGTTAGCATCAAAACAGGATCACCCATTGAATTGATCAATGGGTTGGAGCCTTTTCAGCTTCTTTCCCAAAATTATCGAGAAAATTTACGATCATATTAATGAATTAATGTAATGGGGTATGCTTTTAATGTATTGTAGTGTGTTTCTGAAAGAATATATATTTTTTTGCTTTAAATCTTTTCATTGTGGTATGGTCGATCTTAATGAACAAATATATGATAGTTGTGATTAAGAAAATGATGAGGAAAGCTGATTAAGAAAATGATAAGAAAAAATGGGTGAAACGTTGCCAACATCTTGCTCGTGTGGAGTCCTCGTCAGGCATCTCTGATGGCCATGAAGCTGATACGTTTGTTGACCTTTCCTCGCTGAACGCCTCTTGGCTGCTGCATCCGATCGTTGACCACTCAGATGGGTGCTACTATCGCCAAACAAAGTTCGCTACAAACGATAAGGACTCTAAGATCAGAAGTTTCCCCATGAGGAGAATATTGTCTCTAGGCCTTAAAAAGCATCTTGGATTGTGGCTCTCTTAGGCTTTCATGCATGAAGACTCGATAATAGATTCTAGGACTTGGGGGAAAAAAAAAAACATGACAAGTATTACAACACAGGTTCATTCTTAATTAAAATTCACCTTGTTTACGATCAACTTTGCAGATTATTGAGTGGGAAATGCTCGCATTTTCAACATCAATTGAGGGAACCACTTTCTTTGTTGGACTCGAAAAGTTGATACCTTTTGAATAAATAATTAAAAAATCATGTCGAATCGGTGTCATTGACTTTTTGCTGATGAGAATTGTCTTGGATACTCTAAGATTCACGATGGTTTCTAGCCTTTTCCAAAGTAGATTGAGTTTACTCAAAGGTGGATTTCTGAGTGCAAACACATCCGTATGATCGCATAGGTTTTCTTTACTCAAAGGTTGGTTGCCAGGAGCAAACCCTTGGGTAGAAGTCAAATACATTTTCAGGTGGAATATGCGTACCTAAAAATGGTGTGTGTGTGTGTGTGAGAGAGAGAGAGAGAGAGAGAGAGAGAGAGAGAGTCTGTTGTCATGGTGCACAATGCATGTATCCTCTCACAAAAACATATAATGGTAGGAGGGGATAATGCCCACATTGATCTTATCCAATTTCGAAACAATTTAGATAATCCCATATTTTAACTTTAGTGATTGATGCCCAATGTCTCTCCTACGAGGTGCCCATAGGGCACTTGTTCACTGCAGAAATGATATCAAGATGTCACTAACCGGAGAAAAAAAATCAAAGAAAAGTGATGAAATCATGAGCTCCAATTGGTGAAGTTTCGTAGGCATTAGTGTTAATATTTATTCTATATTCAAGTAATTGTAGGCATAGTTTTGGTAATTAGGCATTTTTGTGGCTCAGGTAATTAAGCTTCAAAATATTTAGTTTGCAAACTCATGAAATTATTTCTGGGCAATGGCACCAAGAAACCTAGTGAAGAGTTTAATTTTTTGTGCTTGTCAACGCAAAAAGCTTATTGAAAACTGAATGTTTTTTTTAGACTAAATTACATAAAAATCGTGAACCAATTCGGTTTGTGCTGAACCAGACCAATTCGGTCCAGTGGTTCGTACTACTGCGAACCAGGGCTTTAAGCTCGATTGGTGGGTGAAAAAATGGGGTAAAACACGAACGGGTCGTGCGGGCGGAGGAAAGGAAGGCAGCAGGGGCAGCGGAACTGGCGGAAGGTTCGCAGGGATGATGGCAGCATGATGGACGGTGGCAGCGAACAGCGGCGGCGATGATGGCGATGGGCAAAGGATGGGTGGTGCATGGCAGTGACACCAGTTGGCAATGGGGATGAACGGTGGCGGCGACGACGTGCTGTGGATATGGATGGCGGCGAGTGGTAGATGGGGTAGGACGTTGGCAGCAGCGACGGGCAGTGGCGGCAAATGGCAGCGAGCGGTGGATGAAGGCGGAAATAATGGAGGGTGAAGGTGGATGGCTAGACGAAGGAAGACGGCAGCGGGCGGCGACGGTGATGTATGGTGGCAGTGGCGAAGGATAAGCGACCCTCACGGCCTCTGCTTGTGGAGCGAATGACCCTCACGGCCGCTCCTTGTGGAGCGATGACCCTCACAGCCTCTCCTTGGGGAGTGATAAGAGATAAGAGATAGATAGAGAGAGAGAGAAGAGAGCGAGAGCGGGAGAGAAAGAGAGAGAGTGAGAGTATTATATAGATTGGAAACTTAATAGAGATTAATAGAGATGACTTCCGCAAACTCAGAAAGATAACATCCCCGGCATTATTACGAATATCTCCTTTCCGTGATCAAAAGGATCATGGAAAGGAACAGTACAAAGACGACAGACATACGAAGAGAGTCTTAGCGATGGAATGAGTTTCTCCTTCATGCGTCATGTAAGCAGCCTCACCACCTTCAATGCTTCGCTTCTTCTTCTCCTGGGGGGGGGGGGGAGGGGCAGGGTCGTCACCACGGGAGCGGCTTTAATGCGAGCAGCCTCGCCTATAGGGGTTGGCTGGATTGGAAGTATCGGAGCATGGCTTCCCTATCCCCTTCCTCATGCACCCATTCCCCTTCCTCATGGCGGCCCAGCCGATGTAGGTTTCCTTTTGGACGACCTCGTCCGCCGCCGTGTGTGCCGGCGACGAGCAGGAACACCAGGAATGCGGCGGTTAGCCAAGAGCGGGCCGCCGCTATGGTTTATTCTCTTCTCTTTTCTCCTCCGATGGGATTGGTGCGACGTCGGACCCACAGGCTAGAGATCAAGATACGTAGAGAAGGGGAGGAGGGGCATTATTTATAGAGGAGAGCAAGGAAATATTGGGTGGCGAAATGGAGGTTTAGGGTGGGGGTGAGCGACCCAGGATATCTCTCTTCTTCTGACCGGCAGGCTCTCATGAAATAGCCACGGAGAATCCGGAGATGGAGGGCCTTCTCACCGCCGCTCTCGGGCATCTGTCTCGTCGTGCCATGCACGTATGGATGTATCAAATCTTACTCTCTTGGGAATTTCTATGCCGTAAATGACTCCTTTTCCCCTTTTGTGAACATTTTAAATCCCTTAAGAACTTGTCCAGCCTACCAATAAAACTGAAGATTTTGATTTTATTACCTCGTTTGCAAATCCTGATTCTTTGGTGAAAAGAACTTCCGCCAATCTGTCAGTAAAATTTAATTTTTTGATTTTATGCCAACGATTTAAATCCTGATTGTTTGACCAAAAGAACTTCACGCTTCACTCTTATTGTTAAATTTTAATGTGGGTGTTATAGTCTAAATCATTTTTCTTACGAATAATGTACCATGGAACAGGTGATGACACTAAATTCTAAATCTAGTCTGACTTTGGATGCCATGGAAGGACAAAAAATTGTTTAAATATTTAATTTTATTTCCATAGTTGATTTTTAAAAGATTGAACTTAACCGTTTTACAAGATATAACTGTATAGATACCATATCTACTTTATATTTTTTTAGTATGAACTTTAAAAAGAAATTTGCCAAAATTTTATTCTATTTTTCCTCCCTTTCATATACTATTTTCTGTTTTCATTATCGTATGAATGATATTTGAAAATTTAAGTGATTTCAATGCTACTATAGTTTGACTTTCAGAAAATATGTTCAAATATGTTGATAATTTAAGTTTACCTAAGTTTCTTGGTAACTGCCGTGAGCTTCAGTGTGAGGCTTAACCCTGATAGTTTTGGAATTACTATTTTACCCACAAAGGAAAAGTTAAAAAGTTGAAATTTAGATATTTTCAAGCCATCTGAGGAACATCCTTCCTTAGGCAACAACAAAAAAAGAATTCTAAACTTGAAAGGATTAAAAATGAGAGATAATCAACACTTTGTGAACCAATGACATAAGCCTTATATACTTGCAAAGGATTACAAGATTCCAAAAAGCTTCTAAGGTTGAAGAGTTTCTCTATAATTCATATGATCCCTAAAATATGAAATCATTAAAATAAAAATTATTTACGTAAAAAATGAATGCTAGCCAACCCATCATCATCATCATCATCAAAGCAACAAGACTTTTAAGTGCTTTAATTTTTGTTGACTTGATTTATCCAAGCCTGCCGCTAATTGATGCTTATAATGTTTAATTGATATCTTGAAAGCCCAACTTAGTTGTATGACGATTGGTAAATATCCTGAAAAAATCAAAACTGCCTGTCTTAGAAAAACCCTGAAAAACACCAAAGTAAAGGCTTAACCAGTAATGTAGGTTTGAGATTTGAGAATAACCGTTGTAGCACTCGTTTCTTTTTGTCAGATGTGCATGATACAGTTTATTTGCATCGTTTATGGATGGATAGAGATACGGTTAGAGACAGACAGATAGATATAATGATATATATATATATAGGAGATGAAGAGAGGGAGAGAGAGAGAGAGAGAGAGAGAGAAATATATATGTTGGCAGCTCGATAGACAAATAAAATGCTGCGAGGACACTGGTCTGCTCACTATATCCGCAAACTCAGAAAGATAACATCCCCGGAATTATTATGAATATCCCCTTTCAGCGGTAAAGAGGATCAGGGAAAGGAACGACATAAAAAGGGCAGACATACGAAGAGACTCTTAGCGATGGAATGAGTTCCTCCTTCGTGCGTCACGAAAGCCGTCTCACACCTTCAATTCTTCGCTTCTTCCCCTTCCGAACCGGGGGGGTCACCACGGCAGCGGTTGAGAGGCGAGCAGCCCCGCCTGTAGTGGTTGGCTGGATTGGAAACACCGCGGCAGGGCCTCTTTCCCCCACCGCACCCGGCCCCCTTGCCTATGGCCCCATATCCAATGTAGCCTTCCTCTTGGACGACCTCGTCCTCCGCCGTGGCCATGCCGGCGACGAGCAGGAACACCAGAAATGCGGCCGTTAGCCAAGAGCGGGCCACCGCCATGCTTTCTTCTCTTCTCTTCTCCTCTCTTCTCTTTTCTCCTCCGATAGGATTGGTGCAACGTCGGGCGCACAGGCGAGATCGAGATGGGTCGAGAAGGGGAGGAGGGTAATTACTTATAGAGGAGGGCGAGGAAACATTGTGTGGCGCAACGGAGGTTCAGGGGGAATGAGCAACGCAGGACATCTCTCTTCCCCTCGTGGCGGGCTCTCCTAAGACAGCCCATCAATAAATTCCCCCTGAACCTCCGTTGCGCCACACAATGTTTCCTCGCCCTCCTCTATAAGTAATTACCCTCCTCCCCTTCTCGACCCATCTCGATCTCGCCTGTGCGCCCGACGTTGCACCAATCCTATCGGAGGAGAAAAGAGAAGAGAGGAGAAGAGAAGAGAAGAAAGCATGGCGGTGGCCCGCTCTTGGCTAACGGCCGCATTTCTGGTGTTCCTGCTCGTCGCCGGCATGGCCACGGCGGAGGACGAGGTCGTCCAAGAGGAAGGCTACATTGGATATGGGGCCATAGGCAAGGGGGCCGGGTGCGGTGGGGGAAAGAGGCCCTGCCGCGGTGTTTCCAATCCAGCCAACCACTACAGGCGGGGCTGCTCGCCTCTCAACCGCTGCCGTGGTGACCCCCCCGGTTCGGAAGGGGAAGAAGCGAAGAATTGAAGGTGTGAGACGGCTTTCGTGACGCACGAAGGAGGAACTCATTCCATCGCTAAGAGTCTCTTCGTATGTCTGCCCTTTTTATGTCGTTCCTTTCCCTGATCCTCTTTACCGCTGAAAGGGGATATTCATAATAATTCCGGGGATGTTATCTTTCTGAGTTTGCGGATATAGTGAGCAGACCAGTGTCCTCGCAGCATTTTATTTGTCTATCGAGCTGCCAACATATATATTTCTCTCTCTCTCTCTCTCTCTCTCTCCCTCTCTTCATCTCCTATATATATATATATCATTATATCTATCTGTCTGTCTCTAACCGTATCTCTATCCATCCATAAACGATGCAAATAAACTGTATCATGCACATATGACAAAAAGAAACGAGTGCTACAACGGTTATTCTCAAATCTCAAACCTACGTTACTGGTTAAGCCTTTACTTTGGTGTTTTTCAGGGTTTTTCTAAGACAGGCAGTTTTGATTTTTTCAGGATATTTACCAATCGTCATACAACTAAGCTGGGCTTTCAAGATATCAATTAAAGATTATAAGCATCAATTAGCGGCAGGCTTGGATAAATCAAGTCAACAAAAATTAAAGCACTTAAAAGTCTTGTTGCTTTGATGATGATGATGATGATATCTTGGCAAGAGTTCATTGTTCACTTCGACCTTATAAGCTATTTTAAATCTTTTAATCTTGTTCAAATGTATAAGGTTTACGTCATTGGTTGATGTGGGGTTTATCATCTCTCATTCTTAATCCTTTCATGCTGAGAATTCTCATTTAGTTATTGCTTATGGCAGGCTTCTCACAATGGCTAGAAAATTAGCTACATTTCAAATTTTTTGAGTTTCCATTTGTTGGTAAGCATAATTATTGCAAAACTATGGTGTTAATATTTTGGAAAGTAGTTGTTGAACCCTTTAAGTGTACATACCATAAATGATTGTTGACCCTATCTCCATCAAAGGTTAATACTCCTAACTTTGCTTCCTTCTAGGTAAGAGTCAGCACCTATGTTTCTTGGCTTTTGTTTTTGATTGCATGGGTTGCATGTAATCTGTAGCAGTCATGTCCTCAATGTTGGTTCAAATTCACTTCTAGTGTTTAGCTATTAAAACTTTGCATGCATAATGGAGAGAGGAGTAGGCCAAGAAGGCTGAATTACTATAAACTTTTTTGCTCTCTGATTTGCTCCTGTTAGTCATTGAGGGAGAATCAACTCATCTGTGTTGTAGTGTCACTTATCCATTGCATAATGTTTATTTCTATCTTAATTGTTTAGGAAAAGAGAACCAATGCACCACCCACCCAATGGTTCCTTCATGACCTCATTAAGCCTAAGAATTGGACATAAGTCATTGATGGTCTATATAAGTCACCAAACCACCTCATGAAAGGAGTGGTTTTGGTGTTGAACAAAACTTATGTTTAGTGCTTTCATTTTTTATGATTTTCCATGATTTCACGAAAAAAAATCACCCCCAATTTCTAGTTGAAATAATCCAAAGATATGATAAAGATAACAAGGACAAATGAAGAAAAATTAATTATTGCAGCAAGACTTTGTAGTGGCTAGTTCAAAGACTCAAAAGTTTTAAAGGACTAATGATGAAAACTATAATAGAACATATGAAGAAATACTAGCTGAAGCTCAAAGATAGAGTGACTAAGAAAATGCCCAAGAAATATTCATCCAATTGAATCATCACATGGTATAAAAATTACTATGTGTGTGCAATTAAATTTTTTCCATTAAAATGTAACTTTTCTATTGATCAGAAGGCATGGATGTGAAAGGTCGTTTTGGCACCATGAGAAGAATCTGTATACTAATAGGTAGAGCAAGATTTAATGAAATACCTATGATCCCCATGCGTAGCAAAGTAGACCAAAGATGGACCTTACCATCATAATCAGATGGATGGTATCTAGTGATTTAGAAGCTGTTCACACATAGGAAAAGATGGAAGCATAAGTTTTCAATCTCCAAACTTACCTTTCTAACTATAATTCTTTAACATTTTGGTGAAACATAATTGTGAAAATTAAAATTTATAAAAAAATCATAGTTTCTTTAAAATGACAATCGTGTTAAAAGAAGAAGATATGGCCATAGAATTAAAAACCATCTCTAGAAAAAATATAGAGGATAATTTGTCAAAACAAATCATGGGAATGGGGTTTTTGATCGAATTTATCCTCTAGAAAAAAGTCATTATGTAGAAAAAGAATTTAAGACATGGAAACAAGTTTTTTAAAAGATAATTTCACTTTTTTAATGAAGTTTTCAACCTTGGGTAATAGAAAGGAGTGATAGAAAGCTAGAATTAAATTGGAAGATCATCATTAAACTTTCCTTAATATTTTTGAACTCAGTTTTTTTATTGACTTTATTTATTTGAAGTATTTATAGTTGGAAATCATAATTTATTTCGCATAGGTGAATTTTTTTACATAAAATTGTCTTTTCAAAGAGCAGGGATTTTTTAAAAAATCCTGTAAAGATTGAACCACATTAAGATATCTAAATTCTAATATTTTTTTAAAGATTTCATGAATTTATCTTCTTGCAGTACACTGAATTGTGTAATTTTATTTGTATGTAAAAAAGGGAATAAACGAAGCTTAAAAATATCTTTTTTTTAGTTTCTAATTGAACATATATTTTTTAAAAATTTAGTAGTTGATGGAAATTTCTGTATTCATGTGGAGATGGTTTACTTTTGTGGGGCTGCATTCAAAAATATCAACAAAACTCGTAGAAATTATGAACTATGAGTCTTCTCTAAACTAGTAAAATATATGATGACAAAATTGGTTGTTTTACTTGTGACAAAAGATGCCATTGGGATATATTGAAACCATGTAGAAATTGTTTTCTTGGTTTTTAGCAATCCATCTTGATGGCTTTAGAAGCCCTATGATTTTTGTGATGATCACAATACCCATATGATGAAGTTATAGAAGCATTGGGTGTAGAAACAAATATAATACTGATTGACTTAATTGGAAATGTGGTATCACAATAGATGAATCATTATGTGCAACATGTCATATGTTTCTCTATGATTAATTTTAGCTATATTTAATTAAGAGAAATAGATAATGGATCCTATTATTGGGTAAGCACTATCACAAGCTGGTGGACCATCAATAGGATGTATTAGGTGAACGAATCCATTTGTTTGAGAGAAGCACTACTCATCTTACTTTCTTTCTAGAAATAATACTATTTGATTCTCTTTACTTTGGGTAAGAGACGAGGAAATACACTGAAGGCATAATTGGTGGGAAGGATGTGGAAGAAGAGGGCTGAACAAGATCATTGTCTACGTCCTCTACCATAGGAGCTGTTGCTGAACCAACTAAAACTTGAGCAACATGATGCATGAACCACCATTCTTATTCAAGCCATTCTGTGGCTACTTAATATGTATCTTTGCCAAAGACAAATCAAATAACTCTATGCTCCACAAGCCATCACAACAACAAGGAATGATTTTAATTTAGCTAAGAAGACTATGTTTTCTAGAACTGTAATAGGTTGCTAAATTGAGTTGTGAATGTAGAAGAGAAACTAAGATAGAAATTATAGAATTTAGGCATTCCAGCAATGTGAATTTATCAGAAGATTTTGGAGAGAAGTTCCTAGCTTTGAGTCTTATAATGATGCTCTAAATCTAGATGAAAACTTTATAGAGAAATGTTTTAGAGAAGATTGGCAACAAGCCATATAGCCAAAAGCAAGTTTTGTTTTCAACTTCAACAGCAAATATACTAGGAGATTTTCTTATTATTTTTCACTGATTTCCAACAACTTTGTTCACACTTTGATGGATGGTTGGTGATGATGGAAATTTTAAAACCAAAAGATCATTTTCATTTCTTACCTTTTCTTATGTACTTAGGGAACCCCTTATCTATAATAGGGATTAATTATTTCTATTAGAAAGTTATAGTAAATATTTCCATTAGGTCATTATTTTCCTAAAAAAAATGGATACAATATTTGCCCATACATATTATTTCTTAGTCAAGGATAAGTTTAAGAGATTTATTGATATCATTAATAGACTCTATTCCCCGTAAGAAGTCTATTGAGATTCTAATTCCTATAAGATTGTAAAGCTTTAACATAGAGTAATTCCAAAATAAAATAAAGTTTTATGAGAAAATATTTTCTCAATAAAATCATTGGGTAATTATTATTCTTGTCAATGAGAAATAATATTCGAAACTTATCAAAAGTTAATATTAAAGTTACCACAAGTATTTGGAGAAAGCTCAAGTAATTCAGAGAGAAGCAATAGTAGTAAAGACTATCACAATTTGGATCAATAGCTTTTGAAGGGAAAATTGAAATTATATTTTTTAAAAATCAAAAATATAATGAGATATAACCTCTTGATTCTGAATCCTTTTGTGGAAATGAAGTACCAAGAAGGTTCCTAAGAAATATAAGTAAACTTAAATTGTCAACATATTTTTCCCAAAGTGAAACTATAGATATATTGAGATTTCTAAAAAATGGAAGTAATATGTATACTGAAATCAATATTTAGAATGAAAACAAAAATATACTATGAGCGACAGGAAAATATAACAAATTTTAGTAAATTATTTCTACATGTTACGGAGATAATATAAAATAGATATGATACCCATAAAAAACAAAGAAATGATGAAAATGGTTCAATCAAATCTTGTAGAATCAACTATAGAAGTAAATATCTTTTTATAAAAGCCTCTACCTATCCTTTCATCACGTCTAAAGTGGGACAAAATTTTTAAATTTAGTGGCATTGCCTCTTCTTTCCATGGTAGCATCACAATTCGGACAACAACATCCACATTCAACGTTAACAATAAAAATGGAGAATATTCTTCTCGCCAAACAATCAGGATTTGTAATCGTTGCCATAAAATCAAAATCTTCAAATTTATTGATAGGTTGGCAGAAGTTAATTTTGGCCAAACAATGATGATTCGTAATCGGGGCAAAAAAATCAAAATCTTCAATGTTGTTGACCGTTAGGGGAAGTTATTTTGATCAGACAATGAGGATTTTTAATCAAAGCCATAAGATCAAAATCTCAATTCAATTAATAGGCAGGCGGACGTTCTTAGGGGATTTGAAATGCTCCGAATAAAGGAGTCATATACGGCATTGAAATTCGCAAGAGAGAAAGATTTGATACTTGCATACGTGCATGGAACGAGGCGACGGAAGCCCAAGAGTGGGGGTGTGAAGGCCTCCATCTCCGGGATTCTCCGTGGCCATTTCAGGAGAGCCAGCCAGTGAGAGGAAGAAAGATATCCTGGGTATCTCACCCCCTCCTCGAACCGCCATTTCGCCATTCAGTGCTTCTTCCCCCTCCTCTATAAGTAATCCCCCTCCTCTCTTCTCTACGTATCTTGTTCTCGCCTGTGCGTCCGACATTGCAACAGTTTTATCAGAGAGAAGAGAACAGAGGAGAAGAGGAGAGGAAAGCATGGCGGCGGCCGGTTCTTGGCTAACGACGGCATTCCTGGTGCTGCTGCTCGTCGCCGGCACGGCCACGGCGGCGGAGCAGGTCGTCCAAAAGGAAAGCTACATCGGCTGGGGCGCCATGAGGAAGGGGGGTGCGTGTGCGGGAAATGGAGAGGGCTGCCGCGGTACTCCCAAGCCAGTCAACCCCTACACGCGACCCTGCACGCCTTCCTACCGCTGCCGTGGTAACCCCCCAGCAGCGGAAGGAGGGAAGCATTGAAGGAGAAAAGCAGCGGATTTCACAATGAGTGAGATGGATCGATTGCATGGCTTACGTTCTCTCTCTCTCGATCTCTATCTTCCTCTCCGTGCACTCTTCTTCAAGTTTGAGTCATCGCCGCCTTCCCCTCATTTCCTACTTTGCATTATAATAATGACAGGGATCCCATGGTTTTGAGCCTGTGCTGGGCAGACCCTGTACATCGTAACCTTCAGTATGTTCCTCATTGGCGAGTCTTGTGCGTTTGCGACTTGCGTCTCTGTCTGTCTGTCTGTCTGTCTCTCTCTCTCTCCCTCTCTCGATCGATCGATTGATCGATCTGTCTATCTATCAATAGACCGTGGACAGAAAGGGTAGCGGGACATCATCATGCAGACACCACAAAAAGAGACGTGTTTTATAATGGTCCTTGTTAAATCTCAAGCCTACATTACTTTATTATTTCTACTAGGTTTTTCTAAGAGATAGACATTTTTATTTTCTCATGATAATCAAATCTTATGCAACCAAGTTGGGTTTCTAAGATATCAATCAAACATCATAATCAGACAAGAAAACATCATAAAAAGGAAGAATACCTAAAACTCCACTTACGATAATGATGATAGGTTGACAAGCATGAACTGTTCACTTCCACCTTAGAAGCTATTTGAAATCTCATAGTCGTAGTCTTGTGCAGGTAAATAGGATTTATGTGATTGGTTCATGAAGGGTTGATGATCTTTCATTCTTAATCCTTCCGAGCTGAGAATTCACTTTTAGTTGTTGGTTAAGGTTGCTCCCCCAATGGATGGAAAATAACAACATTTCAACTTTTGACTTTCCCTTTGTGGGTAAATAATCATTGCAAAATTATAGGTGTTAGCCCTCATAAGGTAGTTGTTGACCCTTTTTAAGAGTACAAACCATAGATGAGTGTTGACTCTTTCTCCATCAGGGGATAATACTCATTTAACTTCTGATTTCTTCTAGGTGAGATCATGACCTATGTTTTTGGCCTTTTGTTTTGCTTGCATGAGTTGATATGTTGTCCATAGAGATTTTGCACCAAAAATTAATATAATTTCTTTCACAATTTAACACATGCATATTATTTCCCCATAATTATTGTAGTGCCATCACATTTTATCCATTCGTAACACAGAAAGATATCATAGCCCTACAAATTTGAGGAAACATTACTTTTTATGTCACCTTTATAGTTTAGACATTCGTTGCATGGAATACCTTCATCATGCCTACATCCTATGTAAATGAACAACACACATTAGCATAAACATTGAGATTTTGCATGTATGAAAAGAATATATAGGCTTCATCACAAATAACCTAATTCTTCTACTTATTTTTTGCATTAGATTTAGGATAAGAAAATCATATTTCAGAAAGCTGAGATCCTCTAAAAATACATTAATACATAATGAAACTTATTATTTGTAAAAAATATAATCCTCTTTGAAAATGTCCACAATGACATATCATGTAATTATATTGATGTTCAACTGAGGAACCATGAAACAAAATGAAAGGATCATGATTGATAGTTAGCATGAACAAAAAAGTAATTAATAAGAACTAGTGACTAGTCAAATAAATCAAATTATTTGAACAATTCCAAGCCTCTTTTATACACATTTTTTCTCATATGTGTCTTCCAAAATATCCCATGTCTTAATCACAAAGGTAGATAATGAGACTATTTGGCATTGATAGTGAAAATTAGAAGAGAAGTGTATAATGAAAACAATTTTTACGTAATTAGTCCTAATCAATATTTAGCCTTGAATAAGTCTTGCTTTAACAATCACTATTTTTTTTTTATAATGTGTTCACTCAGTTTCTTGCCTCTATTGTCTACGAACAACTTCATGGTGCTTGTAAACTAAGCACTTTCTAGCTTAGTTTTAGGAGCCACAAAGTACCACAATTTCTTGTGTAATCACCAAAATGGCATTCCTAGTACTTGAATGTAGAGTAAAAATTAATACTAGTACCAAGAAACTTGAGCAGCTGGAGCTCATGATTTCACCACTTTTCTTTGATCTTTCTTCATCTCTACTTTATGACAAGTTTATATATTTTTTGCAAGGAACAAGTGTGCATTAAAACAGTGAACTTAAAATTCGGGCACTAAAAGGGTAGTTTTGTTCTAAATAGGTTTACATTAGTTTATTGCTAATCATATCTAAAACTTAGAAAGTAGTGTCCAAAATCCTTTGAAATTGGATAAATTAATGTGGGGGCTTAGATACGCTCACTCACACACTCACACACACTCTCTCTCCATCTATTAATCTATCTATCAATCTAGTACCATATATACCTATGTAGAGCTTAAAACCACTGGATTATTCCAGATAGATCCAAAACTCAACACATTAGAAAGCAGCATGTGCCTTGGGTTCCCTCTCACTGTAACATAGCTCCTCATTCCAAAGTGTCAAAGCCTAATTTTGATTACGTCCCAATACAAGTTCTCATCTCCATCACCTCTCATGGTATTATCTCTAGGTACGGCATCTTCGATCTTGGATCCATTTTTCTCAAACTACTCACATGGAAAGAGATTTTCCATCTAAAGTATCTAAGGTGAGACCTCTCCCCATTCCACAAGATCATGCTTCACATTGGCTATGCAGCACTTGCATCATATTATACAGAGATATTGGAATCAAATCTAGTAAAACCCTTTTTTTTTTTTACTTTAAAAAGTTAGCATTCCTACTGGTCAGCGGCCCAACGTCTTATTATTATTGGAAAATGTGCGAGGGCCAATTAAGAAAACAGAGCATCAAGTGTACTACGGCTAGAATAATATCTTCTAAATTACCGAAATGGTGCCTGAAATAAGACGGCGTCTAAAACTTTGGAGTGAGGAAAACGCTGGATAATGTCTGGACGAAGAAGAAAAACATGCAAAGTAACAATCCTCATCCTCGCCAGCTTTCTCCACGCCGGAAATGTGGGAAGTGAGGGAAAGCACCCAAGGAGAGAGAGAGAGAGTAATTATCAATGAGTCCTTCCCAATGTATGGAACATCGCATCCGCCCTCTAAACACCACGCAGGATCTTCGCAACAGACTCGTTTTCATCGGGTAAAAACAAAATACTGAACTTGTCAAGGGTCAGCTACAATTTTCGCCCCCTGCCGCCAATATTTTGAAAAGAGATGTGGCATCTCCCCCTCACCTCCCGCACTCCGGCGGCGAACTCCAAAGGAACCCTCTCTCTCTCTCTCTCGCCTTCCCGGGCCCTCCATCGCCCCCGCCGCCCCCGCCAGTGGCCGCGGCTGGATTTGAGCGATGGGAGCGGCTCTCTTGTCGGACCACGCGGCGGAGGTGCTGATTCCGGCGGCCGCGGCGGTGGGGATCACCTTCGCGCTTGTTCAGTGGTTGCTGGTCTCCCTGGTGAAGCTGTCCCCCGCCGACGACCGCCCCTCCACCTCATCCTCTTCCTCGTCCTGCGGCGGCGAGAACGGGCAACCCGACTACCTCGTCTTGGAGGAAGAAGAAGGCCTCGACGATCGCGCCGTCGTCCTCAAGTGCGCCGAGATCCAGAGCGCCATCTCCGAAGGTCACTCCCATCCCTCAGGCTCATCTTCCTCTTCCAACGTAAAATGACAAGGCCATTCCTTCCGATGTCTCCCGGCAGATCTATCCTCCTTCCAGGTCTTCTTCTAGCCTAGGGTTTCGTTATCCTTCTCGCTGGTCTTTTGCTAGTCTAGGGTTTCGTTATCCTTCTCGCTGGTCTTCTGCTAGTCTAGGGTTTCTGTCCAGCCGATTTAATCTGATCTGTTCCTGCGGAGGATTGATTGCAGGGGCGACCTCATTTCTCTTCACGGAGTACCAGTACGTGGGGGTGTTCATGGTCGCTTTCGCCGTCCTGGTCTTCCTCTTCCTCGGCTCTGTGGAGGGGTTCAGCACGGAGGACCAGCCCTGCACCTACAGCAAGGACAAGGTCTGCAAGCCCGCCGTCGCCAACGCCCTCTTCAGCACCATAGCCTTCCTCCTCGGAGCCACCACCTCTCTGGTCTCTGGCTTCCTGGGGATGAAGATCGCCACCTACGCCAATGCCAGAACCACGCTCGAGGCGAGGAAGGGCGTTGGAAAGGCCTTCATCGCCGCCTTCCGGTCAGGTGCTGTGATGGGTTTCTTGCTGGCGGCGAACGGGCTGCTGGTCCTCTACGCCGCCATCAATCTCTTCAAGCTTTACTACGGAGACGACTGGGAGGGCCTCTTTGAGGCAATCACCGGCTACGGCCTCGGCGGCTCGTCCATGGCCCTCTTCGGGAGAGTTGGCGGCGGCATCTACACCAAAGCTGCTGATGTCGGGGCCGATCTCGTCGGCAAAGTCGAGCGGAACATCCCCGAAGATGATCCGAGAAATCCGGCGGTGAGACTCTCATCCCCTGCATAGTTATCTAGCAATCCAATGAAGCAAACACCCTCAAGACCCATTATACTGATCACATTAGCATCCACATAGCCTTCACTGACCTGCTTCATCCATTTGGAGGGCTAATTGCTGCTGGAATTGCTCTGTTTTTTTTTCGTGCTGTGCTCTTCTCTTCTCAGGTGATCGCTGACAATGTGGGCGATAACGTTGGGGATATTGCCGGGATGGGTTCCGATCTCTTTGGCTCATATGCAGAGTCATCTTGTGGGGCACTTGTTGTCGCCTCCATCTCCTCATTTGGAATCAATCATGAACTTGCTGCGATGCTCTATCCCCTGCTCGTTAGCTCCATGGGCATCATTATATGCCTGATCACCACCCTCTTCGCGACAGACTTCTTTGAGATCAAGTCCGCCAAAGACATTGAGCCCGCGCTGAAGCGGCAGCTCACCATCTCCACCTCTCTCATGACCGTCGGCATCGCGATTGTCAGCTGGATTGCCCTGCCGCCGACCTTCACCATCTTCAACTTTGGGGAACAGAAGATGGTGACCAACTGGTATGCATCTCTGCTGTGGCCCTCTCCTGATGACCAGACGGTCTCCTTGACGCCATCCAATTGATCACGAATCGTCGACTGTTTGGCGGGGGGCTGTTCTTCTGTGTCACCGTGGGCTTGTGGGCTGGTCTCGCCATTGGGTTTGTGACTGAATACTACACCAGCAATGCATACAGGTACTCGCAGATCTATCTCCTTTCTGATTAGTAGAGGCCCAGATGGGGTGCTGTGCTCATCTTCTCACAAGCAGTTGTCTTGCGGAGGTTGGTGTAGCCCCGTGCAAGATGTTGCCGACTCCTGCAGAACAGGGGCCGCCACGAATGTCATCTTCGGCCTTGCGCTCGGCTACAATTCAGTCGTTGTCCCAATCTTTGCAATCGCCATCAGCATCTTCATCAGCTTCAGCCTCGCAGCCATGTACGGCATTGCAGTGTCTGCACTTGGGATGCTGAGCACGATTGCCACAGGGCTGGCGATTGATGCATATGGGCCGATCAGTGACAATGCCGGAGGCATTGCTGAGATGGCCGGCATGAACCATCAGGTTCGGGAGAGGACTGACGCTCTCGATGCTGCTGGCAACACCACTGCTGCTATCGGGAAGGTAATTATCCCTTCAAATCATAGTCCATACTGATTTTCACTGAGGATGATTATAAAGATCGTGCTCCACCTGCAACTGTATGCAGGGATTTGCGATCGGCTCTGCTGCTCTGGTCTCTCTGGCACTCTTTGGGGCATTTGTGAGCCGGGCGGGCATCTTGACTGTGGACGTCCTCACACCAAAGGTCTTCACTGGGTTGATTGTGTGGGCGATGCTTCCCTACTGGTTCTCTGCCATGACCATGAAGAGTGTGGGCAGTGCAGCACTGAAGATGGTGGAGGAGGTCCGCCGGCAGTTCAACACAATCACCGGCCTGATGGAGGGCACGGCCAAGCCCGACTATGCCACCTGCGTCAAGATCTCCACCGATGCCTCCATTCGAGAGATGATCCCCCCAGGGGCCCTCGTCATGCTCACGCCGCTCATTGCCGGCACCATCTTTGGTGTGGAAACCCTTGCCGGTCTTCTTGCTGGGGCACTTGTCTCAGGGGTTCAGGTGATCGAACACCCTCTCCAAAAATAGAAGCTTTTTTAAACCCATGTATCAACTGTTTATCTATCTTTTCCTTGCTGATAATAACCCCAATGAATGCTCTATCAGATTGCTATCTCTGCATCGAACACCGGCGGGGCCTGGGACAATGCCAAGAAGTACATAGAGGTCGTTCATCTCAGCTCTCCTCCTTTGTTTTCCATGTAACCAAAGAATAGGTTCTTACTGTCATTTCAAGCTGTCTAAATTCAGGCTGGGGCTTCAGAGCATGCCCGATCACTGGGGCCGAAGGGTTCTGACTCTCACAATGCGGCGGTGATCGGTGACACCATCGGGGACCCGCTCAAGGACACATCTGGGCCGTCGCTCAACATCCTCATCAAGCTCATGGCCGTTGAGTCCCTTGTCTTTGCACCCTTCTTTGCCAAGCACGGAGGCCTCCTCTTCAAGATATTCTGAGCCATGTGACTGGAAGTATCGCCTCATTGTGGCTACAATCTTCACTCGCTTTGGGTGGGGGGATAATTGGGAAGAAGATATGCTTCTTCGTGATTATTTAGTCACTCCCCTGGTTCTTTACACTACTTGCTGATGACAGATAGAAATGAACTTCCGAATGCCACAGGTTCCTTCTCGACCATTCCATCTAAAATTCAGCCGGATGGGAATGAGAGTGTACATATAAATAATCTCCTACCTGAGGTGGTTGGTCCATGGTGTTGCCACTCTACCCCACCCTAGAGAGAAGCGGGCTCTTCTCTCTCTCTCTCTCTCTCACTAACCTAATCCTTCGTGATTCCTTCAAAGGGAATAAAGAGGATGTCCTGAAAGTAAGAGGAGCCCTCCATGACTGTGTGAGCCGACAAGAGGGAAGCATGCATATTGAGAGGACAAACCCTTCGATTCTAACAGGTATCACTGCACTTCAACAATCGCATAGAAGGAATGCACAAGGAAGCTGAGCATCAATTCAGAGAGAGACGGCAAGAAGTACAAATGCAAAGCATACCTGTGTATTCATATCATACGAGGAGGAAACAGATGCCAGAGAAAGGGGAAAAAAGAAAGGTACCTGGCTGAGAGTCTTGGCTGCCTCTGCCCCCTGAAAGAGGATCTCACTCAGTATTGAAAGCTGCCCGGGAATCAACTTCTCCTAGGCATAGGAGGCCACAAGAGAAGGACCAGCAAGAAGAGAAAACGATGGCTTCATGAAGAGGAGGAGCACCAAGATTTCAGCCCCAAGAATTTACGCGTACCTTCATTTGGCATGTGGGAGTTCTTTTCATGTTCTTAGAGATGTGAGGCACGGTGGGGTAATAAGTCTGCAGAGCTACCACAAAGCATCAAATCATCAAAGCATCAATGCATTAATGAGGAAACAAAGGGGCCTGCTCTCGGAAGCCCTAGAAATTATTCCTTTATAGAAACATACAGATTAGCTGCTAATCCACTTTCTTTTGCTTCTAAGATTACTACTGATCGGCTGGAAAAAATGCTTCAGTGGCCCTGCAGATTGCATTACCAAAGGAATGATGAATATACAGATGCTTGGATGGGACTGCTGATCAGACCGTTGCAATATTTTGGAAAAGGGAATGTGTTTCGAAAATGGTAGGATCAACATCATCATAAACCGGAAACCCATTGATTTGGGGTCAGCCCTAACACGGAATACCAAATCTGAAAGCATTGGACGTACACTTCCACCCAGATCTGCCAAATGAGGTTTGTAACCGGTCAAACTGCGAATCCGGTTGGTTCGTTGCCCTGATCAGAACTGGATTATCTCAAGCCAGAAATAAATTCGTCAGTCTCTGGAGAAATAGAAGGGAATCCCGTATTAAGAGAACAACAACAATAGTTTTGATTGAGGATTAAGCAAAATTTTTGATGAGTAAAAATAGCTGCAACACAGAGAGCCGTGAACCGTGATTATGCTGAAATCTCCAGGTTCACCAAGCATACAAACAAGCTAGGAAGCAAAAATTGTCTACTTCTAAATTCTGTGATAGAAGTGGGACAAATGGAACAGAAAGCCATCTTTTTGTATTGTGACAGAAAATGTTCAATACATCAATGTCGAAAATAAATAAGATACCGGTGTAATTTCAGAAAGCTTCAAGCGACCCCATATGTGGAAGAAAAATGTGGCAACCCTGCTCCGAGGATGCATTATATATACATGTACCCAGAAAGTGAGAAGCCCAACAAAGCGATGTATTAATGCTTATCCATCAACCTGTGATCCTAAAGATAGGGGGGAAGCCCCCTCTATGAAAGTCCCTCAACGATCTAAAAAAATTTCCTCCTGCTCGTGATACCCAAACGTCCATAGGCTATAAATTAACATCAGTGGAGACGTCGGTTGAATTAACATACGGTATGTGGGTCAATGTATCAGTCTTCAGTTCCTTCTGTAAATCTCACAGCAGTGAAGCTGAGGAAAAATGGTAATCTACAATGCTCTAACGGTCTCACCGAGCCTTCCTCCGAGACTTAAATGGGAAACCAGACGGAGGTGATGGTGAGAACTCTAGGGGCAAGTGAGGAGGCTCTGACTCACCAGAGAGCATACTCACAACCTCCTTGATCATTGGCCTGCGGGCTGGAGATCGCTGGAGGCAGAGGAGAGCAATGGTGATGCACAGGAGGGCCTGATCTCTGTCTACAGAGTGCAGTGAAGTATCAATAAGGTCCAAAAGTTTCCCCGCATAAGCAAGATTTCGTGCCCATGAGATGAGGTTGGCACGCTCAAACTCTGACATGGGTGATGCGGTCACCTGAAGTGGCCGCCGTCCAGAGATGAGGACCAAGAGGAGGACACCAAAGCTATAGATGTCACATTTCTCAGAGAGAAGACCTCCACCCCCATACTCTGGAGCTGCATAGCAAACAGTACCCCTCATGCTTGGCGTGCTGCTCACACCACCACTCTTGGGAACGTCCCCACTTTTGGGGACATCCCCACCTGCCCAGTCATGGCTGTTCCGCCGTCCAGCCATCTTCAGCTCTCCACTCAGGCCATCAGTCCACCTGTCCATGCTGGACCTACTGCCACGGCTCCATGCCTTTCTGCTCTTCCTCCTAAATGAAGGCTCTTCCACATCATCATCCCTCTCCCACCACTGCTTCTCTTTCCCTGCACGAGTATTGCTAGCACTGGACCTTGTTGCACTCTGTTTCTTCTTGATGTTCTTTCTGGTTAGCTCCTCACAGAACTCTTCCCGCCACCACTCCCTTGCTGGTCGGCTCTTACCCTTCCTCCACAGCCAGCGGTCATCCAGGGAGGCCCACCAATCCAAACGCTTCTGATGCTTCTTGTGGTCAGATTGTTTTGGAGGTAACACTTGGCCACCGTCTAAATTTGAAGTACTTGGGTCTGCCCAACTGCCCTTTGGTCTCTCCTTCCTCAGTTCTGTTCCGATCCACTCCATGACATACTCCTTGACGGTCGGTCTTCCAACAATGTCAGGCCTCTCTAAAGTGCTAGCAAGAGGATCCTGCCGCCCCCGCCAATCCCTACTATGGGCCTCACTTCCGTTCTTCTTCCACCACCGCCTACCACCAGCAGTCAGCAATTCGACACCACTGTCCACACTCATTTTGTCATAGGCTCCTCCGACCTCTGAAGCGGAACCAGCCTCCAAGGTACGTGCAACAGTCGTAGTGATTGGCGACGCATCATCTGCTTCTTCCGTCAGCCGCATTGAACTACCTATCTCAGCCTCTAACTCATCTGGAAACTCTTTGGGGGCAGCAGAGACTGTCCCATTGGCACCGCGACTAATATTCCTCGGCATGCCCGCCGGAATATTCAGGTAATGATTCGTTTCATCCAAGGCAGTTGTGCAGGTACTCTCAGTCTCTGCAGCAGTTGTCGAGAGATCATCAGCGATGGCTACAGAAGCGTCATCTCCAAGAGCAGGAATAACGGTGGGGAAGAGGATTCTGGCTAGGCCGAAGTCAGCGATCTTGGCAGAGAAATGCGCATCCAGAAGGATATTACTTGGCTTGACGTCACCGTGAACCACCGGTGGGTCACAGGCGTCGTGCAAGAACTCGATCCCCCTGGCAACGTCCAGAGCAATCGAGAACCGCTGTTCCCATGCCATAAGCTCCGGACACTTGCGGTCTAGGAGCGCATCCTGGAGGCTTCCGTTGAGCATCAGCTCGTAGACCAGCAGCAGACGCCGGCCCCTCTGCTCGTCCTCGCAGCAACTAGCGTCGCCCTCCTCATCCTCCTCCGTAAAGGCGCTGCTGATGCTCCGGCCCCGCCGCCTCCCCCTCCGGATTCCCCACTTGTCCTCCTCCGCGGCCAGCTTCAACCCCTTCTTTTTCTTCTTCTTCTTCTTTTTCTTCTTTTTCTTGCTTCTCCTCTCCTTCCCATCGCCACCGACTGTGCTGGCGTCATCATCATCGGAGCAGAAGCCGATGCAGGAGACCACGAACCGCGAGGGATCCCCGCATATATCAGCACCCTGCATCATGGAGGTCGCCAGGGACAGTTCGTTGCGGAACTCCCGCTCCCCCTGGAGAGACCCGTCGTCCATCACCTTCACGGCAACCTCCCGGCCGTCGTCGAGGACGCCGCGGAAGACGGGGCCGAAGCCGCCCTGACCGAGCTTGTTAGCTGGCGCGAAAGATGCCGTAGCACAAAGCAGCTCCTCATACGAGAACCGATGCGGCTCCCTTGGCGGCGGCGGAGGAGGAGGCAACGAACTCGAGATCTCCTCCTCCCCATCCCGATCCCCCTTCCCCACCACAAGTCCCGTCAAATCCGCCGGCGCCGCCAGCACCGATCTCCGCCGGCGGTTAACACGGTAAACCGCAAAGGCCGCAGCAGCCAAGATGACCAGGATGACGAACAGAGACGTCGCGAGCACCGCCGGAACGACGCCGACGCGGCGGTTCCCTCCGTGTTCCTCCAACTTCGCCGCCGCAGCAGGATCTGGCAGCCCGAGATCCGGCGGCTGCGACGCCGCCGGTAGCTGGTGGAGCTTCCTCGACGGCATCCCCCCCTCCCCGCCGCTGCGTCCCCCCCCCCCCCCCCCAACCTCCCCTCTCTCTCTACCTCGGAGCAGAAAGGAGCAGACCGGAGAAAACAATTTGGGGATTTCTGCCCCCTCTGGTAGTGGGCGACTGGATTCATCCCACAGGAGGACGACGTAGCAGTCAACCCCTACGCTCTGCATCGTCTCGAACAATTAAGCTACCAATAATCCACCGCCATCTTTAGACGTGGCTGATTTCTATTTGTTGAACGTTCAGGCGTGCAAAGCGTACGGGTTTGTTGTGCCGAGTCGGTCTCTGCTCCTCTAATTGTCCAAATTTGACGACTAAATTGTGCTACTTGCATATACACCTCATATTACCTATTTATTACAGTTGTTCTCTTCCAAGTCACATAAATTATAGAGTATAACTATAAATATAATTTTTCATGGATTTTAAATAAACCTTCGTGTAGACTGCTGACTGTCCCCCGCAGGAGAGGAATGTCGCCGGCGGGCGAGGTTCCCGAGGCCACGTGGACAAAAGTCGCAGCAGTTTTTGTATTTTTGTCGTCAACCTGCCGCAGAAGTCAACGTACGTAGAGCAAAAGAACAAGAGTTTTAGTGGTTCAACGAACCGTCGTCTTTCTTCTTTTCTTCCGGCATGAGTGGCCTCCTGAGTTCTTGGACGGCAACGGCAATGAAAAACGGAAAAGAAAGATAAAGTTGGGAAGACAACCACCTCAATCGTCTTTTCCTTCTTCATAATCACCATCACCATCATCATCATCATCATCTTCTTCTTCTTCCTCATTTAGCAGGGAGAGGGGAGTTCAGGTCTAGCTGCAATCCGGCGGCGGGATTCAGAGGGCTCTTCCTGTGGTTCCTCACGTCGCCGCCGTCGCCGGAAGTCCCCCTTCTTCTTCCTCGTCTCCGCTCGGCGGAGGAGGAGAGTTGAGGTCGAGGAGCAATGGCGCGGCGGCGTTCCGAGAGCCCTTCCGGTGGCCGCCGAGGGCCATTCCAATCCCCTCCGCCGGCCACCCTCCTTCCAGCTTCTCGCTGCCGCCGCCGTGGAGAACCACTGAGTCGCCCTCCTCCGCCGTCCTCTCCGGCGCCAGCGGGACCTTCTTTCGCTGCCTGCCCAGCGCCGCCGCCGCGCTGTGGCTCTTCATGTGGCCGCCTAGACCCGTTCCGGTGGAGAAGATCCTGCCGCAGTGGCCGCACTTGTACTCCTTCCCCGGCTGCGCAGCCGGCCTGCTTCTCCTAGTCTTCTTCTTCGGCACCGTCGCCGAGGACGACTGCGCCGAGGAGACGGTGGACCCGCTTTCTGTCTCCTCGCCGCCGGCGTCCCTCGCCGGCGGGCTCCGGCAGCGGATCCTCATCTTCTTGAACCTCAACGACAAGCTCCCCGGTGCAGTTTCGCCGGCGGGGGGAGAAGGGGGGTGGTTCGGAAGGCCTGCTTTATGGGGAAAGCCGGGGGGGAACTTTTGCTCTTTAAAGGACCAAATCCGGGCCGGGCTGGGATTCCCGGCTTGGCCCGTACTCTTTACTTCCACCCTGACGAAAAGCCCATCGCTCTCTCTCTCTCTCTCGTAGCTTTGCTCCCGTGTTAGACATCGTAAGAACGGGTGGATAGGAGGTCGACGAGGTCTCTCGGAGTATTCGTCGCATGCAACGACGACCGAGAGGAAGAGGCAGAGGGAGAAGAGAAGGAAGAAGAAGAGGAGCAGGACCAGTGGGGGTGAGAGAGCAGAATCCGAGGAGGGGGAGTCAAGATTTCAAGAGGGCCATGGAAGAATGGCCATTCATTCAGTCATTCATTCAGTCATTCATTCACGTTCCTTCTTCCTGCTCCAATTGCAACTCCGCCCATCTAAAAATAAGGGGGAAGAGCCCACCGGCTCCTCACTTCCTCTTCTTCGCCGGCGGCTGCTCCTCGTCTTCTTCGTCTTCTTCCTCTTCTTCCTCTTCTTCCTCTTCTTCCTCCTCATCCTCGTCTTCGTCCTCTTCCTCCTCTTCCTCCTCGCTGCCGCCCTCCCCATTAGCCTCCGGTTCCTCGCCTTCCTCCTCCTCCTCCTCGCCGCCGCCGCCGCCGCCGCCGTCCTCTTCCTCCTCCTGCTCTTCCTCCTCGCCGCCGTCGTCCTCTTCCTCCTCCGACTCTCCGTTGTCCACAGCCTCCCCCGCCGCCCTGCTCCTACCGCCGTAAAGATCAGAGATCGCCGGAGAAGGAGAAGAAGAAGACAAGGAAAACTGAACCAGACCTCTCGCCGCTCTGCTCCGCCGCCGCAATCTCGCCGGCGGAGGACGATCCCATCTGAAGCGCAAACAGAGATTGCCGTCAGAAGGTCCGCCGTCTCCTCCAGCGGTGCCAGGGGCCAACCCAGAAGAAAAGAGAAGACCTCTAAGTTGGAAAGAATGGATTTTTATGCCATATCCAGATAGATCTACCCAATGAACTTGAAAGGGTTATTTTTTCTTCTCTGACCCCAGATCCAGATCCAGAACCCATGCTCGATGCTTGAACCCTAACAAAATCCAGAACCCATCTTCACTAAATAGAGTTCATTAGAACCCAGATCCGGAACCCATGCTAACCCAATACTCAGTAGCTCGAGCCCTAGATTCGGAACGTAGGTTGACGAAGATGGCCAGGTAAAAACCCTAGATTCAGAAACCCATGAAGAACTGGGCAGAGCAGGAAGGGGAAGTGGCGGAGGAAACCAGGGAGCAGAGGATTAGGAGACAAGAACAGGAAAAATACCAATGAAAAGACGGAAATCAGAGAGACAAGCCCTCTTTTCTGTGATATCAAATGAACCCATTTCAGGAAGCTCCGACTTGATTGAACGACAAGGATAAACCAGGTATCGAAGATAACTAAAATCGAAACAGATGTTGAAGCCTCACATGAGAAGAAGAAAAGAATAATCAATGGCGCCTGCCATCATCCTTTTCTAGTGAGAGAGGGAAACCCATTACCGCTAGGGCGAGCAGGAAGACGGTATCTCCAATGGCGGCGATGGTCCCGGCCAGTAGGGAGCGGAGGAGGCCCTCCAGCGCCGGGGCGGCGGCGGTGGCCGCTACCTCCAAACCACCGCCCACTCCACTCGCGGCCTCCACCTCCATCAAGAGAAGCGCTTGCAGGAGCAGAGAATCGAGCACTGCAAAAAAAAAAGGAGAGCGAGAGAGGAAGATGGAGAAGACGCGGCGGGGGAGGAGAAGCCCTCAGACGAGGACTGGAGAGTGAGGACACGCAGAATGGAGAGTATCCTTGTCCCCTCCCTAACTTGCCCACGGTGACTCTCTCTCTCTCTCCCCCTCTATTGTCGGGGATTTAGGGCTTCGTCGCGTGTCCGCCGAATTTCCTCGTGCCGGGATCCGACCACGCGGGCCAGAGAGAGAGAGAGAGAGAGAGAGAGAGAGAGAGAGGCCAAGTAAAAATAAAGAAATAAATACTGAGAGATGAATGTGTTATGACTTAACATGAGCGAAAGTTAATTATTTTTGTTATGACTAAACATGAGAGATGAATGTGTTATTTAATGTTAATACAACAATAATATCATGCTAACTAGTACATATACGTGTGATGTCACCCGTCTACCAATGGGCCAAGATGGAGAGCAGGAAGAGGAAGGAACATGATTAGTGTGAAAGTGTCATTGTGATGTGAATGTGTTTCTCTGAGTTCCTTTCATATCGTCACGACTTGTGTGAACACATGCATATTCCATCATAAAATGTGTTGACTTTTGGAGCCTTTCAAATTTTTTTGATGACAAAATAGTTATGAGGGTGGTAGAACATCAATTTTTGCATTTCAATTGTTATTAGGTCAAGAGATTAGAAAAATCATGACCTTTTTCCTTCTTACAAGACCTAGAGTGCTTCTTTTTTTACTCTCAGGAATTAAGTTGACCATTTAAATTAAAGAAAATCAAGAAAAAAAATCCTTTTATAAGTTGACCATTTCTTCTCCACAAGTGTTTAAGCTCAAGGATCAGATTCAATGATTTAGGCCAAGTATTTAAGCACACCCACACCTCACATGCTTCTGCATCTCTAAGCTAAGTAAATCACAACACTTGAAGAAGTTAAATACATTGAACATGTAAGAGCATTCATTTGCTCTTTACTTGTTATTGAATACTTCAAGTATACAAAGTCAACCTACAATCATATAAATCTGGGAAAGAGTTTTAGTACATTACCACTTATGAGATTACTAACATTCGTTTGCATGGATGTGGTAATCATAAAAGCAACTCAAGGTCTCCAAAAATGTTTGGATTAAATAAAAGAGATGCATCCTTCGCAACTCAAGGGGCCTAAGAAGGAAACTAGCACCAGCTGATCTTAGTTAAGATGTATGTTAGAGGGGCCTTTAGGGTTAATTTACTCTAACTATTAAGGGTAGAACATGTCATGGCTCTCGACATTCATCTCCTTACTTCTGTAGAAGCTTCAATCCTTTGTTTTCGTTGCTTGAATAATCTTTATTTATATATTTATTTTGTTATAAAATTAATGGAGTGAATAACCGACGAGCATTCAGTGATTAGGTGACCTTTCAAGAAATGGAAATTGTGTGTGTGGACATCCCAGGGGGTGGGCGGCGGTGTTGCAACGGCTAGATTACCCCTGCGCCACTGTAATGCCAGATTCGCGCCTTTTTTCTAAATACCACCCGTTGCGGCGGAGTATTGGCGGCAACAGGTGATATACAACGTTTACGGCTTTTAGAATGCCCTCCCTCCCCCAAGACTCTTTCTTGCATCTCCGCTACGTTATGTACAACCTCTGCTCTGCCCACCGCCGCCGTCGCCTACTCCCACACTTCTCTCTCTTTCTTTCGCTCTCTCTCTCTCTCTCTCTCTCGTTCTCTGCCCGCTCTCTGTGGGCAGCTCCCGAGGCGTTTCCGTGTTCCTTCTCTTTCAATCGTCTTGCGCCTCCGGCGTGGGGTGGTGCTGGATTTCCTGCATCGACTCCGAGGAAGCGGCTGGCAGAGCACGGCGGCGATCGGCAGGAAGACGAAGAGGGCGGATTCCGAGCCACCTTCTCCCGTCGGAGATATGCAGAGCGAACCACGTTTCCGGGCGCAACAGGGGCGCGGCTTCCGTCGGTGAGTATCTCTTTCCCTTCGTCCACATACCTCCGAGCCCTCTCCTTCTTCTTGCCATATTTTTCTTGGGGCCTATCGATCTTTCTTTCTATTCTTTTTGCCGATCCTTTTTTTTTTTTCTCTCGCAGTTGCCCTCCTCCCGTCCGAGCGGGCCTCTCGTTCCTCTCTCTCTCTCTCTCTCTCTCTGTCTATCTCTTCCCATAGTATAATAGAGGGCGCGTCTCCTAGAAAGGCCTCTTCTCCTCGCTTCTCCTTAGGACCCCTTGTCCTCGGCGATCACGGTAGCCTTTTTCCGCTTCGTCGGGTGACAAGAAAAGAAGCAGTTTGAGAAACAGAGGTTTTGCCCATTAGAAAGGAAGAAGGGACAGACGAATTCTTCCTCGCTCTTCCTACCCTCTGGGCTTCTTGAAATTCAATTCAAGCTCAAGAAGAATGAGAAAAGTCTGGCGGTGGTGCGCAGCGCTTTCAGGGTCTGAGTCGCCCAAGTTGCTCCTTTGATTCTGGGTTCTCTCTTATAATCCCCGTCATCAGGAAGAGGAATGCGGTCCAGAGACCATCTCTGTTCACTGATGGGAGGGTCTGAAAATCCAATCCGCCGTCATGCTCTCTTCTTTTCTGTCCTCACACCTTTCAGGTGTCGACTCGGTTCAAAAACTGGGCAGCCCGGATTCAAATGCCGCTAAGTGTTCTCCGTTTTCTTTCTCTCTGGACAGGGGTGCTCCGGGTATGGGATTGCGTTGGAGGATCTATTCAGGGAGGGAGGAGAGCACGCTAATTGATGTGAGATCTCTCACACCCACCCACCCACCCACCATTCTCTGATCGTATTGCTGCTTGTGGATTACATAGACCGGCGGAGGGGGTCTCACCAGGTTGGGTTTCTGTGTTGCTTGTCTAAAACAGGACGTGCTCATTCTAAACGAATCGCCTCTCCTCGGAGGTCGTCAAAGCTCCCAGAGCCCTCGTTTTAGGCAGAGTCCTCACGAGGTAAAACGACGTTGGCCTCCTTCCTCTTAATCTTTTCTGCTGCCTCTGAGCTTCTGCCGAATATGGCTGAGAGAGAGGGTGCAATACTCAATCATTTGCTTCCCTTCCACGCGCTTCAATCTAAGCTGACTCGTCCTGTTTCCCTTGGCAGCAGCGCGCGAGAAGCTCGTTGAATCCCGCGCGATGGAGCGGGAACATGATGGTTGATGTAAGTTTTTTGATGGCCTGACCCGCTGTGTTCCTCCTAGCTCTGACCGGGGGGGGTACAAGCAGCAGCCTCGCCTCCATTGCGCTGACTTTGGTTCCCTCTTTGACTTTCTGTCTGCCCCAGGAAGTGGTGATACTTGACGATGGATCGGCGGAGTTGATCCGGCGGCGCAGCCATCTTCAGCCAGGTATGCGGCCGCCGGAGGGTGGTCAGCAGACAATAGTGACGAGCTCCGGGGTAACCGAGGAGATGGCCCTGTTGCTCTTCAGGCCGAGAAAATGTGTGTCCTCCTCCACGGCCTACGCCAACGACGAAACCTGCCGCATCTGCCAGGTAACTTCAGGGAGAAGACGGACGGTTGGTGGCGCAGCCGATCAGCCCAGCAGCTTCTCTGACTGCTCGATGTATCTTTGTGTCTGGCAGGAGGACTACGACGAGGGCGAAGACATCGGGATGCTGAGCTGCGGGCACGCCTTCCACGTTGCCTGCGTTGGGAGATGGCTGACGCAGAGGAATGTCTGCCCGATTTGCAGGAAGACCCCCTTCCTGCCCACTGTGTGAAGACTCCCCTCTCCTCCACCTTCCATGTATTTGGGCATTACATGATTCAAGTCACCGTCTCTAATTAATGTCCCTAACAATTGGTTTATGTCACCATGTTCTAAGTTATCAGGAGATCACACCAACCGTGATGGGATGTTGACTTTTTAGGGGTAATATAGCGAGGGATCTGTTTAAGGAATAATTATTCTCCAAAAACAATGCTTAGATGGTCCAGTTTAGCTATCTTCAACTACATTACTCCCTTTCAATACATCAAATCTTGAAAGATACTTTAGATGTATATATAATTTTATTTAAAATAAATGATGAGCGTAAATTCAGAGTGTAAATTAATCAATGATGAACGTTCAGAACTAAGTAGCCATTGAAGATAACCCTGATTTTATATAGAGAACATTAATTTTCAACCCTCTCTTTTCTTCTTCTCTTTTTATAACTTAAAATTCTAAAATTAGATAAAAAATTGAAACATTGAAAACCAAGAGAGCACATCTTTTAATGATTCAAATATCCTTTACAGTCAAACCAATGCACATATATATATATATGTAGAGGTGTTAACACACACACACACATACATACATATATATATATATATATATATACATATTGGAGTTAAATAGTTCTAGTATGTCTACTAAGAATCCCCTCTCATATAAATAATACAAAAAATGCATTTCTTAACAAAGTAATGAGTTTGCAATCAAATTAACTGTAAAATTTCGCCAAATAAAACGTGAATACGAAATGTAAATTATTTCTTATCATTTTAATGGGAAACATCATTAATTTGAGAACACATTTCATAAAGTTATTGCTAATTAATATTCAATAATATTTACAAAATTCTGAAAAGTGTGTAACCAATGTGGGTTCAATAAAATAATTTTATATCAACAATGATCAGATTGAGAATTTCAATCGATAAATCCAGCACACTAATTACACTTATATCTTTCAGACGTTCACATGAAATGTGATGCACTAATCATTACTTTTCATCAACGATCGTTTCTATAATAATTAACATTTACAATATAACCAATCAAAGTCACATTTTTTGAGTGAAAAATTCATCAGAATTATAAAATTTTAAACATGATAATCAAAGATATTTCTTGAAGTACCTTTTTGGCACCAAGTATCATTAATATTTAGCCGTTCAAGAAAAGGAAATGGTGTAGACGTCCCGGGGCGGGGCAGCTTCGCAACGGCTATATTTCCCCTGCGACACTAAGTTATCAGATTCGAGCCTTTTTTTGCGTATCCGCCCGTTGCGGCGGGATACGTAAACGGTTCGGCTTTTAGTAGCTCCTCCCGCCTTAGTCTCTCTTGCCGACAACCTTTCTCTCTCTCTCTCTCGCTCTCTGTCCGCTCTGTGGCAGCCCCGGCGGCGTCCCCTTCTTCCTTCTCTTTCCTTCTTCTTGCGCTTCCGATGAGGGGTGGTGCTGGTTTTCCTCCGCCGACTCCCTGGATGCGAGTGACGGAGCACGGCGGCGATCGGCAGGAAGAGGAGTTTCCGAGCCACCTGCTCCCATGGGAGATATGCAGACTGGCCCAAGATTCCGGGGGCAGCGTGGGCGCGGCTTCCACCGGTGCGCATCTTTTTCACACCTTACGCGTATCTCCGAGCCCTCTCCTTCTTGTTGTTATCTTTTTCTTGCCGCATATCGATCTTTCCCTGTTTTTTCATCTTTCTTTGCCGGTCCTTTTTTCTCTCGCACCCCCCCTCGCCCTCGTCCCCTCCTTCCACTGCTCAGAGAGAGACTCGTCCTCGCCTCGTGGACCTCTCGTTCCGTTCCCCCTCTCTCTGTCTCTCCGAGAAAGAGCCCTTCTTCTCGCTTCTTCCCGTTCAGGCTTCTTTTATTTCAATTCAAGCTCGAGGAGAAAAAGAAAAACCTGGCTGCGATGGTGGCACTTTCAGGGTCTGAGTTGTCCAGGTTGATTGATCCCTTGTTTTTTCCTTGTACCCATTAAACTCTATTGGATGCCCGAAGGACTGCAGCCTGATTTTCTGCAGTCGGCATTGATCACAAGCAGAGGATGATTTCTTGACCAGACTCTCTTCCTCCGCCGTTGATCCGGCTTAAAAACGGGACCGCCGGCATTGTTCAAGTGCAGAATTCCAAGGGAAATACAGTGATTCTCCGTTTTTTTCACCTTGCGCAGTGGTGCTCCGGGAATGGGATCACATACAAGATGGGTGTAGAGCACGCTAATCGACGTGAGATCTTCCACCCTCACAAACGGCTGATCATCTTGCTGCTTCTGGTTCACACAGAACGTCGGCTGCCTCATCGGGTTCTCTTTGTTTCTTGTCTGAAACAGGACGTGGTCACTCTGAACGAATCGGCTCTCCTCGGGAGTCGCCGAGGATCGCGGAGCCCCGGAGGTATGGAGAGGCGTTATGGCTTCAGACAAGGCTACCCGCCTTCCTCTCACTTTTCTGCATCGGAGGATGAGCAATGGGCTTCCATCAGCGGGTTCCAACACATGAGCCCAAGTGAGAGCCCAGGTGGTCCATGGGAGGAGGCATACCCGATAGGCTTGGAAAGATGGAGGCTTCCAGAGCAGACGATGCAAGCTCAAACCATTGATCCTGAAATCCGGAGTTTGGGCATTATCAGCATGATTATCCCCGGAAACATGGTACCCATTTTGCTCTTTATTCCCGGTTCTGGCGTTCTTCCGGCAGTAGCTCCGATTTGGGTGCCCAAGAAGGTCCAATGAGTCCGTATCTAGAGATCTCACCAGAGCCTGCTTCCGGGGCCTCTCCCAGCGGTGTCATGGGAGCCCCCTCGAACCTGTGGAATCATCAGGCAAGATATACGATGACATTTGAGGTATTTTCATGAATCAATCTCGTTCAATTTCGTGTGTTTTGAATCTTATTCTCATCATTTGTATGTTATGATTTATTATATAGACATTTTTTGTGTTGCCCATGACCAGCATTAAGCTGAAATGATTGCTGAACTCGCTGCATTATTTACTGGCTCAACCCCTCGCCCTCCTCCCTCCCTCCCCAAAACAAACAATAAAAGGAAGCAGAAGAAAAAGAAGAAAAGCTTAGTGCGTTGACCTGTGACTTGGATTTGATGTAACAAGGTCTCTGAAAAATACGATTCCCGTTCTCTAAATCAATGAGCTTCTCAAACATGCTGAAGCTTTCTCTGGAACTACGCACATCTTGGAAAGTCGCCAAAAGCTGCCTATTTACTCGTTCAGATCTGATTTCACTCTGTTTGCCTTCAGCCTTACAGTAGATGCGATTTTTTTCTTACCTTTGCATCATCTGGGGAGCAGCAGTAAAATTCATGGTGGAGCATCCCAGATTCTTTGATGTTATTGCTTGCAGCCTTTTTTATTGCTTTTCTAACCCCATAAGGGAAAATTAATTGGGTTCACTCTTATTATCTGATCCACTCTCCCAAATAACGCTGTATACCGTATTTCTTTAGTCTAACTTTGTGTGGTTTCTCTATGCAGCAAAGCCCAGATGCTGCCGACTTCATGCAAATGGAGGAATACATGATGATTGATGTGAACTCTCATCAACATGCTCTGATTCAGACTACTTACTTGTGTTGGTAACATACATTTTCTTAGCATTCCGTCCCTCTTTTGGCAGGATGTAATGACTTTGGATGAGTCTGTGTACCATAACATGCATCAAGATATGCACCTCGACGTCGATACCATGTCGTATGAGGTCAGATGGTCAAACCCAGTCATTTCTAGCTCCTCGTTGTCCAGGATGCATGTAGTCAACTCCTCGTGGGAATTATTTGTTCGTCCTTGACAGGAGCTGTTGACATTGGAGGAGCAGATTGGGAACGTAATCTTGCGTTGGAAAATGGCTGGTTCAGTAGAAGGTCTGCCCAATTTGTAAGAAGACGGGTTTGTCTACCTAAATCCTGACTACTTTTGGGCTTCTTTCTTCCTTACACTTCATCTGTCTGTTGTTTTGTTCTTCCAGTGTATATTTATAAATACGTGCATACATATACTTGTGTGAAGATCAGATTTATGAATCCCTTGGCTTTTATTCCTCATTTAATTCCATCAATAAATGAGTTTCTTGCCTTGTTTGTTGTTTGGGTCAGAGGGAAATTGTTACTTTCTTTTCTCGCTGATTGTCCGGTAGCAATGTGTTTTTTTTCGCTTTAAGCAGGTACAAAACGTTTTGATCCAGTCGGTTTGCTGCAAGGCATTTTTTCTATAATATTTTTCTTTAATAATATGCTTCTCTTAGACTCAACAAGGCATCATAAACTTAGTTAAGTGACAGTATGGATGGAGATAGTACTGCAAACTTAGTTCTTTCCTAATTTCTCTCTTTTGGCTGCACCACCATTTCTTCTTGAGAGCTGACTCTTTCTCTAATTGCCAGCAGCCAAGATGGCAAGATCAAGTCAATGTTCATTCGACTCTACCCAAGAAAGAATATACCACTGGAGATGGCAGGTATTTATCTGAATATAGTTTGCTTCAGAGCCTTGCAGATGGCCCCGAGGAACAACTAGCAATGGAGAGGAGAACAAAATTGGTCCATCTTTAACCACGGGGCACATGACAATTATGTGCGTGGCGGTGGGTCTCAATCAATGGCTGCCTTTCTACATCCCTGCGTCACAGGATTACTAGATCCAAACTCTGAGAAAAAGAAAAGCTCGCCTTTTCACTAGTTACAAAGGAGTTTTGGAAGACACTCGTAATACAATGGCCCAGTCCTCCCTCCCCCTAAGACTCATGGCGACTTCAATTCTTCCTCTCCAATATAGTATATATAAACTTTACTCTGCCCGTCGCCACCACCACTGACTGTCGTACCCTTTTTGTCTAAGTGATTGTGTACTCTTCTTGAGTCCCTAGGATTGAGGTTTCTAAAGATATTTCACACCCTATTACTATATGATGATTTGTTCATTAGATCTAGTTTTTACTCCAATTACTGTATTCTTCGCCACTTTCTTCAGCTTCACAAAATCCTTTGTAGAATCCATACTATATTTCACAGATTTAACCAAGTCAGGATATTACGCAAGAGCTCTCTATTAGATTAACAAATTTACAGGCCAAATCAGGGAAGAGCCCAATCCTTCAAGTCTCTATTAGATTAACTTGGCTTTCTTCTCCCCTCAAGATTCACAGCCAGTCTTTCATCAAGCCAAATGTAGAACACTGAACTTTTCTGTTTTAGATAAATGACTGGTCCTATTTTTCCAACATAGAACTGCTACTGTCAGTCTCCTCTGGATTAAGGTTCTTGATCACTGGTGGGTACAAATACATTCTAAACACAAAATCAAAAATGAGTTATTACTCCTTGGAGTTCAGATCTAAGCATCTTTAGAGAGTTGTTTCTCTGTTATTATCGTTGAAGAAGTTTATGTGAAGTCTTTGAACAATTTCAGTAGTAGCATGTGCATGAAGCTTTCAGGTACTCGGAGGAAGTTTATCTCTACATTTTGGGCGGTATATCACTCCCATTGTTCCTTTTATGTACATTTACATTGCTTTAGAGGTCTTCGTATTCATACAGAGTTTAATGCACTGCTTCCGACTTTCAGATAGCAGGTCTCTTCAATGGTCATATTCTTTGCCTTCAACAACTTAAGTTCTAGAAAGGAATATTAGCATTGTAAAATCCATAAAAATTTTTTTTTTTTGAAGTGTGTGTTGTGGGTTTATTTGCATTTTGCTCCTCTTCAAGAGAATTTTAAAATCTGATTGATTCTCAGATTAGTGACACTAACCTTCACATAAAATTATTTAGTTTAACATTATTCATAAAAAATATATTTTTAATTTAATTTATAATACTTAATCTAGTTCAAGTAAATACTAAATTTTCTGTCCTTGAGCGGATTTCACTTTAAAAGACAGGAATACCGCCGAGGAAGTATTCAGAGCCACACTAGTAGAAATAAATACTATTCATCAGACAACAAATGTTCTGTAACGTTAGTGCTCTACAAAGTGCCTGGTAAGCAATTTTTTTCATATCATTCTTTCCAATAATAGCATTATCATAAAAGCTAATTTTAATGAATGTGCTTCTTTGATTGTCCAAGTACGAAGCAAAAGACTACCATTAAGCTAGAAGTTGGAACTCATTGCTAGACTTTTGGTGTCTTACTAACATTGGACCTATAAAATGAGCATTCATCACAATTGAGGGCTTCCCAGAGATCCCCTGTAACTGCGAAATTATCCAGGGACCTATATAAGTAGGGAGCTTTAAAACTTGCTATCTTAATAATCAGGGAAGTAGATGTTATTACTGCATTCCTAAAGTGAAAATCACATGGATCCATGAGCTGAACTTAATAATCATTGATTGTCGTTAAAAAATTGTTTAGTTGAACTATCCAACATGGTATTCTTGTGCAGTACACGTAAATTGCTGGATGACTATAAAAATTTCGGACTTATCAATACATATATGTTGGAGAAGCAGAAGAAATTTAGGAATAAAATAAGATCAAAAAATAAAAATTAATAGTCAACCCAAATGCAAAAATTAGGATAAGAGGCACTTCTTAATCTTTGTGCACATCAGAACACAACATTTTCTCCTTCCTGAGTGGTGCATTTAGTGAATCAAGAGAGCTTTCATCAATAACGGGAACACTAGTGGGGAACCGTATCCTTGAGGGTCCTTAATATTTGTTTATTTAACCTCTCCTCCTGGACTTTCAGAAAGGCCCGAAACATGATGCTTTTAGATTTAGTATGCCGTTAGTTCTCAGGGATAAGTTATTAGTATTAAAGTCCATGTTTTTTATCACTCCAGCGTACTGTCTCATTCATGTGGCAGAGCTTGAATGAAACGCGCTGGGAACTTGAACAGTTAACATTAATTTGATCCTGCTATCATTGCCAGAATCGGGTGGAAAGAAGGCACGCTTCATGGCGGATGAGGCTTCCTTTCATCAGCCTTCTCTCCGGAATAACCCAATCTCATCATCTCTAGTCTAATCCATCACGTAAACCAAAACGCTCCGTGTCAGAGAGTGAACAGGCCATAGTCTTTTGGAAGTTACATGTTGGACGGGTTTCTCAGAATTTCGTATGAGCCGGAACTCGAACATCAAATGAGCAATTTTTTGAGCATCAGTGCATAACAGATCAACGAAGATTCTCGTTTGTATGCCAAATTCTATCCATTCTGGGCACCTCACATCTCTCAAGATATCCAGCACTGACAAAGGAAATCCTTGGTTCCTTAGATTTAACGATATATAAGGAACAGTTGCTTTCACTTCAGAATTTCTGGTAGATCGACAGACAGACCATTTGGTGGAAAACGACAGAGAAAGAATGACCGGGATAGACGGATAAAGCAACTAAACGGAACCGAGCGAGCTCGCTCGAAAATTCCATTCAAGACATTCGTCCTAGAAACAGCACTTTTCTTTCGGTGTGGCTCCATCATGCGGAGGCTCCGCCATCAAGCGTCTACCTCCTGATCCTGTAACCGCCGTCGGTAAGGCAGAGCCCTGGTAGGCCGTCTTATTCTCGTTAGAATCTGGGCTGCTTCGGTAGATGTAGAGAGCAACAACAGAATTGAAAGGAAAATTGCCAGCACGACCCCTCCTTTTGGCTGCATCTTCTACCTCTGCACAAGCTCTCCCGCTTCCTCTTTAGTCGCTCCCGATAGCTGAATAAAACTTCGTGCGCTTCTTCTAGTATATAGCATTTCCGGGTGTTCGAAGACAACGGGCAACGTGCTGGAATTTTGACCAACGGTCATCGTGAACTGCACGTGGATATGATGATATGCATGAATAAACGGAGAATGGATAACCCTTGAAGTCAGAGATAAAGAAAGGTTGAAATTGGAAGAAGACGAATAAATAAGAATTGGTTCATTCTTTGTGTTCAACAACACGGAGTGTTGAAATTGTGAAACCTTCACACGTGACGCTGAAAAAGGTGTTCACACGTTGACCTTTGTAGACCGGAAGAGACATTACTTATCAACTCGAATGAACGTTTGGTGAAAAGGCACTCTTCTTAATCATGGCGTACATAGCAACATAGTAATTCCTTGACCTTAGAATGGAGGCGTCAGAGTGTGGATCATCATTCAAGTTGCGACGTGCATATCCCTCCTATGAAGGTCGCTAGGAACTAAGAAATAGAATCATACTTTACAGGCTTTTAGGAAGCGCGTTTCACTTGGCTCTCAACGTCATAGCCAAGTGATGAAAGTATTTTACAGCGACCAAAATCGAATTTTTATTCATAACTCTAGAGGGTGAAGCTAGAATAACACTCGCTAATCTCTTCAAGGTTGAGGCTTTACTTCAGCCATAAGTGCTAGTCCACAATTTATTATTAAATGTATAACATGTCATTGCTCTCCTTAGTTTGAGAATCTCTATCTACTTGTTTTCGTCTTTGAGATCAATATGCCTCTCATCTTAGAAATCTACTATCATGTGTCAAAATACTTTTTCCCTCACAAGTGCCAATAACAAGAATAGGGGGATCAGGTGACAAGATAACTAGAGTTGAACTCCTATGAATGATAGCTTATTCTACTTCAAATCTAGAGTGCATTTGTACTCTAGCTCTGTTGTAAATCCATACTCTAGATGTGGCTGGTGGAAGGTAATTAATCTATGTTTGCCAATTAGAGCTATAAATCCATAGGAAGTAAGTGGTTCTATTCTATTTAGCATCCTAGAGTCAAGAATTTAGAGGAAATAAGTGAGTTCTCTCCTCTGATTTCACCCCCTAATAGCAAGAGCAACGGGGGAGGAGAGAGAGCTTCCTAGAAATTGGACTGATTGAATATACCATGTATTGCCACCTAGACACCTTTGCAACAGGTGGACATCCCAGATATCTTGTTTAGAAAAATCATACAGTTGGTAATTGTTAAGGTCGTCAACTTGATCTTGTCATCTTGGCAGGTTGACGTGGAGGATCGACTGTCAGGAACAAAGGGGGAACCACTACAAGTCTCATAAGGGATAATCAAGACCCATTGCAAGCTTCACATTTCAAGCTTGCAAATGCAAATGGTGCAACCCAAAGGATGAGCAAAACATTGTAAGAGATACCTACTTAAGCTTCTTCTATCTATCCTCTTGCTCTGTCCTTACAAATCATTATTTCAAATAGTCCAAAGGCCCCCAAAACTCTCATTTAGATTCATTGCTAGCATATCGAACTAAAAAATCACACTATTCATTCTTAGATTAGTAGCTCATGAAATGCTGAAGTACTCATTAATAAACCCTACCTAAAAAATCACACTCTTTAAATAAACAAAGAGTATGAAAGAGACTAAAACATAAATTTCAAGAGTATGTATGATAGATTCTTTATAGTGTATCGTGTGGATGTAGAATTTAAAGTTTCTCTTACAACTTGTGTTGATGGACAAGAAAGAGTGTTGATGGAGATTGTACACACTAACTTGTGTTGCTAAGTGCAACATGTGCATGATTTCAACCAAATAAACATATATATTACCACGTTAACTATTGACATACTAAAATACATCTTGAAGTTGTTTTCACATAAATCTTGATGAAAATAACTTTACAAAGCTATCGTCGTCCTATTCTTTTTAAGAGGTTTACAAGTCCATGAGATCAGGAAATCTATTACATGATAGATTTCATTGTTATCACCCCACACTAATACAAAAGTATTAGCATGTATTTAACCATAGTTATAACTAGCTTCTAAGAGTGTCTTTATATAAGTCGTATGCTCACAAAACATACACTCTAGTTCTGATCTGGAAATGATAGTCTCATTTTTGTTGTTGGTAATTTGAGCACTAGAAATAGCTTTAGGAAATTGAAAACTCCCAACACATTTTCTAAATTGGATTTCAAAACTTTAAAAGGTGAGATAATCAATTGTTACACACTATTTCAAAGCTCTTCCAATAGGCTGTCTATAGAGAACAAAATCTCATATGTTTGAAATCAAATATATGAGATGAATTGGTTAAAAAATTGCTCGATTCCAGATGTGAGGAGACCCACAAATTATGTGCTGCGCCACTGGATTACCAGATTCGCGCCTTTTTCTGAACAAAAAATCCGGCGTATCTGGGGGCCAAGACTCTCTTGTCGACTTCTTTCTCTCCGCGACGTTGCTGACTCCCACCCTTCTCTTCTCTCTTTGTTTCCCTCGTTCTCTCTCTCTCTCTCTCTCTCTCTCTCTCTCTCTCTCTCTCTTTCTTGCTTGCTCTCTCTCTCTCTCTCGTTCGTCTTGCGCCCCCGGCGGGGGGGCGGTGCTGGGTTTCCTCCACCGACTCCGTGGAAGAGGCAGACACGGCAGCGATTGGCAGGAAGACGAGGAGGGCAGATTCCCAGCCACCTGCTCCAGTCGGAGACATGGAGAGCGGTCCGAGTTTCCGACCGCAGCAGGAGCGCGGCTTCCGCCGGTGAGTATCCTTTTCACCTCGTCCGCGTATCTCCGACCCCTCTCCTTCGTCTTGCCATCTTTTTCTCACTGCGTATCTCCCAATCTGTCTTTCTGTCTTTTTCGCCGATCCGTTTTTTCTCGCATTCGCCCTCCTCCCCTCTTTCCACTGCTCAGTGAGAGACTCGTCCTCACTTCGCGGGCCTCTCGTTCCGTTCTCCTCGCTTCTTCTGTAGGATGCATCTTCTTCTTCCATAAGGAAAGGAAGATGGGCGGACGGACAGATTCTGTATCGCTCTTCTACCCTCTGGGCTTCTTGAGCTTGCGATGAAAAATAAAAATTTGGCGCCTTTTTCAGTATCTGAGTTGCCCAAAGGATTTGCTCGATCCCCGAAGGTCTGAAACCTGACTTTCTGCCGTCGGGGATTGTCACAAACATATGATAATTTTCTGCCGTTGCTTCTCTGACCAAGCTACTTTCTTCAGCCGTTGATCCGGCCCAGGTGTGGCCAAGGGCAGAACTCAAATGAAAAAAAGTTGATCCTCCGTTTCATTGTCTCTCCGCCGTGGTGCACCGGGAATGGGATCGCATTCAAGGATGGACGAGAGCACGCTGATGGACGTAAGATCTCTCACACACTCGCATACTCTGGTTGTCTTGCTGTTTCTGGATCACATAGACCGGAGGAGATGATCTCATCGGGGTCTGTATTTTTCGAAAAGAATCGGCTCTCCTCGAGGATCGTCGAGTCTCGCAGGGCCCTGGAGGAGATGTGCAGAGTCCTCATGAGGTCAGACGAGGTTGCCCTCCTTCCTCATACTTTTCTGCACCAGAGGGCGACCAAAGGGCTTCAACCAGCGGCTTCCACCACATGAGTTTAAGTGAGAGCCCAGGTGGTCCATGGGAGGAGGCAGACCCCAGAGGCTTGGAAAGACGTAACTCAGGCGTTCTTCCACCAGTAGCTCCCAGCTGGATGCCCCATCAAGGTTCAACGAGTGGGTATCTACAGATGTTATCAGAGCTTCCTTGTGGCGGCCCCTTGAGCCCATGGACTTACCAAGCATTAAGTATGATGATATTTGAGGTAGGTTTATGACCCACTCTAGTTCAGTTTCGTCTCTTTCGAGTTACGCGTCTTCTTCTTTTCATCATTTTTCTGTTACAGTTTAATTTTAACGTGAAGTCCATTGTATAACGTTCCAGTCTCCAGCGTGGACTTGCTATTGCACACATGTATTGTGTTGCCCTGTGTTTAACTACCCCCATGACTAGTATCAGGCTGATAGGACAACGATCTCTCTCTCTCTCTCACCCGTCTCTCTCGAAACTCGCCCACCCCCGAGCTGCATGACTTATGCTCAGTTTCTGTGTGATAAATTGCCCTTTTTATCCTCCATAGTTGTGCAGACTCCTGAACCCGCAGTATTATTTACAAACTTCAACACTCTTAGGGTTGACCGTGCAATAGGATAACGTCGTTCACCTGCACTTGTTAAATTAGCTTCTGAAAGATGCCAATAGCTTCATCTTTGACGACCATCCTAAGATGTGGTAGTCATTTCCCGTCGAGCTTCTATCTGAACTCAGTTCTTCATACCAGGACTGAATTGTTGGCAGTACTTTCCCGATCACCCTTCATTAAAAATTTCTACTATTTTTGCCTTCATCTTTGGCGACCATCCTAAGATCCGATTTTTGTTAGAATCTTTGATGTTTGTTGTTGGTGCCGTTTTTATTACTTTTCTTTCCCCATATGGGAAGACTTATGGTATTTTTTTAGTATGGCCTTGTGTGCTTTCTCTCTCTAGGAAGTCCAAAATGTGCTGGATCGCATGCAAAGGGGGAAAAGAATGATGATTGACGTGAGACCTCGTTTAACATACTCTGCATTAGATTACTTTCATCAGAAGTTTTTCTTGGCAGAAGCCTCCGATGTGATGGCGGCATTACATTTTCTTAGCATTCCATTCCTCTTTGTGCAGCATGCACTGCTTCTGGATGAGTCACCATTCCATGAAAGTCAACCAGCTATGAGCCTCAATGTAGATAACATGTCGTATGAGGTCAGAAAGTAAAACTCAGTCATTTCTGGGTCCTCCTCGTGCGGATACATCTGGTCAACTCATTAAGGTGATTATTTTATCCATCCCTGGCGGGAGTTGTTGGCATTGGAAGAGCAGATTGGGAATGTGAGTATGGGGCTGGCCGAGGACACTGCAGAAGAACTTGAACCAACGGAAATATCTCTCTTCTACACCCTGCAAGCAAGAATCCTGATGTATCTGCCAGGTAAATTGCCAAGAAACCATCCGGGTTCATGCATTTGGCAATATTCTATGGCATTCACTCCTTTACGCATGGCAGGAAGATTATGCCGATGGCGAGGATCTGGGGGTGTTGACTTGTGGACATGTTTTCCACCTTCTTGTGTTAGAAAATGGCTGGTTCAGCAGAATGTCTGCCCGCTCTGCAAGAAGATGGCCTTATCCGCCTAAATCACGACTCAGTTTGGTCTTTGCTCTTTCTCCTGGTAGGAAGATCCAAAGGGTGATGTGTGAAAAGGTTCGGGCTTTTTTCTCATCCCTGGGTTTGAATCAGTGAACCAGACACAGCTGTATTAAAATTAGATTATCCTTTTTTTTTCACTCCAATTGTTTTGCGACCCAATCAGCTCGCTGAAAGGGATTTTTCTTTAGTTACTTCATTTAACAGATGTCACTTTTAAAGTCAACGAGAGCATAAAATCTGCATGAAAGATGACATCTAAAGTTAATAGTATACTATGGACGGAGCTAGTACTGAGAAACTAAAGTTCAAAGAAAATAAGTAGTGCAACAAAATTGGTTTATTATCTATTTCCTCACCTCTTTCTCAATCATCACTCTCGATTCATGTCCCGAACTCTAACTAGGTACGCAGGTTCGGGCTTCATCCTTTCTCACTTGGGCTGAGTGATGCGGGACAAAGGGGCCAAAATAGATCTCCTTAAAGAGAGTTACACATTAATCTTTAGATTTGGCTTACATTAGAATTTTGAGGGCTTAATATCCAGATGATCTTGTGATTTTAGGAGAATTAGGGTCATTAATATCTACTGGGTTATCTAATTCAAAGAATCAGACAAAGCTTCTCAGTCAGGGTTTGGACCACCAATCTTTCACACGAGGGTGGTTATCTTATGAATCTCACAAATTCTAAGAGCAAAGATTTAAAAACAATGACCAATTTCATAAGAAATTTGAAAATCAACACAGCTTTGCAATGGAGATTTTTGATATCTTGAAGATTCTTGTTGGTTCGAGTTTCACAAGCTTTGTTAGTAATTTTCTAAGGTTCAGACTGAGTGGTGTGGTTCGAAGGGAACAAGTTGTTTGGGCCGAGAGGTATAATTGAGGGCGAGAAGTGAGGTGAAATAATATGATAAAATAATGATGAAGAGAAAAGAAAAGGTGGAGAGAGAAAAGGGGTAGAATGAGAGGGTGTCGGTGAGAGAGAGAGAGAGAAAATGGGGGGATACGTGGCGATGGTGGGAGAGAGAAAAAAAAGAAAGATTTTCATGGTAACAAGAACCGAGGGTGAATAATTAAATACTAACTTAAAGGGGCGGAGGGAGAGAGAAAGGAAGAAGGTTTCGTGATGGGCAGACGGTTGGAAGGGGAAATGGTGGTTACGGTAGGCTGGCGATGGGGTGGAAAGTGAGGAGGTGGAACAACAGTGACAGTGGGAGAGAAAAGAAGGTTGGCTGGCCACAGGGTGGACAACGAGGAGACTGAATGATGATGACGAGACAGTTGGCGAGGAGGTGAAATGGCGGCAACAGAATAGACGGCAAGGAGGTGGAACAACAGTAAGGGGCAGGTGATGAAGAGGTGGAACGGCATCAACAGTGGGAGAGGAAAGAAAGGTGGGCTTGGTGACAGGGCAGATGGCTAGAAGTCAGAATGGTAGCAATGGCAGGAGAGAAGAGAAAGAAAGAGAGGTCCTCCTAATCCAAGAGGGTGAGAAGAAGAAGATACCCCTGATCCAAGAAGTAAGCGAAAGAGAAAAGAAACCCTAATCCAAGAGATGAATGAGTGAGAAGGAACCCCTAATCCAAGAGGTGAGAGAGATAACAAGAATCTTCTTGATTCCACATTCAACTTTAAGTTTTTTTTTCAAGTATTCGTGCATTTGAGTATTTATAGGAAAGAGAGGAAGGTAGTTAGAGGCGTCCCCTTCCAAAGAATGCTAAGTGGTGTCTCTTCGAGGGAGAGGCTCTTTCCTTAGAGGAGAAGGGGTGCATGCGTGTTGTGGCCTCTTCTCCTCCCTTTTCTTCCTCCTCGTGGCTCCACCTAAGGAAATGAACCCTCATGTTGACTCCATCACTGAGTCTCAAAATCGGACGAGAGGCCCTTCAATGATGAGCAGCAAAGATACTAAGATATAGTCAACGTTCTGTCAACTAAGCTCATGAATCAATTACTTGAATGGATGTTAAAAGATAATGCTTCGAAATGGTTGTAGTGATTGGGTTCATAGTGAGCTATGATACACACCACCAAGTAGGGGGTGAGTTTGTTTTCTATTATATTTTCTAAAATTTTACATTTTTAAGTGATTTAAATTAATTTTCATCCATCCTAGTTTCATAGGTGACGACAATTCTTTGGGTCAACATAGTGGGTCAAATCACATGACTACATACTAATTGTTGTTACTTAGCTTTGCATATTAGGTCAAAAAAATTAATTCATTTTAGTATTTAACATAAATCTATATTATTTTGGCCTCTCTTTGGCCTAGATCAATTTTTCATAAGTTCTTTATCTCTCATTTCTATTATTTATATGTTAAAAATATATATTTTAACTTCATGCAATCATCAAAACATTCATACGATAGGAGATAAAGTTTTGTCAAGTTAGATTGAAATTAATTACAGTTTCCTAGAAAAATGTCACAGACAACAAAGCATACACAAGGTACCATTATAAGCACAAAATGAAAAATTATGGACATCATTGGAATTGGGAGAAGTGCAGGGCCTATTGTGCAGATAGTTGACTCTATCAATACAAGAAATGGTTCACAATGTTACTAGTCACATCATTCATATTATGTTTTGGACTTTGTTGAAATTAACAAGGGAGATTAAATTGATAAAGTTCTACATATCTTCATCATAAGATCTCCTTTGTTTAATCGATCTTCTCTCTGACTTCTTAATTCCTATGGTTTTTCTAAATAGATTAAGTATGGCCAAGGTACTTTAAAGTGACTCAGCTCACTTCCTACTTCCTCTTTAACATGAACTATTGCTCTTAGGTTCTAACTACGATTGTTTGATAAGAGACTATTGATTATTGAGCTCATTTCACATGTAATTTCAGCTAAAGTTTCATTAAAAATTGATAATTTTAAATAGGTGACATTTAATTAATAAGTCCAAGTCATTCAAGCGATGAAATAATATTTTAACCACTAGAGATTTATTTCGGTATAAATTGATTCAGAAAATTGCAAATGGCCCCGAGGAACAGTGACCAGCGGCATAGAGGATAGAGAACCCAAAAAAGCTCAATTTTTTTACCACGGCGCCGTGGAGTAATTGCGTGGTCCTTCAAGAGAGAAAATCTGCAGACCCCCATGTCCGTGGGGTAGGTGGGGGGTCACAACGACTGTATTACACCCCCTGCGCGCTACTGAAAAAAAAAAAAAGAGATCCGGCGTATCCGCCCGTTGCAACAGCAGAGAGCAGCAGTTATGTGGGTTCGGTGGAGCACAGAGCAATGACGTGGCCACCGCCCAAAGACTCTATCTTGCTGGAGACTTCCTCTTCGCTGCGTTATATACAACCTCTACTCTGCCCACCGCCGCCGCCGCCGCCGGTTCCCACCCACCCCTCTCTTCTCTCTCTTTTTCTCTCTCGCTCTGTTTCTCTCTCTTTCGGTCTCTGCTTGCTCTGTGGTGCGGCAGCCCCGGAGGCGTCCCCATATTCCTTCTTTCTGATCGGCAGGAAGACGAATAGGGGAGATTCCGAGCTACCTTCCCTCGACGGCGATATGTAGAGTGACCCGAGCTTTCGTCCTCTGAACTCATAAGGACTCTGCACATCTACGAGCCACCAGGCTTTCTTCGGGCCCCGGAGAAGTGCGGAGTCCTATGAGATCAGAGGTCGCTGCTCTCCTTCTTCTTAATCTTTTTTACTGCTACCTCTCAGCTGCAGCTGAATATGGCTGAAGGAGAGAGAGAGAGAGAGAAGGTGCAGTACTCGCTTATGTCGTTCCCTTCCACGCGCTTACATCTAATCTGCTGCATCTGCCAGGTTATTTCAGGGGAGACGACGGACGCTTGGTGGCACCACCGCCGCCTGCAGGAAGAGGCCTTTCTGCCTCGTTTGAGTTGGAGCTCACTGGCCCCATGGATTCAGAAGGCCAGCTCCACCATGCTGCACAGCTCATCTTTCGTCCTGCTCATCGAAGCCGGCATATGAAACTCTGTTGTTGCTCTTGTTCTTGCTGCTACAGCTGCCATCTTCATTGTCATCGTTGATACGGATGAGCTATGGACGAACAACAGCCAAGGAAGGTGACATGTAATGTTCATAAAGTGTCCGCCATTAATCCATGCCCTTGTCATTGTCTCACGATCCGATACTTCTAGGGCTGTTTCTCCTTTTTCCCTTCTATGGCTAGCTTCTCTAGAGATCTAGAGGTCAACTGATGTAGTCCAAGACACAAGTTAAAGTTTCAACTTCGAATTTGGGCCTACTTATCTTAAATTTGAGTTATAAAGTGAAAAGTGTTAAAAATGGAGCCCACATATATCACTAGTGGGCTATAAGTCCGAAAAGTAATATTTATTTATTATTTTATCTTTTCACTTCTAGAAATCATTTTGTCTCTTTCTTTTTAGAAGTGACTTTAATATTGTTCAGTTTGTACTTAAGATTTGTTCAGAATTTCTAATTGTTAGAGTCTGTACTTAAGAACTATTTAATTTATCTATTTGTTAGAGTTTGTTTCAGGTCATTTCAGAGTTAATTAGAGTATTTTCAGAAGATATGTCTAATATTTCAATTTGGTAGTCTATTTTAAGTCATTTCAGAGCTAGTCACATTCTATTCCTAGGATCTTATCAGTATCTTTCTTTTGAAAGCACCTCACCTCTATTTTAAGCTTATATAAAAGTCCTCATTGTAACATGAGGTCCTCACCTTTTAGTTAAATCAGTTTTTTCTACTGTCCAAACCTTTCTTTCTTGCTTGTGGATTTAGGCACCCCCTTATAGATTCAAGAGTTGAAGACTCTGAATTTACAGATTAAGATGTTAACTTATTTCTAAGATTAGAGCTTTGTGGATTCAAGCTCATATCTTATTTATCTTCTGTATTACTATTGTATGAGTTGGTATTAGAGTAAGTTAATATTTCAATCAAGATTCAAAGATGTGACAAGGTAAATCTGCTCAAGATTCAGATTGAAGTTTTTTTTCTTTCAAAATCAGATTTTATTAC